TTCCAGTCCAAACCTCACCAAAACCTGCCATCTAATATTGACTCTTAAGGAGCATTTACTCTGCTTTATTTCAAGCAGTGCTCCTCACTCGGGTTGTCGGAGGCCTCTTAAAAGAGGAGGAGAAATGTGTACCTTTGGGGATTTGGGGACGAAAGCTTTGAAGTCTCAAGTATTCGTGCAGTTTAATTTTCCTTACACTTCACAACAGATGTGTGTGTTCGCATCGGAAGTGCGTTAAGTGTCGCTGATCAGATTTGGCTCTGGGAAAGAGCATGTCTGTCTTCTGGCTTCATACTCCCAACATCTAAAAAACTGTTAAATGACATGGATTTTCATCTAGTTTCTTCATCAAGATGTTGGCTAGTATAATGTTGTTACTGCCAAGAAGATAGTCAAGTAAATACGCTTGTGTTGCAGTGTTCCAATCCGAAGGGTTCTCTCAGTTGTGTCAACAGTACTGATCGACCCTGAGGTATTAGCTTACATATCAGGAGAGGTAGGCTAAAGATGAAGGGGATTCCCAGGTTGTCAGTGTTCTCAAACTAACAGCTGTTGCACTACATTTAATAACGTGTGTGTGAAAGGAGCAAAGGCCCAAACCACGTGAATAAATTCAAGCATTGTCTATAACACTTAAAGAGTACCAATATTCATTCCTTTCAACAAACTTCAGGAAAAAAAACTCTAAATTTTATACTGCCTTATTAATAACAAAATACACACATTTGTAACTCTTCTAAGTCCACAAAGTCAAAATAGTGAAGGTTGGCATAGCAGAAACTTACTGCTGAGGCCCTGCCACAGGCTTTTGGTATGTGACTGTCAAGAAAGTTAATGTTAGGGGACAGAATGCTACAAAAAAGAAACAAAATAATTGTAAAAAATATTTGAGAAAATGAAATTTTTTTGAAAAATATATCTCCATGGTGACTTTGTTATTCTCAAAAGTAAATATGTCGTTTCAATGTGAACAAAGCTTTTTGTTTTTGTCATAAAGGCATGAGCTTCTTCGCCTGATATCTGTCAGTAAGACCTTGTTCCAAGCGTGGCATCTTTTACTGCTTTTGCTTGCAGCTTTTTTACTCTTTGCTTTCTGGTGATCCATTGCTTTTTCCATATCCTTGTTTGGTTTTATGATTGCCTCTCAAACATGTTGCTGTTTAGGACCGAATTTGAAAGTCATCCCCCTCCTACTTTATCTTCTTTTTCCTGTGCTGTAATGAGAAATTTAGTGACTTCAGAAAATGTAGAGCTTGTGCTGCAATAAAAACTTGGCAGAAGTCAAATGCATCTTAATTAAGTAATCACAAAGGGTATTTAACCTTCCAATGCACTGCAATAACACCTCCCTATTTAAAGTGAGCCTTCAGAAATTAAGATTTTATAGTACATTTTTTTTAAGATTTATTTACTTTAGAGAGAGAGTGTGCGCTAGCGTTGGGGGAAGGAGGACACAGAGGGAGAGGGAGACAAGCAGACTCTGCTGAGCCCTACGCAAGGTTTGATCCCGGGACCCCGAGGTCATGACCCCAAGCCGAAATCAAGAGTCAGACTGACTGAGCCACCCAGGCGCCCCTTAAAGTACACTTTTAAGAAACCATCCAAACTTAATCCAACTATGCTTTCGGGATTATTTATATTGGCTTATTTCAGTTCATGGGAACAATTTTTGTTTAGCTGTATTTGAGAGTCTAGTGCTATTAATGGCAAATTGCTGCCTATTTGTTCTTTTTTACCTTTTTGGTAAGATGCGTTCTACTTTAAAACCATTTAAATCACTGTTTTCTAACGAGATATGTGCCTAAATAGTAAGTCTTCAGATTTAATGTTCTCTCGCTACCATAAGGATCTCTCTGACTTTCCATTTTCCTGAAGTTACATGAGAGAAATCAGTCAGGAATGAAACGAAACATTCACAGAGCCATGAACAGTATCAGAACTGGCGGTATTTATCCCGAATTAAATGTTTGATTTCTAGTTTTCTTCAGAATACATGCAGACTAAAATAAAATTGCTAACAGTCCTGTGGTACTAAAAATATGACTAGTTCATGGTATGTTTTCAAGTGAACAGTCATAAGCAGAGAAATTGTTTCATTTAAAAAAAAAATACACGGGGAAGAAAGGTTTGTAGTTTGAGCTAAATCGGGAACAAGGACTATTTTCATATATATGTGTGATGTTATCAATTTGCCAGTGGCTACTAAGGAGTGATACACGCAGTGTTGGCCACCTCTTAATATTCATGCTGATTTGGCATAAGCAGTGAATGTTGAGAGTAGGGAATTCTGAACAATGGCATTACATGTAAATACATCAACTTAACATCATGGAATTTTCTTGAAAACCTTGCCAAAGCAATAATGCACATTCTCAAAACACAAATATGGGAATATTGACAGCTTTTCTGGGCACTGGCTAAGTGGGCCTACTGTCATTATGAGATGGTCTCAGAGAAAAAGCAGGCTTGTGGTCGCTTCCTTGTGGGGGTAACCTGGGTAGGTACCACCAGAAGACCTTGAAGGACCAAGACAAAACTGAGAGCACCAGGGGGCTTTAGATCCAGAACACCTGTGCTTTGCAGGATGCGGCAAGCCAGACATCGCCCACTTTTCCTTTGTCCCTGTGCCAAGGCTTGTGCTTTGTAAGGAAAACTGTCAGAGAAGCTGCAAACACAGGCATTGGATTCCCTAAAGCATTGGTTCTCCACTGGGCTGATTTTGCCCTTGTGGCACTTGGTAATGTCTGGAGGCATTCTCGATTCTCACAACTGAGGGATACTATTGGCATCGAGTGGATAGAGGCCAGAGATGCTGGCTAAATATCCTAGTCTGTACAAAACAGTCCCTACAAAGAATTATCCAGGCCTGGGACAAAGGAAGGAGAAAATGATCCTTGACACTCATGCATTTGCTCAGGATAAAGAGAATAATACCCAGAAGGGGCTTAGAACTCTTAGAACAGTGCCTTGTAAATTCAAAGGAATTACCGTATTGTGTGGCTGGTAGTAGAGCTTGGGGCAGAGCTTAGTCTGGACACCAAAAGAACGGCACTGAGTCTCCTGGCACCAGCATCCCAGTGAGCGTGGCAGACAATGGTAGAGTACTCCCTGGGGTACCAGCGACTGCCCTGATATGCCCTTGGTCATAGCCACAGGAGCCCCTCTGTTTATTTCCCACCTTGATCTTCAGTAGCCCCTAAAGTGCAGCACCAAAGTTGCACTGAACCCAAACCCAGACACCCCAAAAAGCCCCAGATATGAGGCCTCCAGTCGTGCAGCTTGGCCTTGGCCAGCTGGGGATACCCAGAGAGATGGGCTAGGATTCTGTGGTCTCTCTGGGTCCTGAAGCTCATAAGTGTGGAGGAAGGGAGAGTGAAAGGCAATTTGATTCTGGGTTCCAATCATTTTATAGCATGGTCCTTGAGGTACAGGTAAATTTCACAAAAGGGGGCCATGTCCAGAATAAAAAGATTAATGCTAAAAATTAGGGAAAGTCTCCCTGAGTAACCAAAATCCTATGTACTTGTCCAAGTGTAGCCTGGCCTTATTCTGAATTAAAGTCTTCCCCTTGCCCTTCAAAAGTGCCACCCCTTCATCTCTGTCAGAAAAGATTCTGTCTGTCCAGGTTCCCTGCCCCTCCAGGCCCTCCCTTGCCTCACCCAGACCCTCAGCAGCATCCCCAGGCCTCAACCCGGCCTCACCCAGGTGACCTCGGGCCCTGCAGGAGCCCTGTGACAGGTGCTGCCACAGTTCCACGTGGTGATTTTTAAAGTTTTGAGAAAAATAGGAGTTTGGAAAGTTTGATTAATGAGACATCCAAAACTAATAGCATGAGGTTCAGGTGAAACACAGCCCTCCATGCTTGGTTTAGAGAGGACTAGAGGATCCAAAACCCAACTAAGACCATTACCCTGAGATAGGAAGAGGGCTGTTGCCATCATTAGAACATGCTTAACACCCTTAAGTGGCATGATTTCCCCTGAAAGTTTTGTTGGTGACCTAGAACCCTAATGGGGACTGCATTCTATTAGACATTTTTCCTTTATCTAGACTTGGACATCAAAGACCAGTCTGGACATCCTGATTTAATCTGAATGGAAACAGGCAAAACCTGGAGTGATTTTATCCACAGAAAACAAGCTAAACCCAGGCTAATGCAAATAAGATCCCAGAAGGGCTTAATCAGGTTAATTGAAAAATTACCTAAAGAGATGCCAAATGCAAAACACTCATATTTATTCATAGAGGAATCTCTTAGTCAATATTTTGCTGGCCAAACTAATTATTTGCTCAAAAAGAAGAATACTACACATCTTTAAATTTGGGCCCTTCCTTTGTTCAGACCAGCCCTCCTCTTAATTCTAAATCATTATGTTTGCCCCAAAATCTATAGAATTTATAACCCTTACTCAACAAAAGAGTTTTTCTTAAGAAAGAAATATTCTGGGGACGCCTAGGTGGCTCAGTCGGTTAACTGTCTGCCTTTGGCTCAGGACATGATCCCAGGGTCCTGAGATAAAGCCCCACATAGGGCTCCTTGCTCAGCAAGGAGTCTGCTTCTCCCTCTCCCTCACCCTCTCCCTCTGCCTCACTCACCCTGTTTGTGCTATTTCTCTCTCTCTCTCTCTCTCTGTCAAATAAATAAATAAAATCTTTAAAAAAAATTTTTGTTTTGGGTGCCTGGGTGGCTCGGTTAAGCCTCTGCCTTTGGCTCAGGTCATGATCCCAGGGTCCTGGGATCGAGTCCCGCATCGGGCTCCCTGCTCAGTGGGGAGCCTGCCTCTCTCCCTCTCTCTCTCTCTCTCTCTGTCTCTTATGAATAAATAAATAAAATCTTAAAAAAAATTTTTTTTGTTTTAACTTAGTGTTTTCAGACTGCCTCAAGATCTCAAAATGTAAGCACCCCTGGGCTGAGTTGGTGAGCTCTATCCCTGGCTCATGCTGGTAGATGCGCTTCCCTCCTAATCAGCACTCTTGCCTGTTTTACATACTGAGCTTAGTCATGATCTTGCTGTTTATTAGAGGGGGCTTGAAGAACCACTGACTTAGGTGGGCAGGCTAGAGCTGGAGAGTCCTCACAGAGCACAAGATCCAACACCTCATGCTCCAGACACTGGGAAATTAGAGTTTCTTGGGGGCAAAATCCAGATGGTTTGTTCATTCAGAGAAGAGGTGGGCAGAACCTAAATTGTTTCTAGACTATAAAAAAGTGTCCAACCTCAGTAGGCAAAATACACCTTTTAATGACACTTGTACTATAACCATTTCTGCATTTCTGGTGTTTTGTAAATAGAAATCACAAAACAATAAAAAACCTAAACGAAGAGAAAAGACATTACAAAGACCAGTTGTGAAAAGCAGATGTTTACAAATACAGTCATATAATCTGTCTACCCATCATTTAGGGGACAGAAAGTCCAGAGTTCAAGTACAACCTACCTTAAGCAAATGCAAACTATGTAATTACAGAGCAGCTAAATGGTTATTCATATTACAAAATGGTTTTTCAGAGCATTTCTCTACATAGCATTGTCACTAGGCACTTAAAATATAACTCATTTACAAATGTTTAATTTATATACAACTTCAGGAAATACACATTGGGGTAAAATGAGGGAAGAAGGCGGACAGAAGGGAGAAAGTAACATCCCTATTCTGTAAGAGTCTGTCTGGGGTTGTGAGTTCCCAAATATTAGATGCAAGGTAAGCCTGGAGGAAGCATGTGGGGTGATAATTATAATCACAGTGACATTTTTTTTCAAATAATTATTCTTAACCTGCTTCCCAAGATGGGCTTTATAGATCTGTGGCTAAAACTTTTGCAGACATGGAGACTAGCACGAGGCTATAACATAAGTATATGAAAACCCTGGGATACGCAGAATGGAGTGGATATGATATATCCATGGATATAAGGATATGACACCTTGGACACAAGGATATTTATTTGGACACAGGCTGGAGTTACCTATTAAAGCAATGTTCCAGATCTTTGTTGCAAGAGAAAATAAATCAACAGATAGATACTTGCCTGGTTCAAAAGATCAGGAAACAATTTGGTCTAAACAAGCCCTTACACTCAGGTTAAGGCATGGGGGTGGGGCAGCAAGAGCCCCTGCCAGTTGGCTCGGGGCTGCCGTGGGCATCACTGAGGGCGGCCCTTCAGAGTCCCCACCATCCACTTGGCTTCTAAGGGGAGTAGAGAGATAAGGCAGGCAGAGGCTGAGACTGGCATTACCCGTTTGCATTTTGTAAATGGCTGAGCAACAGAAGCAGGTGACACATAAATATGGGGGTTTTGAGACTAAATCAAAACCCCTACCATGAGGTTCAATTTCCTCTGGTTCTACTGCAAAAAAGGATAAGGGAAGGGCGGGTGGGCGGGAAGAGTATGGCAGAAGAGAAGAAAGGAAGAAAGGCTGGGATGGGGTGGGAGAGAGAGACAGGGAGAGGATGAATGAATTCAAACAGTGCTTATTCCCAGGGAATTCTATTATAGCAACTCAGAGCAGTCTGTGAGTGGAGACAGGAATAACAACTCTGCTCACGGTGAGGGATGGCAAGAGAGTTCTCGGGAACACTTTGGTCTCCAAATTTTGGGGCCTGTGTTCCTGCTTGGCCTCCGTGAGAATGCGCTTTTGGGTGTTGACGGGAGGTCTTGGCTCCCTGGCTTTGAATTTGGCTTTGTAGTTTTGCACTCCGTGTTTCTGCAAAAGCTGCACGGTGGCGAGACAGCGCACATTGCTGGGGTTGGGAGGGCACATCGGGTTTTTCTCAGGCAGGAGCGACCAGTGTAGGCAGCACCGCTCCGGATCGGCCAGCAGGGATGTCGGGGCCACCCGGGGAGGGAAAGGCAGTGTGTCATTGCCCTTGGGGTGCTTGGCCAGCTCAATGGGTCTCTTTTCACCTTTCCCGTCAACTGTTTTCAATCCATATGCACAAGCCACACACTCATCCTTTTCCACACTCAGCACCTTCTCTTCCGGCTGCAAGAAGAAGTTCTTACTCTTCTTACCCAGAACATCCAAGCCGTTTGGGGGTGAAGCCCTCAGGGGAGGTAGAACTAAAAGGGCCCTGGAAGTCAAGGAGTCTGAGATGGAGGGACCTCTGCTGGGGCTTCTGGGGTCCTTGCCCTTAAGAGCCTCAGGGGTGGCCCAGTCTTCCTTGCACCAAATAAACTCCTTTATTTGCAGACTTTTTTTCTCTCCCTGACCATAGGGGGGAAAGCAGATCTTGCTAATCTCCCTGGAGGCAGCGGTGGGGCCCGGAGGGGTCCCCTGAGTCTGGGAGGGGCTGCCTTGATCCTTCTCCGGACCCACCTCAGCCGGAGCCCCCGACCCCAACTTCTCCGCCTGGGCCTGAGGCCTGGCCTCAGCGCTCCTTTGGGAGAGACTGCCACAGAGTAAGCAGCTGCTGGTACTTTCTCCCACCCTCGCCTTTTTAAGCTTCTTCCTGGGCCAGATGCAGGCAGTTGGAGAAGTCCTTCCCCAGCCTTGGACCTGCAAATAAAGCAGCATGTTACTCCCGGCAGAGCTGCTCAAACTCTAGCTGGCCAGCTGTGGCCACACCCCCATTTTGGCCATCCTATCTGAACTGATATATTTCTTAAAATTGACTCACCTTTTTTTTTTTAATCTTAACACTATTTTAGCCTCATACTAAGTAATAACATTTGTAACAGTATTTGTTAATCTGAAATACTAGCAACTGGATTTAATACTAAAAGACTAAGCAAAAATATCTGTACATGGCCATCTTGATGTGCTGACTCTATATGTTTTCAGATAAACATCAAAATAAAGTCAGGACTCTTAAAATAAAATCAGAACTGTTTGTACTTGTCTCCCTACCAGGCTCTCTCAGACCACCAGGCTCTGTTAACCAAACCCCAGGAGACTGCCGTGTGGAAGGGCGGGAGGGAGAGACGATGAGCAGAGGCAGGTCCCGGAGTCAGGGTACACTCCCCAGCACCCCTGCACCACCCGCCCCCAACCCCCATAATCCGTCCATGCCCAGAGTCCCCTGGCTGAGCTTGCCACAAATGTCACCGTTAAAGAGAGTTGCCAGATAAAAATCAGGACCACATCTGAGACATACTTAACACTAACCATATTAGGTACTGTTTACCAAAATTCAAATTTAACCGGGCATCCTGTATCTTCATTTGCTAAATCTGGCAAACTTATGTGTAAAAAAAAAAAAAAAAAAGCAAACATAGTTTCCATGCTTTTACTAAGTTCCAGGCACTGAGCTAAGGATCCATTGGCATTGGCATTGGTTCATTTAACCCACGCCACAGCACTATAATTCAGGTATTCTGATGCCCAGTATACAGAGGTGGAAACTGCAGTTCCAAACGTTATCACAGCCAATGGCAAGTTCTGCCACATTCAGAAGGTCTGTGCATTCCCACGCAGGGGACAAGGAGAGGCTGTGAGGAGCCAGCCTTGGTCATCTTGCACAAAAACATCCCTTTATCATCGTTCCCTCCTGACCTCTGCACCCTCTCACTCCATGTGCTCAGCTCCCCAAATTCCGGTGTGAAGAATCACTTTTTCTTTCTTTTTTTTTTTTTAAGTTTTATTTATTTATTTGACGGAGAGAGCTCAAGTAGGCAGAACAGTAGATAGAGGGAGAGGGAGAAGCAGGCTCCCCACTGAGCAGGGAGCCCGATGCGGGGCTCGATCCCAGGACCCTGGGATCATGACCTGAGCCGAAGGCAGACGCTTAACCATCTGAGCCACCCAGGTGCCCAGGCTGTCTTATTTTTTAACTTGCATCTCACTGTGTCCTGTCTGGGAAGGTCACACATCCTTGTCAAGTCTCTGGGTGACAAGATTTCCTTACATTTCCTTACATTTTCTCCTGGAATTGGCAAGAAAGCCTACTTTCCAAAGACAAAGTCCCAAGTGCTCCAGAGGAGCACAATTTTTAAAAAGATTTTATTTATCTTTTTTGAGAGAGAGAGAAAGCGAGCGCACAGGAGCGGGGAGAGGGGCAGAGAGAGAGGGAGAAGCAGACTCCTGATTGAGCAGGGAGCCTGCCTTGGGGCTCGATCCCAGGACCCTGGGATCATGACCTGAGCTGAAGGCAGAGGCTTAACCAACTGAGCCACCCAGGCGCCCCGAAGCATCACTTTTTCAAAAAGTCTAGTAAGTGCCTGACACTGAATCAGGCGTTCCTGTCCTCCTCGTACAGCCCTCTGGCCAGAATTTACAGATGAGGAATTTGGAGCGATGGGACAGGAGCCCTCCCCGAGGTTAACTGCCTGTAAGTGGTGAATTTGAACCTGACCTTTCTTATTCCGAAGTCCTAGCCCTTACCAGAGCCGTGCTGATACCTCAAATATATTCCAACCAAAAAACCCCATTTTCTTTTGCATAGTTAAGTCCCAATTCTTAGATGGCAATTATATATGAGGGCTGTAAGGTCGCTGCCCTGAGCTGCACTCTTGAGACAGCCTAAGGACAACTCTCCCAGCCTACTCTTCTGGCTTCTGTTCTGGAACCCTGCCCGTCATGTGCTGCTGAGTTGGCACTGGGTCTTCAAGAGGACCATATTGCTTGCTTCAGACCTCACTGCTCTCAACCCTGACTTCCCAGGTGACTTTCCAGCTTTTGCAGAGAAGGGTCCCAGCACATTAGCTAACAGATCCTCAGGCTAACTGGTCTCTCTATCGAAGGTGGTTTCAGCTGGAATGAGACAAGTCCCACACCCCCATACACCCCTCCTGCACCCTCCCCACCATCCTCCTCCAGCCAGACAAGGGGGATTTGTCTCCTGGCTAGGCTTATGTAGCATGCCAACTTTTACTCAGCTGGATACTTATTGAGGGAAACCTAAATTCTGGGACTTTAATCTTTCTACAGATGTTTACAGATGTTCTATTTAATCTATTAAACAGGTGCATCTGATGAATCAGCAAATGTTCTCTACTTGCTTGACCCTAAGAGTCATCTGAGCGGCTGCCTAAAAATCCAGATTCCTGAGCCCCACAGCAACCTACTAAGCCAATACTCACAAGATGGACCTGGGCGGGTGGTTTTAAAAACACCCCAGGTGAGCCTTGGGTTGAAGCTGCTATAGAGGATCTATAGAGGATAGGGTGTTCCGGTGGCCTGGCAGGGCATCCAAGTCCAGAGATGGGGGTCAATGACACCTGGGTCTTTGGATTCTCACAGGTGGGCTGTCACAGGTAAGCTAAATGTTGGTTGGGTTGGTCTGGGTCAAAAATGTACAGCCCTGAGGCACCCCATCCTGAGAGGTCCCTTGGCTCTGCAAACATAGGCAACTCTCACTAATTGCTGCCAGCAAAGTGTTCTCTGTCCTCATTTAAATGCTGGCCCACGGGTCCCTGGCACCCATACAGGAAGTATCAAAGGGACACAAGCCAGGGCCGGAAGCTGGCTTTGGTGGGACAGGCCTCTGACACCCCTCCTGGGACAAGGCCGCCTGAGAAGCCAGGGAGGGCTGGTGCGCAGGGAGTGAAGAGCAATGGGCAGCAGGAAGGAGGAGGTGGTGTGGCACGATCATCCTCGACAGACTGTGAGAGGCAAACATACTCTCAGCATGGGGCACATGTGGCATTTCTTCCAATTAATAGAAAATCTTTTCCAACAGCCCTTGGACAGACACATTTCAAAGTCATGACTTTCAATAGTAAACTGAACCTTCTAAATTGGAAAGTTTCCAATCCTCAAACAGAACTGTCTGTAACCCTGCCTTAGTGGGCATGAGCCTGTGCACCAGCTGGGGGTGGGGTGGTGCCACAGAGAGAGTACAAGAGGAGGGTCCTGAAGACACGACTCCTTCTTCAACTGTCAAGTGGACTTGGGGGAGTGGCTCTGCCACGTCTTGGCCTCAGTTTCCATATTTATAAAATAAACCAATTAGATCAGGATTCCTCAACCTCAACACTACTGAAATTTAGGGCATGTTATGGATTGCATGACTGTGTTCCCCCAAATTCCTCTGTTGAAGCCCGCATCCCCAAAGTGATAGTATTTAGAGGTGGGGCCTTTGGAGGTTATTAGGGTTAATGAAGTCAAGAAGGTGGGGCCCTCAAAATGGTATTAGTGCCCTTATAAGAGGATATGAGAGATCTACTTGCACCACGAAGGAGGGCCTTGTGAGCACAAAACAGGAGGAGGTTCCCCCACCAGAAACCAACCATGCTGGCACCCTGATCTCGGATATCCAACCTCCAGACTGTGAGAAATAAATGTCTGTTGCGTATGCCCCCAGTCTATGGTATTCTGTTATAGCAGCCCCGAACTAAGACCGGGCTGGGTCATTCTTTGTGGTGGGGGCCATCCTGGGCACTGTAGGATGTGGAGCAGCACCTCTGGCCTCCATCCAGTAGATGCCAGTAACACCCCCTTCCCCTCACCCCCAGTTGCATGACATTGCCAAGCATCACCTAAGAATCACTGCATTAGACCAAATTTCCTTACAGTTCTAAATTTAGGATTCCATTATCGATTCCAAGAATCGTTTAAGAATAACCCCCTGGGGTTCTGAGTGGAACCACTAGGACAGAAATCCCAGGTCTCTTGGGGAGCTTAGCACAGCAGTTAAGGAGCTTGGGTTCTGGAGTCCAGGCAGAGCTGGATTCAAGCCCTGCCTTGGCCCCCGGCTGGGTGATGTTTGGCACACTCTTTCACATTTTGGGTGCCTCGTTTTCCTTGTCTGAAAACTGAGGCTGTTCATAATACCTGCCTCATAGGGCTGTTGAGAGGTTGAATGAATTGATGTATGTGAAGCATTTAGTCCTGTGCTTGCCAACGCTAACTGGCCAAAAATACCCAATGAAAGGTACTGCTCTTACCATTATATTTTACCTCTGTTCCTAAGTTTTCTGTATTTCATTGCTTATACATTTTTAGTAATAACTATTTTTGGCAAAAGTAAAAGGAAAGGCTCACATCAAAACACAGACACATGAGGCACCTCAGTCAAGGAGATACTCACAGCTTCTTCCCATCCAGTTCCGATGACAAATTCGCTGGCCCTTTTATCTTGTTCAAGCGTAATGTCACTGATATTGAGAAGACAACAAACATGATTCTTTTCACTTCTTTCATCTGGGCAAGTATAGGTTAATTCTGTTTCTTCTGGGCTTTGAATTTCCTTATTTTCACTATTTTCTAACTCAGTCTCATTTTTCTGACAGAGATCCATTACTGTGATTGTGGCTGAAGGTTTTTAACATCTTCTTCCTGTAGCATGAAATGCGGGCTGCACTTAGTTTGTAATACTCATTTCTTAAAAACTGAATCAATAACTCAGGCAAAATAACATCAAGACACATTCCAGAACAGACTGGAAGAAACATTACAAAACCATCCATTGCCGGATATTGATGTAATAAAAGATACGGCTAATCGGAAAGACTAATGGATTTAATTAAAGAGCAAATTTGGGATTGAAGAAAAGAGGATAGGAGGATGTTAGCAGAGGCTCTATCCCTCATCATGGGGTAGAGTGCGGCAAGGAATGTAGGTTTAAGCACCCCTGCTGTCCATTCCAAAAAAGTCCAGATGCTACTGTGCTAACACCATGGGAAGTGTGGTGGGCGTGTGTTACCTGGCCACTTTCCCTCCTTTTCCTTCCTGGCAACTCTGGATACCGGTCGAGGCTGGGGAGCATGTGTTCTAGGCTAGGTCGGTCCGCTCATCCTAATCCACCCTGGATGACTGAGTCCTCATGAAAATGGACACAGACACACAGAGAGGGAGGCCACGTGAAGAGGCCCAGGGAGAAGACTGCAAGCCACAGAGAGGGGCCTAGAGCAGATCCTTCCCTCACGGCCCTTGGAAGAAACCAGCATTGCCGATACCTTGATTTCAGACTTCCAGCTTCCAGAACTGTGAAGCGGTACAGTTCTGTTGTTTAAGCCACCCAGTCTGTGGTCCTGTATCAAAGCGTCCCCAGCACACTAGTGCCAGGTGTGGGATCAGCGGCAGTGATGACGAGGGTGATACCATCTGTCCTTAACTCATGTTTTTCCAGGTTGAGAAATGGAACCTGGCATTTATAATCAGTCACAGAGTTAGGAAAGTTGTCATCCTTTTGTGTTTGTTTTTTGTTTTTGTTTTTGTTTTGAGTAGACTCCACACCCAGCATGGAGCCTAACGCAGGGCGTGAACTCACGACCCTGAGATCAAGACCTGAGCTGAAATCAAGAGTCAGATGCTTAACCGACTGAATCACCCATGGGAAGTTATCATCCTGGTCAGGAGCACAGACTTGATTGCCAAACAGCCAGGGTTCCAGTCCTATTAGTACCTATACGACCTTGGGCAAGTTACTTTTCTGGGTCCGTTTGCTCATCTCTAAGATGGGCATGATTATAGTACCTTCCTACAGACAGAGGCTCCTCCTGGGCACCCCACAAGCTGCAGAGATGAATCCCTGGACTTAGGCAGTGGCCTCCAGTGGTCCAGCTGCATGCTGATGAACAGCCAGTGCCTTCTTGAGGATTCCTTGCTTGTAATGACACAGAGCCCACTGGGGACCGCACACTTTGCTTTCTCTCACCCTAACCTGATCCCTGCCAGAAAGCCATGTGTTAAATTTTCTGTTGAGGTAGAGATCGATAACTTTTTATAACAATATCTGTTTAATTACCATTTTGGCTTTTTCACATAGGCTTAAAGTAGCATTTTGATGCTAATAAAATTCCATTTACCTATGGAAGGTCAAATATCTTTGGACATCCTAATCTTTTCCAATATGACATCAGAGGACATGAATGAAATCTGAAAGGAAAAAAACGATATGAAGAGTGGCTAAAAACCAGCAGTGCTATTCTATTTATAAACACTGTCACTGCAAAGGATTGAAGAATCATTGATCCAAAGATGGCCCGTTGCCTCAGCTCCCCAGTGGCCCTATGAAAAGGATGAAAAGGTCCCACGTACTCTTCTCTCTGTCAGGTTAACCATCTCCAGCAACTTCAACTATTTCTCACATGTCATGAGAATATGTGAAACCTGAGAGGAAGACAATATTATCTCTATATCGAGACAGACAAACAGTGGAGGCCAAAGATGCAGTATTGGGGAAACCCCTATTTTGGAGTCAATAGAAGTTGGACCCAGTGAGGGTACGAGAAGTTCTAGTCACATTATATTCCAAAGTGCCAAAAGAAACCCAGGTAATGATAATATTAAATAATAAAAGTAAGAGCTGCATAATAGCCCTTACTATGCACCAGGCATTGTTATGAGCACTTTACATATTTGTTATAAATACTGCATTTTATAAGTACTTAATTCATTTTTTTTAAAGATTTTATTTATTTATTTGAGAGAGAGAGAATGAGAGACAGAGAGCACGAGAGGGAAGAGGGTTAGAGGGAGAAGCAGACCCCCCGCTGAGCAGGGAGCCCGATGCGGGACTCGATCCCGGGACTCCAGGATCATGACCTGAGTCGAAGGCAGTCGCTTAACCAACTGAGTCACCCAGGCGCCCAGTACTTAATTCATTTAATGGAAGATCGTGGGAAAAATATTGACTCCTTATGACCAAAAAGTAAGAATCATCTCTGAAGTCAGTAAACATAGTATTCTTAGTCAAATGGCCAGATTACTGCATACCAGATTGCTAGGTGCTTCTCTGGAACACTGGTGTTCAAGCTGGATCAAGATGCTCCACTACTAAAATAGAATGTTGGTGGTCTCTTCCTAACAAGAAAAAAAAAAAAAAAAAAAGAATTCAGTTAGTGGAAAGAACAGTCTTAATTTAAAAATTTTCTCCAATAACCATGCCTTCAAGTTGTATTGCCCATTCTTGTCTTCCGGCTCATGTAAGAGATGAGAAATAGAAGTATACAAGAAACAATCAAAGATCAACTAAAAGAGTGGATATGTGATTTCTTACAAATGGTATGCATTCTAACTTTTATGTTGAAATGCAGAAATCTCTATGGATATAATAGTCATATTTTCTGATAGTAAAATTATGCCTAGTTTACAGATTTGAAGTAAATCAATAGGTCATGCTATTCTACTTCTTGACTTCCATGGAGCTTTATCATCATATAACTGAGAGCTCATTACTTTACAAGCATCTTGTTTCATTCCGCTGGTGGCTCTAAAGATTAGTCTGACATCGGCAACCCTGAAACTTATGCTCCTCAGTTCCTGGTGTTCCTCCCAAAAGCAACATGATAATCCTGAAAATAACTGAAGATGGCTATTATTTCTTCAGAAGAGAATCTCAAATGTCCTCATCTTAAGAATGCACAATTGCCTGTCAGTGTCTTTAAAATATAGTACCTGGAAATGAGGGTAATATTTCAAATGTGGTCTGGCTAGAGATGTCTATTTTGAAATCTGATTCCCTTTGATCTGAAATCTACACCTATTAATTGGACAAAGATAGCTACATGTTTAAAAAGCTATATCCCAATCTTGATTAACACTCAGCAGGAGGTCAATTATAACTTCTACATTTTTTCCACATGAATTGTTAATAATCCCTGTCTTCTTCACTCCATATACATGCCATTAATTTCCTTTTAAAAATTTTTTCCTCTCTTTTCCCCACTAGATATAGACCTCTGAATGGATCAGATCTTTCTAAAATTTCCTCTTGTTGGTTTTGGACCATCATTCCAACCTGCTTAGATACTTGCAAATCTGACTCTGACACCCCACAGTTTGGCCATGCCTTCCCAATTTAAGACTTGCATTTGATGGGCATACCTCCTGTAACTTCATCTAAGTCACTGATAAAATGTTGGCGAGGAGAGGGTAAAGGACAATGCCATGTGGATATGCCTTATAGTGGGGCATTTACTAATTACCAACTGGCTGCAAATTCACCTCACTATACAATTGTCTGGCCTATGCATATAAATCTCATCTACAGGATTCTTGATTCCACCGATTTAGGTAAACTTCATTTTTTTTAAAAAAGACTCCTACCAAGAGTTATAGAAATTTACATTTACATCTATGTCTATTAATTTTTTAAATATTTACTGTCTATATTAGGGATGAAGAATAGGTTCCAAATTGTCGGTTCCAAACAGTCCCAACACAACTAGAGTGTTGTGTTGAGAAGGATGTTAAAACTTGGCCACTGCAGGGAAGAGTTCTGTGGTTGATTAATGATGTCTGCCAGAGACTAAAGAGTGGTAACATACATGCCACCTAATTGCCATTGCTTATATAAAAAGTCAGATTCCAAATGCCTTACTCTAGACTCCTACACCTGGTTGACACATTCCCAGGTAATTAATGGGGGAGGGGGGATGTTGATGGGCCAGGAGAGGTAAAAAACCCAGGACATTTAAGTCAAAAGCAAGCTATGATCCCTTAAAACTCCCTGCCACCTCCCTGGCCCTACACTATGCCCTACACTCTCCCCCCATCTTCCTGGAAATTTCAGGTTTAAAGGAATCTTGAATCTATGTCAGAATTTCAGCCTGGGAAAGATGGGCTTCTGGCAGTCTCAATTGGAATTCTGAATGGATGGTCCTGTGGATCCTTAACAACGTGTGTTGAGTGAAGAAATCAACGAATAGAAACACTGTTAGCCATGGTGGAAGCGAAGTTTCTGAATACAGAGCTAAGCTTCAGGCATATGAAGTGGTTAAATAAGTCTTGAAGATTGTCTTGGGCATGCTGATCACTGGTAATATAGTTTCTAAAGGAAAATGATATGAAGACTTCAATCTAATTTACAATTTTGGAACACAACTCGGCAGGGAGTTGAATCTTCGCCTCAAAGTTAAGCACATGCGCCACTCAACTTGCACAGTTTGTTCACATTTTCAGGAGTATAAATCTTATCTCTCCAAGTTAATTATCTGTGCCTTATGCTTATTACGTGCCCACAGAGCACAGCAGCTTTGAAGACCCATAGAAGGAATCCTAAGGGCGTGGTTTATACAACCATCCCTCCGGATCATACCTTTATTACTGCAGTCCCAATCTCCAACCCTTCCACTCTTTCCACTCACATCCATTCACTCACTAAGTGCCTATTAGATGCCTAGCTCTGGTAATAAAATAGTAAAGCCACGCGTGTCTTCTCAGCTGTCACAGAGCTTACAAGTCTACATGAAAGCACAAGTCATCAAAGATACACCCTCCACGTGTTGCTCCTAAAGCCCCGGCCTTTCACACCTGGCTCTTCCCTTTCCTAGAATAGCCCCTCCCCTTCCCCCAGGCTCCTTCCCTTCTTCCAAGATCCTTCTTCCTCCTCTTCATCCAGCAGTTCCTGGCCTTTCACACCTGGCTCTCCCCTTTCCTAGAATAGCCCCTCCCCTTCCCCCAGGCTCCTTCCCTTCTTCCAAGATCCTTCATCCTCCTCTTCAGCCTTTCACACCTGGCTCTTCCCTTTCCTAGAATAGCCCCTCCCCTTCCCCCAGGCTCCTTCCCTTCTTCCAAGATCCTTCTTCCTCCTCTTCATCCAGCAGTTCCTGGCCTTTCACACCTGGCTCTCCCCTTTCCTAGAATAGCCCCTCCCCTTCCCCCAGGCTCCTTCCCTTCTTCCAAGATCCTTCATCCTCCTCTTCAGCCTTTCACACCTGGCTCTTCCCTTTCCTAGAATAGCCCCTCCCCTTCCCCCAGGCTCCTTCCCTTCTTCCAAGATCCTTCTTCCTCCTCTTCATCCAGCAGTTCCTGCCGTGCTACAAAAGATGCCTACCCCTTTCTTTTTTTTTTTTTTTTAAAGATTTTATTTATTTGACAGAGCACAAGCAGAGGGAGAGAGAGGGAGAAGCAGGTTCCCTACTGAGCAAGGAGCCCGACATGGGACTCGATCCCAGGACCCTGGGATCATGACCTGGGCCGAAGGCAGCCGCTTAACGGACTGAGCCACCCAGGCGTCCCATCCCTACCCTTCTTTCAAGAGCTGTCCTCCCCAGCAAAACGGCCCCACTTGCCCACGAGCCCCTCCCCTTCCTCCTTTGGCTCCTCCCTCACAAGGCTCCGCCCTTTCAACAGCTCCGCCCACTGCCCCACCCATTCCTCGCCGCTCCTCCTAGGGTCCGCCCACTCTTATTCCAGCCCCGGCCCACACTACCTCTCGCTTTTGGCTCCCCGCCGCGGAGGGCAGCTTCCTTTAGAACCGGGCAGGGCCTGTCGCTCTGCCGCCTGTGGAGTGGGGTCTGGGGCCCTGCCCCGTAGGCGGGGAAGCGGCCGCGGCCGCTCACACCCTTCTGTGGGCCCCACGGGATGGAAGTCCCCGGGACAGTTAAGTCCCCGCCAGCAGGCGAGCGCGACAGTTGCCCTGGGTTACGGACGCGCTGGGGGCGGGGCCCGCGGGGGGTTGTCGCGGAAGTGATGCAGAGCCCGCCCGGCGTAACAAAGCTTGCGCGCGGGAGGTGCCTCTGGCTGACGGCTGAGGGCACGTGCTCCCAGCAGGCTCTGCGCAGCTGCGCACCTTACCCGCGGCAACCGCGCCTGAGGAGCCGTGGCCGGCTGTGAGCGCGCGCCTGGGGACGCGTTTGAGGTAAGGTGGAAGACCAAGCGCGGGTCGGGGAGATGGGCGCAGCGGCCGATGCCCCGCGGACGGTGGGGTTAGAGAGGGCCGTGGGACCGGCTTCCCCTCAGAAACCCAGCACCGCACGCCCGGCACTGTTGCCGTCGGGCCGGATGGGGCTGAGGAGGGGGCTGCCCTGCGCGTCGTAGGATGCTTAGCAGCATCCGTGGCGCACCCTCTGGATGCCCGGCAACCAGAAAGGCCCCCAGCTTTGCCAGCTGTTCCCAAATTGCCCCTCCTCCAGGAGAGCGACTGTGGCCAAAACTTCCTAGTGGAACCTGCTCTTTAACTTCCGGGCCCCGCTTGCTTGACGGGGCGGTACTCGTTTGCGTCCGCCGGCGACACCACGTCGCGCTCGTTGAACTAACTTGTGTCGTTGCGGTGCAACCCTGAAGGGAAGGAGCCTCACGCCCTTAAGTCAGACGACGAACTGGGCAAAGCTACGCACTCCTCCCCTCCTTTGGGCCTCGCACTTTGAAACTCCTCGAAGTTCGGCCAGCGGTGGGAACCTAAGGCCCAGGCCAGGTTATTCAGTGGTAGAGCCTGGGCCCAACTCACGTCTGATGCTAGAGCCGGCCTGCTTTCTAGCTGGTGTGTGTGTGTGTGTGTGTGTGTGTGTGTGTGAATAATTCTGTTGTATGAAAGCATTAGAATGTCTTGAATAGCACTGTGACAAGGAGGCATTTGGAAAGATAGCTATGTATTACTGCCTTTTTTTTTTTTAAACAGAACCCACAGTAGTAATTAGAATACCTGGAAAGTCTACGGAAAGACCGTTGTGTAACATTATACTGGGATGTTAGAACAAAGTACTTTTCTAGATATTACTACTTTTTTAGGTGTAATCTCTTTACCTAAAATATGCGTATTTGGATCTTGTATCTCACAACTGGGAAGAAATGGTATGCCTGCATACTTGTAAAAACAACTGTACAAAAATGCATTACTTCATTGCACATTTTTAAAACGTAAAACGTTCATAAATTTAAATGGTAGCCAAGTATCATAAACGTTGGGATTTAAAAATGTCACACCCCAGGGCGCCTGGGTGGCTTAGGCAGTTAAGTGTCCCAGTCTCTGCTTGGCTCAGGTCCCGATCTCATGGGTTGGGAGGCTGAGCCCTGCATCAGGCTCTGTGCTCACTGGAGAGTCTGTTTGGATATTCTCTCCCTCTGCCCCTTCCCCCACTCCTGCACGCTCCCTCTCCAATAAGTAAAATCTTAAAAATAAAAATGTTACAACCCTCTTTGAAAGGCACTGAAAGAAATCTAGTAACAGTTTGATACCCATCAACATCTATTTAAAAATATAAACTGATAGAAAAATTTTTTTTCTTCTTAAATTCGTAATTGTATTCTTATTCTACTTCCTACACAGAACTTTATTCTAACATATTTATGGTCAAATGGTCAAGACTTGAGTAGTCTTGTCAATTTGATGTGCAAAAAAAAAAATAATAATTTGAAAGTGAAACTTAAAACACCATAAGGCAGAAACAGTCCATTGTTTTTCCAGATCGAGAATTGTCTTTATCCCTACTCAGTTGACAAATAGTAGGAATGTATTAAATGTGTTGATAAATATTAATGTTGCTGGAAGTGTATCGGAATGAAATGGGTGGCACTGTTCCTCCCCTCTGCAATTTTTGTATCTGGATAAATGTCACGTATTGCTAGAATGAGATTCAGCCCCAATTTTACTCATTTTTTAAACATATCTGAGATACTTTGTTCATATGAAGATGCATATGGAAGAGGTTTTGTTATAGCATTTTCTCAAGTTTTTAAGAACTCCTTTCCACAGAGAAATCAGTTAACGAAAATTTGAAATCACCTGACTAGCAGAAGGCTTTGTTACCCACTCATTAAAGCTACTTTGTTTCTGGGAAGTATACCAAAAATTTTAACAAAGTATTTTACTAAATGACTCTTCATTAAACTTGACTGTAAGCATATTCTCATTAAGCACATGTGGAAAGTTGGAAGATGGTAAGTGATTTCCTTTACAGTAACTGTGCCTGCACACCTTGCTTTTAAATGGGCTAGTGATAATCACTTTGAGGTTTAGCAGGTAAAAACCTGATAGCATGACTGAGCAGAAACATTAAGGGACAACTGTTTTTGTAATTATAGACTGAATCAAGGTATCAGAAGCTCTAGTAGAATAAGGTCCTAGAATTGGCCAAGGAATGTTTCAAAAACAGAATGATGGAGGCAAGAGATATATGAAAACTGTATTTTCTATTTAGTTTTTCTGTGAACCTAAATCTGGCCTAGAAAGGGAAAATACTGATGGGGATAAATAGCAGTAAAGCCATTTGCAGGGAAGAAAGAATTTAATCTCCTTGTAAAGTGAGGGCCCTTTCTGAGGAAAGTGTATGTGTGATTGGGTCTGAAAGAATAGTGATTGTTAAGCAGTAATAAGGACAGTTACAGTTAGCATAATTTTTAAAAAAGATTTTTTTAAAAAATTTTATTTATCTGACAGAGAGATATAGCGAGAGAGGGAACACAAGCAGGGGGAGTGGGAGAGGGAGAAGCAGGCTCCCTGCGGAGCACGATCCCAGGACCCTGGGATCATGACTTGAGCCAAAGGCAGACGCTTAACGACTGAGCCACCCAGGCGCCCCAAGATTTATTTATTTTAGAGAGAACACAGAAGCAGGGGGAGGGGCAGAGGAAGAATTTCAAGCGGACTCTCTGCTGAGGTCAGAGCCTGATGCAGGCTGATCCCAGAACCCTGAGATCATGACCCCAGCTGAAACCAAGAATCAGATGCTCAACCAGCTGAGCCACCCAGGTGCCCCTAGTACTTTCTTTCTTAAAACTTAATGTTGTCAACTTTTTTTTTTTTTAAAGATTTTATTTATTTATTTGAGACAGAGAGAATGAGAGAGAGAGAGCACATGAGAGGGGGGAGGGTCAGAGGGAGAAGCAGGCTCCCCGCCGAGCAGGGAGCCCGATGCGGGACTCGATCCAGGGACTCCAGGATCATGACCTGAGCCGAAGGCAGTCGCTTAACCAACTGAGCCACCCAGGCGCCCCAATGTTGTCAACTTCTTTAAACTTGGGGAGGTGATAAAATTTTTAAGGTAATAAAAAGATTTTTGTAATACCTCTAGGGTAACCTGTTCCATTTCTTGAGTTTTAATTATTAGCAAGCATTACTCAAAACGTTTATTAAAATGCTCTATTAAGACCAAAACCATTCAAAAGGAATTTTGAGGTCAGAGAAATTAAGTTCTCTGTTGATTTACTGTTTGGAAGGCCATTCAACACCTGTTATTTTTGGCAGCACTACAATACAAGGGTTGAAATGGTTCTGTATTCTAAATAGCAAAAGAGCAAGTTGCCATACTGTTCAGCTCTTTGAAAAAGCTCAGAGGGAGCCTAACAAAGCAAGTGTATTTGGGAAAGGATGGGAGAATAAAAACTGCCCATCTCTTTCAGTTATAATCACTGATGTCCTTTCACTCTGGAATTGCCATTTTTGCTTGCTTCCCCCCTTTAGAACATTCATTCTCCCTCCCTACCACCCCTATTCCAATGTAAGTATTTTTATAGTAATACTAGCTAAGGAACTGATAAAGAATGGACCAGGAAATGTGAAAATCCTAACCATGGATTTTTAAGTGTCTTACCCTCTCCACTACCTTTCTTTCCTGTGAAATGGTGGTATTTATGGATCTGTCCTACCTAGTTCTGGATATTGCTTTAATCATCAAAGAAGGTAATATATGAGAGTACTTCAAAACAAAAGAGTAAATCTATATAATTATTACTCATTCTATTTCTAAAGCAGAGTAAATTAATTTTTAATAACTAAAAATTGACTAATAATTATATACAAACAAGGAAACAGTCATCCAAAATATTTTGGATACTTTCTTGATAAGGGTGCAAAGATGTATCAGCAGTGACATGGCCCTTAAAGGATGGTTTTTTTCTCCTGAGGAGCAGGAAAGATTTGTTATTTACCTACCTAATTCCTCTAGGTTTTCACATTTGCAGTTTATTCACCGTCAGAAGGTGGTAGTATTTGAATACATCTCTTTTCCTGCACTAACTGGGAAAAATGAGAGGTTTGTCTGCTTATGCTATGTGTATGTGTGTATTTATATATATTTACAGTTCTGTGTGTATATATAATATCCCCTTCAAAATATCAGCATATTATACTTGGCTTAGAAAATATACTATTTAGCTACTTAAAAACACCACTGGGCACTGTAAATTTGCTTAAGCTGTGAAGAATATTCACTAAGTCAATGTGCGAGCTCATAAAAAGTTTCACTATGTCCATTTCTGTTCCCATTAAAGTGGAAACCTGAATGTGGTTTACTTTCTTAAGGATGCCATGTGTTGTGCTTATCTAACTTTTACCTTTCCTTGTTTTCCTCTTCTGTCTTCTAACCTAGAAGCATTAAAACAAAACAAAACAACACAAAACAAAAACCACCAAAGTCAGTGCTTTCTTTTTGATTATATTAAAGATGACCAAAAATGGTACTTAATGCTATCAGGCAATTAGGTCTTTAAGAAAAACCAGATTTGTGACTAAAAGGAAACATTTTCTTGGAACCTTTCATTGTTATGGCTTAAATTTCCTTTTAAAAAAATAACTTTCCATAAGTTAAAATTAGCATTTTCACAAATACTAGCAGAGTCACTAAATGAAATATTAAAACAAAAAACATGAATAACGAAGAAGTTGAATGTTTTATTAAACTATCTGCCTGCAAGGCTGTTGCTTCATTGTATAAAAATAGCACCAGCAAGTGCAGTATATTGCAAAATTAAGGTAGTATTGTTCTTTATCTGGCACATTACAACTAACAAACCTTTCTCTACTGCCAGTTATTTCCAATGGAAAGATTATTTAAGCATTTTGACCCCCATCCAGGGATAGATGTAAGCTTAAGGCTTAAGGTAACAATGTCATCCTTGAATTACATAATTTTTATAACTAGTTTTTAACCAAGATAATTTCAGTATTCTGAATATTATAACTGGAGCATAAAAATCAGAGGGTGTTGCAAAACAGATGCATGTTGTGTTTTTCTGCAATCATTATAAAGTTAAGGGGTATTTTCTTCCATTAGCATTGTTGCAAGTAGTTTCTTTCTCCACTGGTATTGCTAATAGTTGCTATTTTAAATCTCTGTGTACCACTAATTTAAGACAACTTTGCTAGATTAAGTTGTTTCATACTAGTTTATTTAGGGGTTCCATTTTCATTCCTCAATAGATTTTATGTATTTCTCATATGCTTCTTCACTCATTAATTCATCCAGTTCTGAAGGATTACTGAGTGCTATCTTGATCAGCCAACCTGCAACCGAAAAAAAGTATCATATTCCAAATTACCTTTTTAAATTGATCTAGTATTCTTTACATAAATCACTCATTTGTTCAAGGAGCTTTATATTTTAGCCTTAAGAATTCAGTTAATAAAAAAAAAAAAAAAGAATTCAGTTAATATCCTTGCATATCACAATTGAAAAGAATTAAAGCCAGAATAGATTCTACTATAATGGATTAAGAACTCTTAACCTCCAACCTGTCAGAATGGCTCTAATAAAAAAACACAAAAACCAAAAAATGTTGACTAGGATGTGGAGAAAAAGAAACCTTTGTGCACTGTTGGTGGGAATGCAAACTGGTGCAGCCACTGGAAGACAGTATGGAGGTGTCCCAAAAACTTAAAAGTAGAGCTACCCTATGATCTTGTAATTGCACTACTGAGTATTTATCCAAAGAATACAAAAACTAATTCAAAAGGCTGTATGCACCCCTATGTTTACTGAAGCATTATTTAAAATAGCCAAACTATGGAAGCAGCCCAAGTGTCCATCAACAGATGAATGGATGAAGATGCGGTGTATATATATGTGCATATATGTGTATAAAATGGATTATTACTCAGCCATTAAAAAAATATGAAATCTTGCCATTTGCAACAACATGGATGGCATTAGAGAGTATAATGTTAATAAGCAAAGTAAGTCAGTCAGAGAAAGACAAATAACACAGGATTTCAATCATATGTGGAAGTTTTTAAAGTAGGCTGCACACCCAGCATGGCGCCCAACACGGGGCTTGAACTCACGACCCCAATCAAGACCTGAGCTGAGGTCAAGAGTTGGATACTTAACTGACTGAGCCACCCAGAAACCCCTCATGTGGAATTTATGAAACAAAACAAAGTAAAAAAAAAAAAGGAGACTCTTCAGTATAGAGAACAAACTGATAATTATCAGGGCAAGGTAGGTGGAAGGATAGATGAAATATGGCATGGGGATTAAAAGAGTACATTTGTCATGATAAGCTATGAGTAATGTGTAGAATTGCTGAATCACGATATTGTACACCTGAAACTGATATAAACACTGTATGTTAACAATACTAGAATTAAATTTTTAAAAATTAAAAACAACAAAAAACCTCAAGTTGCCACAACCATCAACAACATTGAGGGATCCAAATATACAAGACCAGGATATCTTTCTTTAACAGAAGGAACAGCGACACTGTAACTGCTGAGGTGACGGGGAAGAGGAAGCAGAAAGCACTACTAGAGTTAGAAGGACTAGGTGACAGGCAACAGAGAACTACAAGCTAATCTTAATTTTGCAATTCATGTACAAAATGGAGAAAACTGCTGCTACCATACTTCACTGGGTTATTAAGAAGATGAAAATGTGACAAAACTGATGCAATACGCATTATTCTATTACCACCTTTATGTGTGAAGAGGTAAATACTTTGAAAGTGTTCATAAAAAGTCTATACCCGTAATACTAAGAACTCTGTAAAAGAAGGCAATACTTTTATTGACAGAGATCTTAAAGCTAACCTTATATATTCAGCTAATCTGTGTTTCCCTTTTTTAAAGCAAAACATCCCTATTTCGTATCAAAAAAGTACAAAATGAGGGGCGCCTGGGTGGCTCAGTCTTTAAGCGTCTGCCTTCAGCTCCGGTCATGATCCCAGGGTCCTGGGATCGAGCCCCACATCGGGCTCCCTGCTCAGCGGGAAGCCTGCTTCTCCCTCTCCCACTCCCCCTGCTGGTGTTCCCTCTCTCACTGTGTCTCTCTGTCAAATAAATAAAATCTTAAAAAGTACAAAAAGATGAAGTTCCAATCTGCTAAAGCTTGCTTTAAACTCTAAATGTTAACTGCAGCAATAATCCTTTGAAAAAATTTCTAGCAACAACTTACCATCTTCGTAACAAGATTTGTTGACAAGTCCTGGATTTTCTGCAAGAGCTTCATTAATTTCAGTTACTTCTCCTGATAAAGGCGAATAGAGTTCACTAGCAGCTTTCACACTTTCCAAAGCACCAAACTCATCTAAATTGAGAAAATTAAAATATTAAATATCAAAAGTCAATGACCTGAAAATATAAAATATGGGTAAGTGGTCACCTTTAATACAGGCATGATAAAACATTCTAAATATCTTTAAAGATTTTACTTATTTGAGAGAGAGACAGCAAGAGAGAGCACAAGCAGGGAGAAGGAGAAGCAGACTCTCCGCTGAGCAGGGAGCCTGACACGGGGCTTGATCCCAGGACCCTGGGCTCATGACCTGAGCCAAAGGCAGACACTTAACTGAGTGAGCCACCCAGGTGCCCCAAAGCATTCTAAATATCTTTAACTAAAAAAAAAAAATCAGTTTTGTCATGCTCATATCACCTGTAAGAAGGGTATAAATATCCTCAATTAAGTGGACCTGTTTTTAGACGGAGTCAACAGATGGTGATGTATCTGAATACCAGATGTACTTAAACCCAGTAAAACTCAATGAAAATGAAATGTTAGGAGATTCCAGTAATGGTGAAGTACCTCATCAGACCAGCCTTCTTGAAGATAACAATTATAAACTCTGAACAAAACAAAAAACAATTATATGAAGGCTCTGAAGGGTGACCAAAGGAGGAGTCAATCCTTAAAAGGGGCCCAAAATGGAGGAGATCTTCATTTATATAATTTGTACTGACAACACTGCCCCATTCAAAGCACACAGTTTCACTAGAACACAGAGAAAACCAGTCTTATTTGCTTGAGAGGTCAGAGGATGGAACGTGGGCCTGCCAAGGTAGCTGGAAACTGAGGGTTGAAATCCTATAAAGAAAGGGAGCCATGGTCAAGAGAAAAAAGTAGTCAACAGATGACAAAAGGACCCATAGACCCACATACTGGAATAAGCAGAGAACCTAAAAGTAACTATTACAAATTTGTTCAGATTTTTAAAAAGATCATCATGCGCGAACACATGGGGGAATACCTGCAAAGAAACTGAAATTTTAAAAATGGACATTCTAGAACTGGAAAGTATAATATGTAAAATAAAATTCACTGGATGGCAGTAACAGCAGAAGGGTCAGTGAATGTGAACAAAGAGCACGTGAAATTAACCATATTTCAGTCTTTTGACTGAAATAAAAGACTGAAAAATTAACAGAGCCTTGGTCACCTCTGGGACAACACTGAGTGATCTGAACTGAATGATACTGAGAATACAATATACCCAAATTTGTGGGATATAGCTAAAATATTGCTTAGAAGGCAATTATATTTAGGTCTCATTTACAAAGAACATCTTAAAAATCAATGACCTGGATTCTAGAGACACTAGAAAATGAACAATAGCAGTCAGTTCATGGAAAGGAGACAACACTTGAAAGAAGGGACAGTAGTGATTTTTTCAAAGATGGCTTTTGGCCTGAAGACAGCACCAATCTTTGCCATTTGGGGCAGCCAAAATTCTGAGAGAAAAATCTCAGTCTTAATTGGCATAAGGGACCAGAAGATAAGTTGAGGCCACCACAACTACTGGAAAGTGAGGTGGGAAAGCCCAAGGAGAGAGACTAAATGGAAGAGCCCCAAATCCTGTGTATAAACTCTGTCCAGGTCTCTGAATGATGCCTGAGCCATGCATGCACAGCTGGTGTCCCAGCTAAGGCTAAAAGAATTAAAACTTAGATTTTAGCTGCTACCCATCACAAGGGAGACAGCGTTTCATAGTATGAGTAACAAAGTACTTACTAAAACAAAGCCCCAATTTTCTACCAAGGAAAAATTAGATAGAGAAATTAAGTCTAATTTGAAGGAAAAAAACAAAGCTAGGAGCATGAAATAAATGGAGTATAAAAAAATTAACAGTAAAAATTTGCTTCTTTCAGGATTAGTATGATAAATAGCTAACAAGACTGATGAAAAAAAAGAGAGAAAACACACAAATTACCACATCTTTACTAATGAATTTGACAACATGGAAAAATTCCCCCCAAAACGTAACAAAATCAAAGATAATGTAGAAAATATGAACAGCCTTATATCTATTAAAGAAATTAAATTTGTATCAAAAACCTTCCCAGAAAGAAATCATCTAACTCAAGATTTAACTAATTTTATCAAACACTTAAGGAAGAAATAATACCAATCTTGCACATTCTTTCAGGAAAAGAGAGAAGGTGAGAACATTTCCAAACTTAGTCTAAGAGGCCAATACAGGGGTGGCTAGGTGGCTCAGTTGGTTAAGTGTCATGATCCCAGGGTCCTGGGATCGAGTCCCAGATCAGGCTCCCTGCTCTGCAGGGAGACTGCTTCTCCCTCTGTCTGATGCTACCCCCCTGCTTGTGCTCTCTCTCACTCTGGCAATAAATATATAAAAATCTTAAAAACAAAAACAATCAAAACCAGGAGGTCAATATAACTAATTCCAAAATTTGACAAAGCCATTATAAAAGACCAATATCTATAATGAATATTAATACAAAAATGATTAATTAGCAAATCAAATCCCACAGTATATTTTTAAAGGTAATTTTTGCATCATAACTACCAGGAATGCAAATCTGGTTAAACATTTAAAAATAACCTTATTCACCACATTAACAGAATAAAGGAGAAAACCCTTATGATCATGTCGGTAAGATGGATAAAACAAATGTGACAAAATTCAACATCCATAAATGATAAAAACTATCAGCAAACTAGATGGAAAGGAACCTCCTCATCTGATAATGAGATTCTGTCAAAAACCCCCAGCTAACTATCATGCCTAAATGATGAAATCTTAATGCATTCTCAAGATAAGGAATAAGGCCAAGGCAATGATGTCTACCTCACTGCTTCTATACAACATTATACCGAGGGCTCAGGGCCGTGCAATAAGGCAAGAAAAAGAAAGAAAATGCATAAAGATTGAAAAGAAATAAAGTTCTTTATTTACAGATTACATTACTGTTTACATAGAAGATTCAAAGGAATCTATAAAACTGTTAAGAATCAGTGAATTTAATAATGCCTGAAAATGGAAGCAAAAACTGTGAAGTTTCAAGAAGAAAACACGGAGAGTACCTTGCAAACTTGGTATAGGCCACAGTTGCTCAAACTTTCTTGGTTCATAGTGCCCTAAGTATCTTAGTAACATATTTTTCATTTTTAACTACAAGTATTTACTGATAATGTGTGTCTGTTGCAGACTATACAAATTCTCTATCAGGGAATCAGACTGAACACCACATTGTCTTATTGATGATCCTTGCTTACTTTCATGCAATATTTGCTTCAAAGACACATTACCCAAGATAACACAGATCTAATATTGGATAACTGTTAACTCTATTGAGCTATCAGTGTGTGGTGTCCAAAAGAGATTGAAAATTTTAAATATCCCACAGCTCTAGGGTATATAGGATGGGAACCATGGAGACAAAGATTTCTTAGAAAAGATGCAATGTTCTATACATAAATTAAAACAGTAATAACTTGGACTTGTTAAAAATTAAAAGCTTATCAAAAAAACACAAGAAAATGAAAAGACAAAATAACAAACTATGACAAAATTTCACAAAATATAGATCTGAAAAAGGATTTGTACCTAGAATATATAGAATGCCTAAAAATCAATGGTAAAAAGACAACACAAATAAATTGGTAAAGGCTTGACTAGAGACTACAAAGATGTGAGTGGCAAAAAGCACATGGAAGGGTGCTCGAAAATAATTTATCATCTCACAGTGAGATCTGCAGTGCCTAGAACTCTCTCATATTGCTGGTGAGAATGTAAAATGGTACAACCACTTTGGGAACCTGTTTGGCAATTTCTTACAAAGTTAAACATAAAACTACTACACTACAAGCCACAAATTCCACTCATATATATATGTATATATATACACATATACACACACATATATATATACCCAAGAGAAATGAAGACATCTACAAAAAAGACTTCAACAAAAAAGTTTATAGTAGCTTTATTTCTAATAGCTAAAAACTAGAAACAACACAGAAATCCAACAGGAGAAAAGATTAAAATGTTACATAATGGTACACTACTCAGCAATAAAAAAAAAAAACAACTACTGATCACTCAACATAAATCTCAAAATCATGATATTGGACAAAAGAAGCCAGACATAATATAAAAACTGTGTGGTTCCTTTTGAATGAAGTTAAAATAATAGACAAAACTAACCTATGGTGTCAGAAATCAGAGAACAGGTTGTCTCGAGAAGGGTTTTAATCGGCAAGGCTTACACAGTGTTTATGTTTATCAAAACTCACTGGATTGTACACTTCATGCATTCACTGTATGTAAATTTTTCATCAATTTTATAAAAGCCTTTAGTAGAAAAGTTTAAAGACCGTATTCATTAGGGATATTTATGTTAACCTAAGTTTTTTAAGCATAGAAAGTAGGTTCATGCAGCTCACTTGCTGTAAAGAGATGTTCAGAAACAGGATCTCTTGCCTGAGAGCAGCAAAGTGGGTATAAAAGATCATGAGAAAACAAGAACAACTGTTCTCTAATGTATAGAACACAGGAAAATGGACAGATAAAGATTATTAATCACAACAGGATCTTATTATGGCATCGGAAAAGGTTCCTATGAAGACCTTCAAAAAAGAGGGATATGACCTAATATTATATGAGAGCCAGGAAGCAGAAAAAGTTCAAACAAGATAAATGATGGGGAAAGTTTAAGCAGAAAAAAAACCATGGCCAATATTGTCAAAGATACTTAGAAAAACAGATTCTTTACTGCCTCCAAAGAAAAACAGATTTAACCTTCTCATCCTACTTTTGGATATGGCCATTTGAGAAAGTGATGCTTTGCTGCCATTTTGTGACCTCTGACACACTGAGGCAGAAAAAGTATGAAAAGAGGTCATGTCCTTGATGATCCTTCACTGAGCCACTAAGCCAATCCCCTGTATCCACCTATCTCCAGACTCCTTGAGGGAGATAAAATAAACCCCAACTTTAATCTTTTAGATTGAGTTTTCTATTACTTGAGTAAAAAGCACTCTAACTGGTCCTAGGTGCAACAAGTTATTCAAGGTAAAGAAAACTTATGGCATGAATAATATACCAAGATGAGAAAAATACCTTGTTTGTTCAGTTTTGTCCCAACTTCAGGCAGACTACAGTAAACAACATCTCCCAGAGCTTCCTAAAACAAACAAAACACAAACCTTTAAGAAATCAAATTAAACCTCCTAGTGAATAGAAACAAGTCAAACACTAACCTTCTATAATTCAGATAGTACATATTTTACACTCCAGGGGCCACATTCTTTAGTTTTTCTTACAACTCTTCAAAAATGCAAAACATTCTTAGCTCAGGACCTGTAAGAAAACAGGCCACCAGCTAGCCTAGCCCACAAGCAGCAGTGACTCCTGTCATAAACCATATCCCCCTTATCCCCCCCATATACTAGCTCCTCTGAGAACAAACACCTTGTGCTTTTCTACCTTTGCAGTTTCGCTTAGGCCATTTCCCCTGCTGTATTTGCTGAAATCCTACCCACTGATCTATAAATCATAGTCCTCATACCTTGTACTCCCTGAAGACCTTGATTCCAAGTTAAGAAGTGAGCTCTCCATCAGGTGAGTTACAACCCTTGTACTATGCAGGTCATCCATCATATAATGTTTTGTGTGTCATTTTCCATGTAGGTGATTCCCCTCATAGATAAAACTCCAGGAGGTGAAGACAACACTTGCACAGTATTGTACACAGTACCCTGTACTGGGCCTCAGTATGTACACAGGCCAGTGACGATAACAATTGTCACTGATGCTCAATACCTGAGATTCCAACACTTCTGAAAACTAGTATACATTCCTATCAGTTAACAGTTTCCCCTTCCTGCCCCCCCCCCCCCCCCACAGCCCCAGTTGAAAATCACTGACTCATACTTGCTATTTGGCTTCTCATTTTCTTCTGAATAATTTCTCATTATGGGATCAGTGGGAATAGAGAAATTAAAGAAAAAGAGTGGCTACATAAAAGGTTTGCCTTTGTCTAATCTGTGCCAGTCTAGGTTTTCCTTCTTTATCCCCTGGGGTTGTGCATATATCACAGTATCCACAAACACTGTCAACACTCCCATGCCTTCTGCTTGCTCTTATTTTTTCCTTAACTGCCCAAACATGAAACCTTTCTTTCTTGAATAAGGTATGTTTACTTCTGAGTGTTAACCTTTTAATAATCTCTTAAAACACTATATACTGCTCTAACTAAATTTATATTTTACTTGTTTACTTGATTTTCTTTAAAGGGCCCAAAATAATAAGGGGCAGAATAAACAATCTTTAAAAGGTAGAGCAATCCAATTTAGGCAAGAGCACACTGTTTTTAGTATTTCAAGACAAGCCAATACCTGTGCAAAATTGCTGATTCCCACTGTTCCAATACCATTTTCTGTTGTTATCCATTCATGTTTGTCTGTGAATTTACGCACTAAAATAGAAGACCAGTATTTCAGAAAAGCAGTGGTATCACTTCTTAAAAAGCACTTTTCATATCAATACTGTCAAAAGGCAAGACTTTCCCAGTATTTGTGTTTAACTTAACACTGCGTTTCAATAATACACTGCCCAGGAGAAACCAGATCACATGAAAAGATGGAACATCTTCTCAAGAGTAGTATCATTTAGGCAAAGATGGCTTGATGTGAATAACACCTTGTGCATCTTTTGGAGATTTGGTTATTCCAACATTAGTCTATATTACACATACAAACTATTTTGGAGCGTACTTCAAAATGTATACTCATCTATTACTGGTCTTACAGAAGGTAGTCTGTCCCTCTGTAGCTTGGTGTGAGGGAGCATAAATGCTCATAATGCTTATAAATGATTTAACCTGAAGAAAAAAAAATGTGCCTCTTTAGGTAGAGTTGACCTAAGAGGGCTTCACTGCATCTTGGTTATAAAGTGGAGTCTTACATGAATGAAACTGATCTGCAACAATTATAACTTGACTAACTTCTTAAAATTCCATTTTCATTGAATTCAAGCCTGCCCTTGAAGAAAATGGCTACTGTCATTTAAAGAAACAAACTATAAGATCAGAACTCAACAGTCACCTCAGAGCTAAGGCATTAACTGGTGGAAAGTCAAGTTCTGCTCAACATTCAGTGGACAGATTAGCCCTTGGCTTTATGAGCTTTTCTTCAAAGACATGGCCGAACTATTCAAGGATTCCTGGAAAAAAGACTGACCAAAGTTCAAGACATGTGAAAAAAGCTATTTAGAATTTAATGTTAGTAGTACTTGCTTTAAAGAATAAATTTTTTAAAAAGCATAATGCTAACATAATATTATGTTATCACATTCTGAGGCCAAATATTTTTCCAAAAACAATGCCTCAGAAGTTAATAGGACAATGGTTCATCAATTCACATGCTGTTTTTGAGTAAGCCTTTCTGGTTCACTCTTACCCCTTACCCACAAGATAGTTGTACTTAAAACAGCATTAAAATGCTTTGATTACACAGCGCTGATATACAGCAGAATGTAACTTACTGCTTTCTTTTTCCCTTAATCATTAAAAAACTTCAATTTCATATTCTTCACTGTAAGAAGTTGTAAAATCTGTCAAAAAGGAACTTGTTTTGCTTCATTCCACTTCAAATAACTAAATGCTTCAGGTCAATCTGATCTTTCCGTAAAGTTTCTAACTTGGTGTTCTGACTGCAACTCTCTCCCCCACTGCCTTTTCTTGACTACTACAAGTTCGAATTTCCTTCCTGCCAGAAGCCTTCTGTAGCCCTCCAAAGTTCCTAGGCCATCCAACTGGCTCCCACAGCACTCTGCACCACTCTCTCCGGATCCTGACCCTACAGTACACAGCACTTAAGGAACTACACATATACCCTTTTGTCCACTCTCCCCAGCAAGGAGATGAAGTACAAAGCAAGCAAGAGCATGGTTTATCTCATTATCTCATTTTCATTTGTATTCCCAGTTCCAACACAGAGCTTACCAAACAGTAAGCACTCAGAAGTTTAAGGAGTGAAGTAATTCTTTAGTTTTAATTAAGTAGATTCTGAGCAAAATATCTATATACATATTTGGCTACACTCAATTCTCCCTATCACTCTGTTACAACTCTAGAACTGGCCGATTACAATACAAATTATGAAATAATAAATATGACTTCTCTGAGACTACTGTCTCAATTTTGGCCTTGGCATCTTGCCTAATTGTAAAGATAATCTTAGGAGTAAGGTTGCTCACATACACTCAGTTTAACAATTGAACAACCATAAATTTAGAGGAAAGACAGCAACATTACTAAGGTAAATGCATGTTAAGTCCACTTAATTTCAAAGTCCAGGAGACTTTTTACAAGGCCAAGCTGTTTAGGCTAAAGACAATGATTAGTTTAATTCTCCTTTAACCCTCAGCCTAATAGGAAAAAAGTGGACAGATTAGGTAAAAATTACTTTCTTACTGAGCCTTTAAGAACATTTTTGGCCTCAAAATGAGGCGTTTCAGTAATTTATGAAAAGTCTGCATTTTCCTCCTTTCAACGTCACAAGTCAAGGGGCACCTGGCTGGCTCAGTAGATGGAGCATGTGACTTGATCTCAGGGTCATGAGTTCAAGCCACACATGGAGCATGGAGCTTACTAACTTACTAAAAAAAAGTGTCTGTTCCAAAGTCACTAGCCAGATAACAAATATTGGCCAATTTTTACCTACTTGATTCTATAATATTTAATAACGAGTAACATTTACCAAGTACTTACTATGTGTCAGGCTACATGTACAGCGGTTACATTATTTCATTTCATCTTCCCAACAACTCTGCCTGGTAGAGGTATTATCATTTACATTTTTCTGATGAGGGGAACAGACTCAGAAGTTAAGTGACTCTGCCCAAGATCACAGAGCTAGTAAGAGGTAGGATCAAAATTGGAACCTGGGTCTCTCTGTTCTTAAAAACCTTGGTGTTCAACCAGATCATGGGTTATTGATATTTTGGACAATATTTAACTAGCTAACTGGAAACTGCAAAAAGCCAGCAGGTAAGCGTCACACTGAATAACCAACCAAACAAACCAAAAAAACCCCACCAGACTTGAAATTCATTTCTTCTCTGAGATATGCTTTCCCCTTTGTATTCAGATTGGTAATTACTGATATGTGTCACCAAGAGAACTAAAGGAATATATTAGCAACGAAAGAGAAGCATCTTTATGTTTCAGACTGGAATAAATGTTATCAAGTCTTCCATTTCCAAACAGGTTTCTAAAACCGTGAACTTAACGGGACAACAGCCATCACAGGCTTATGCACCCCTAAGAAAGAAGCCTGAGCTCTTGGAGGTGCATTAGCATCTCAAGCATTTGTGCACGCAGTAAGAAAACTTTTTCTGCTGCGATAATTGTATAGTAGCACAGATGACCAAGACATTTGTGGGCAGGGCCCCGTTATTTCAATTGCATGTCCGTGTGAGGCCTCATTTCTGTCCCAACACATCCATGACTAAATATAGGTTTTAGCAGAATGTAAGAGTCCCAAAGACTTTATCTCACTGTTTTTAGGAAAAAGCCAAGTCTTCAAAGGGATGCTCACTTTTGCTAGTAAAAATCTAGCTCCAGTGCTTTAATTTCATTAAGCGCTCTTTAATTTTACTTCAGAGTTCTCAGTGACAGTCCATGTAGCAAACTAAAGCCTACCATGTCTCCAATTTTAGGGCCCACGATGCACACATACGCGAGATAACCTAAGGTCGCGAAGGAGCTTAGCGACGCTTGCATGGTTCTCCAGCAGCGAGCGGCCGGCGCTCCCGTGGAACGAGTTCGCACTTGGCAGTCGCGCGTGTACTCCAGGCTTCCTCCTCCTGGCTCCCCAACCCGCAGGACAAAGGCTGCGGTGTCGGCCACGCAACTAGGGATCCCAGCAGTAGAAAGAAGCGTGGGCAGGGGTCGCCTCGCCTGACCCGGGTGGTCACCACTGCGGACTCGAGGTAAGCAGCGACCCGGGGAGGGAGGCGCCCAGCCCCGTCGCCCCAGGCAGCCCGGCTCTCCCCCACGTGCCCGCCCGCGCTTACCGGAGAGCAGAGCGGAGCCCGTGCGCAGTGTCCGGACAGCGCCCGCCCTCAGCCCCCAGGGCCGCGGTGGGCAGGGTGCGGCGGGCGCGGAGGCGACGCGCAGACTGCAGGCCACAGCCCGCATGCTCCGCACCGCTCGCAGCGCCATGTTCACAGAGGTGCGGGGGTCGCAGTGCAAGCGGCTCGGAAACCCCAGCCGGCAGGGGCGGAGCAGGAGCGGGGCGGGGGCGGCCCCGGACCGGAGCAAGCCGGAGCGAGCTGGCTGGTCCGGGGCGCGGGGGAGGGGCTTGGCAGGGACGGGGGCGGGGACTCCAGGCCGGGCGCGGCCTCGGATAGGGCGACGTGCGTGAAAGGGGAGGGGATCTGCGGCAGAATTGCGTCCCGGAAGGGGCAGGCGGTGAGGGGCGGGGCCTAGCGTAGTAGCTGGTAGGAGTTGGGGCGTGCGGGGCGGGGCGGGGCAGGACCTCGTTCCCCGGAGTCCCTTTACGGCTAGTGAAAGTACAAGGTCCTCCGCTCCAGCTTTGCTAGCGTGGGAGACGCCCCGGGGCATTGAGAGGGTTCCCGGCAGAGATGGCTTCGCGGGGCGCGCATTCCTGTGCCATTGGGTCCCTGAGGTCCCAGGGAAGGTAGAGTGTCCCCAGTTCTGTTAAAGAATACTCTCCCCTCCTCCTACAGAGGATCAAGGTCACCCAGAGCAGGGTTCATAGCCAGGTCTAAACTGAGTCATTCCAAACGAAGGGGGTTGTTGGGCACTGGCCATAGGAGCTCTGACACAGTTTCTCTTTGACATTTCAAAATACTGGAAACAATCCAGGAACCTACTTTATTACTTTACAGATCCCAAGAGGCCTGGGTACCCCAAATGGGACAGACAGAATCATGAACCTCGTAGAGGTGCAAGGACTTGTCTGAGGGTCGGGAATGTCTCCTTGGTGGAGACTGGGTGGGAGCCAGTCGGCTAATGCAGGAGCAATCAAAAGGCAAAGTTGAAGCCCAACATGGTCACTTCCTTGTTTAAGTAGCCAGCCCATGACCAAGGCCTTTTGAGAAAAACAGAAATCATGTTCCCATCCATGGAGATAGAAAATAATTAAGTTCTGGGAAAGACCTCACCTTCAACACAAATTTTATGGAGTGGGTAGGAATCAGCAAAGAAACACCAGAGTGAAAAACACATCAAGCTCCACATCCTCATTATTACAGGGTGGGCAACTTAAAGTGATGTGAGTGTGTGCAAGGATGTTTGGGAGATTCATGTTGTTGCACTGAGCTTCCACCCCACTCAAAATGGGCACTGTCAGCACATCTATGCAGTGGCTTGCAAGGGCTGTCATGCTCCATTTTCCTTTCCCTTGGTATGTGCCAGGGACTGTGCAAACATTACCTTTTTATTTATTTATTTTTAAAGATTTTATTTATTTTTTTGACAGAGAGAGACAGCAAAAGAGGAAACACAAACGGGGAGCTGGAGAGGGTAAAGCAGGCTGGGATCATGACCTGAGCCGAAGGCAGACAGCTTAACAACTGAGCCACCCAGATGCCCCAAACATTACCTTTTTAATCTCCAAACCCCTTTCTGATAGGTATTACTTTCATTTCATAGGTGAGGAACTGGAGGCTCAGAAAGGTTAAATGACTTGCCCAAGAGTAGAATGGGGAAAGCTTTTATAGCTTAAGCAGCTATTAGGTGGCAGTAGCAGGACTTGACCTCTAGTCGGATTCACGGTCAACTTCTCTTAAGCTCTGTTCTTTGTGCCTCCCTTTGGGAAGCTGACTGGCTCAACAGTGGTCTTCTCCAAACTCCAGATCTTGGCTAGCTTCTGTAATGTCAATATTCTGTTTTTATTGTTGTTTCGTTATAAGCCAACATAGCATACTGCAAACCATTCCCTAAAATATTTGTTTCCAGCTCGACTAATGCATTTGGTGGGAAGAGCAAGGTCACATATCAGTCTGTGGACCATATCACATGCCCTTCCACCAAAACAATAGGAAATGTGTCATTTTTTTTAATCTAATAAGCATTAGGATACTCAAAAAAATTTTTTTCATAACTGATAATCTTTGTAACATCCATGGCTTGAGATTTGAAAGGTCATCTCATAGCACATTTGGTACAGACACCTGAAAATTGCATATGGTCTCTTCTTTCAAGTGTCTCAGAAGGGGCCACTCATCTTGTTAAACTTTTTTTTTTTCTCTCATAACAATACAATTGAAGGAGTTGCCAGTTTGATATTTACAGTCAGTAAAGGAGTGGAGAGTAGATGGGAAAGATGAGAGAGATGAAGAACTTACAACTTCTCCAGATCTTAGAACTTTTCCTATTTAAAACAGACTGTATGGGGGCACCTGGGTGGCTCAGTTGGTTAAGCGTCTGCCTTCAGCTCAAGTCATGATCCTGGGGTCATGGGATTGAGCCCTGACTTGGGCTCCCTGCTCAGCAAGGAGTCTGCTTCTCCTTCTTCCTCTCCCCTGGCTCATTCTCTCTTCCTCGCTCTCCCCATCCCCTTCCCCCTCTCCCTCACAAATAAATAAAATCTTAAAAAAAAAAAACCCAGACTGTACATATCTGGGTAGGTCACTGTAGACCTGAAGAGGGAGGGGACCTGAGAGGCTTGCCACTGGAGTTCCTAAGTCTAGGGGTCTTTATGGGCTTGTTGTCGGTTGTTTTAATCTGATGAACCCTCCATGTTCCTGTCATCCAATCAGGTTTTTGTCATCCATCAGTGGGAAAGGGCGGAGGGCTCCTTCCAGGGTGGTGTAAAATCCTTTTAAGGGTGGTTTCCTCTTAGGGTGGGGCCCCTTGTCCCTGCCTGCCTTTCTTCCAACTATCCTTCATCATTATGGAACAAAATTACATGATCTCAAGTTTGTAAAAGCATTTAATATACATTTATAATGCCTGAATGAAAGCTACCCTTCTACCTAATCTCCTGCCTTCCAGAATCTTCCTTCCCTTTGAGCAGACTGGGGCTGCTGTTATGGATGGCTGCTTCTTCCTTTGGCTCCTGCAGTACCTTTTCCCTGCCTCTTTTAAAATACCTAACCCTCTCTCATGCCATTTAGAGCTCAGTGAAGGTTTGTGAGCTAAATGAACCAGCCTAGGGAATAGGTTAGGAATGGAGAGTTCAAATTACAGGCCCTGCATTTCCATTTATTTCCAAATTCTCTGACCTTGGACAGACATCCTTCCTGAGCCTCAATCTCCTTATCTGTAAAAAAAAAAGGGGGGGGGGATGTTCATAATTCTGTCTTTCAGAAATTTGGGGAAGATTAAAGTAGATGAAATAGTGCTTTTAAAGTGGTGTTTTTGTAACAGTGTACAGCATCCAACAATAAATAAATATTATCCATATCAATAAAATTAGTGGGTGAGTCCAGAAACACAATGGTTTGAAGTAAGGATTGCGATCCTAGAGACACACAAGCTAGGTTTTTGGGGTTTTTAAAAAATTTTTTTTAAGATTTTAAGTAATCTCTACACCCAACATAGGGCTCAAACTCATGATCTTGAGATTAAGAGTCGCATGTTCTACTGACTGAGCCAGCCAGGTACACCTTAAGGATTTTATTTTAGGTAATCTCTACACCCAATATGAGGCTTGAATTTACAATCCCAAGATCAAGAGTTGCATGTTGTACTGACTGAGCCCCTCACATAAGCTAGGTTTAAACTACTTCTCCGCCACCTTTTAGCTCTGTGGCTTGGGGAAGTTACCTCTGTGAGCTTTAATTTCTTTCTTTTCTTTTTTTTTAAAGATTGTATATATGTATGTATGTATTTATTTGTCAGAGAGAGAGAACAAGCAGGGAGAGCAGCAGGCAGAGGGAGAAGCAGGCTCCCTATTGAGCAAGGAACCAGATTTGGGACTCGATCCCAGGACCCCAGGATCATGACCCGAGCCGAAAGCAGATGCTTAGCCGACTGAGCCACCCAAGCATCCTTTCAATTTCTTTATTTGTAAAATGGAATATTGTTAATGTAAGCAGAAAGAGTTAGGAGTCCCCAGAAACAGAAAGACCTAGCTTTCTTGACATAGGAAGTCATTTTAGGCCCCTGGCCATCTTGTGAATGAATGTAAGAATAAAACAGCCATTATCAGGCCAGGATATAGTCTGATCATATCAGGGACAATCTGTGCTAAAACAAAGCCAAGATTGACCTGATGTACATTCTTGAGTTCTCTTTGCAGGATCTAAACCCCCTTGAGTACTCAGATACCAGACCAACTAAAGCCAGGGAAATGATAATGCTAACCTTTGCCAGCCCTAGTGACTTCAACCTGGACTCAGTTACCCTTAGATGACTTCTGCCCCAATACCATGCTGTATTCCCCATTGTGCACGCAAGCCCTTTCGAATATGTATTCACCCTTACCTTAAAACTTTCCCAATTTTGTGGTTTGGGGAGACACTGCTTTGGGAAAGATCCTCGGTGTTCTCCTTTACTTGTTGCAAGTAAAATTCTTCCTTTTCCTATTCTTTTGACTTGGTCATGTCTTTTGGCTCGACACCCACCAAGAGGCAAACCCTCGTCCGGGTAGTAACAACGTCTACCACCGTGGGTTCTTGCAAGCATCTGGTGGGCTAGTGCATTTGGTCTAGCAGAGTGGACACTTCATGTAAACAGTAGCAGATGTAGGCAGACTGGTGTGCTACTACGTCTTTGGGGCAGGGACCTTCACAGGGTGTCACATGGTCTTATGTTTTGGTAAGATTTGCAAAAGTAAGATATTGTTCTATTTTGTATTAAAGAGCCCTCTCAACTGCAGATGTGTCAGGCCCCAAACCTGAGTCTAAGTGGTAGCTATAGTTATGTTTTTAAAAAGAGTGACCCTGATGATCTGAGGGTCAGCAAGATTTCAAACCTCCCCCCCAGGGGGGTTCTCCCCCCCCCCCCCCCTGGGGCCACAGAGCTGGAGGAAGCAGGTCTAGTGTGGGAGTTGGGGGCCAAGGCAGAACCACTTACTCCTCTCCATGGTTCCAGTAGCGCTGGATTTCACGTTCTGCCAGGATGGCCCTCTTCACAAACATCGCCAGGGCACTCCAGCTGGCCAGGATTATGGTCAGCTCCAGAAGATTCCACTTGCTATGGAAATAGCACCACCTCTGTTTCCTCATGAGCTTGGCCTGGGAAAGGAGCTGGAGGTTCTACCAAATGCTGTAGCCAGAACTGTGCCTCCCCTACCCCTTCCACCATGGCTCTCCAAACCCCCCCAAGATGACTCTCCAGCAGGGGCCTACTGTATCCTGGAGAGGCTTCTCAATAAAGAAGCCATAGAGTGCCTGGGGCCTCTCCCCTGCCTTGTGCACAGACCCCCCCCGCCCCCCGCTTTCATTACCAACTTGGGCTGCAGAATTTGGGGGGTACATAAGAGTAAATACAGCATCTAACAAGAAAAACATTTAATTATCTCCGATGCAAAAAATTGGGGAATGGGAAAGAACCCCCCACCCTTTCATAGAGCATTTACTTTAGAAAACTTGTAATTGTGAAATCTTTCTCTGCCCCTTTGAGACATATATAAATCTTTTTGAAAGTTAAACTAGCCTCAGGAATGTTTTTCTAAAGGACCTGGGAGCTTTCTCTTTGAAGTGTGAACACAAAGGAAGGAAGGTTGTGCCCTTCACTCCCAGTTTCCCTGGGAGGGTAAGAGCCAAATGGTAGGCCCCTGGCTCGAGGTTGCAAAATTACCTCCTAGTGTGAACATGTACATTTATTTTTCCTTTTGATAAAGGCAGTTAGCAAACACAAGTGGCCACTCCAATTACCGGGTGAATTTAGGGTGGACTAGTGGGACAGATGATTCCATAAATCCTCTTGAGGGTTAATTACTGTTTATCTTAAGGATGAATATAAAATGGGTCCTATCTGACCGGCAATGCAAGGGTGAGACTCCCTTCTGTCTTTGGAATCTCTTAGTGGATTGCCTGGGATGTTCATCACAGTATCATGCTTATTCAATAAGAAAAGTTGTTTTCTTAGGGGGAAGTGGGGAGTTATTGTTTAACAGGTACAGTTTCCGCTTTGTTTTTTTTTTTTTTTTAAAGATTTGTTTATTTATTTGAGAGAGCGAGAATGAGAGAGAGTACATGAGAGGGGGGAGGGTCAGAGGGAGAAGCAGGCTCCTCGCTGAGCAGGGAGCCCAATGCGAGACTCGATCCCGGGACTCCAGGATCATGACCTGAGCCGAAGGCAGTTGCTTAACCAACTGAGCCACCCAGGGGCCCCAGTTTCCGCTTTGTAAGAGGAAAAAAAATCTGGAGATGGATGGTAGTGATGGTTGCACGACGATGTGAATGTACATAACGCCACTGAGCTGTACATTTAAAGATGTTTAAAGTGGTAAATTTTATGTTATATATATTTATCTACCACAATTAAAAATGAGTAATTTTGTTAAAGTAGTTTTTTTTTTTCCTACCTTTGTGGAGAGGTTTTCTAGATTGGCAGGAGACTTTGTTTTTAATCCTCTTTCCCCATCGGGTGTCACATGTCGTCAAAAGGAATTACGCTGTGCAAGTTCTAGGCCTCCCTCCTGTTTTTCCCTCCCACTAAAGAGAATCTTCCTACCGTTCTGTTCTATTTCCCTCCTCCTCCCTACTCTTACGGAGAATGGGTTTGTGTTTGGCTGCTAAGAGGCTAAAGTTTGCTTCCATTATAAAGGGATGGAGATGGCAGAAGATTTTAAGAACTGCTTAAGTGGCATTTTGAGAAAGATGTAAGGGCTCTGGAGAGAAGCGTTGTGTGGCAGCTGCAGGCGGAGGGTGAGGGCAATCCAGAGGGGAGGAGTGAGGTCGGGGGTGGGTGGTGGATGGGCCTCCTTTGATGTTCTTAAGGTTGCTATTTGATGACTGTTCCCTGTTGGGTTTGCAGTGGTGATGCTCAGAGGCCCCGTGGGATCGAGGTTTATGAGTCTGAGGTGCAACAGAGGGGTTGAGTGTCGAGTTCAGGGGTCAGACTCTCTGGATTCAGTTTTGGCCTTGGAAAAATTCCTTAATGTCTCTGGGCTTCAGCTTCCTACTCTGTGAAGTGGAGCCAATAGAAACTTTCTCCTGGTATTAAAGGAGAAAATCCACTCAAGGTTCTTCACACAATGTCTGACACGTGGTAAACAATCAAAGTATCATCCTTACTTCAAAGTGGTTGTTGTGGCTGTTGAGCCGGGGATGGGGAGGCCCTTTCAAGATGTCTGATTTGCATTTTTGGCGGGGCAGGGGCGGGGGTATGTACCAAGCTTCAAATGAGTTCCCAGCTTCCTCAAACCACCGTCATTATCAACATCGGCACCTTCGTTTTGCGGCATGGTGCTATTTAAAGGTGGCAGAGGGGATTTTTTCCTAATTCCCAGGGACCACAGGTGAACTGCCAGCTACCTTTGGCATTTTTGGAAGGTCTCAGTTCCTCTCCCTTCCCCACCCAGGAAGGACCACCCTCTGAGTCTCAGTTCCTGAGAGGTGCTGAAAGCTGGTCCCTGATCTGGGTCAGCTCTCAGGACTGCAGAAGGACCAAAAGGGTGCCATGGCAAACAGGTTAGCAGAACACTTCCCTCTCCTTTCTTGAGGCTTCACTCTGGGGAACGTGTGTGAGAGGGAACAGGCACACTGCTGCTTCCATCCCATGGAGCCGTAGTCTACACCTCACCTGCAAAATCATGTAGTAGAGGAGGAACAGGAGGTAGATGGCCTCTGCTGCTAGCACGAAGGGGTGCCAGCCGTCAGTGAAGGGGTACAGGTGCAGGCTCTGCAGGCTCATATGTGCAAAGAAGGTTCCTGGGAAGCAAAACATGTTCTGCTCACTCCTGGTCACCCACCTGCTCAGAGCCACCACTTTTGACTGGAAGTCATCAGTGGTATGATGAAAGCTCAGGCATTCTGAGGGCTGGCCAGGGTAGAAGAGAAGATAAAGGTCCTTTAGACCCACAGACCCAAGGGACTGGACACATAATGGATGTCAAAGATAATGGACATATTAGAGGGGATGCAGGAAGCTGCTCTGGAAGAGCCACTCCCTATCCTCTGCATCTGGTGTCAGCCATTTGTGCCCTCGGTCACCTCCAGCCAAAGCACACAACTCACTGAACATTCATTTACTCCAGGCTGGCTCACTTAAAGCTGGTTCACCTAAAGAGAGTTCACTGAAGATCAATTCATCTGTTGACCAGTATGCCTAAAATTCAGCCTTCTTTTGAATCATCTTTCGTCCATTTATGTGTCTTGTTTTTGGGGGGAGTATTGTAATGATATTTTAGTAATGATTTAAAAAAAGTTTGATAAGGCTATCGCCTCTGAATACAGAGCCAACCCCGAAAATGTCAGAATGGAGAGACACAAACAACCTGAGTCCTTGCCAATATCAGTGGACTGCTTGAACCAACCAGACCTGAAGCCCAATCCTCATTTCTCATTTGTAGAAACACATAATCTAATTAAATGTGTTTGGAGACAGGCTGTTTAATTGGTCCCTAAGAACCACAAAGGTGGCAAAAAGAAGTAGGAGAACACAAGGATACAAATACCCCCCCACACACAAAAGGATTTAAAAGAAGCACTTGACAGTGGCCAGTGATCATGAAAGTTGAAGGCCTTTTACTTTTCTTTCTACTATTATGAAATTTAAAGAACTACAGGCATGTATTAGCTCTATTAAAAATGTAATTTGATACTAAAAATGGCTTAATTTTTAAAGGAGAGGTGGTTGAATTTTAGGAAAATTCGTTATTAGCTGATGAAGCTTTGGGTCAGTGTTTTCAATAGATTTTGATAGTGTTAAAAGAGGTGGAAGGTGGGAAATGGGGAAAAAGAAATGGAACAGAACACAAAATATCAGAGTATATTGCATGTAGTGAAGGAATATATTTTTGAAGCTTTTGTCTCAGTTATGTATCTGTGTGTGTGTGTGTGTGTGTGTTGGAAAATAATGTAAAATGTACTTTGTCCTGTAGGTTGAGGTACAAGTTGTAAAATGTTTTAGCTGAAATTATCTGTAACCAGGTCACCCCCTCCCCAGCCTGCCTTCCCCAGAGCAGGAAGCTCAAGGTGATGAGCTGCCTTCAGACTCCAACTGGGTTCCCTCAGGGTATCTTGGGAGACAGGCCAGAGAGAAGTGGAGGCACCTAGGAATAAAGCTGGAGCAGCCCTGGAACCTGGCCTTTGGGTGCCCAGAGAGAACCAAGACCCACCCCCCAATCTCCCAAACAACCATTGGCCCCAGAACTCTGGCCCTGGGGCAGCGAGGCCCAGCCTGGTCAGGAGGCCTGGCCCAGAGGGAGCGGAGTCTGTCTTCCAGAACATTCTAGACGGGGTCACAGGCAAGGCTGCCCACCCAGGGCGCTAGTCTCCAGGGTCAGAGTGATGATGCAGAACAGGTTGACCTTGGCGTTGTAAACAGTGAACTCCACAAAAACGGCTCTGGTCAGTCTGTCCAGCCAGGTGTTGTCAAAGAGATACTGGAGAATTCTGTAGGAAGAGGGCTAACTAGGGACATCGCCAACTACAGTGGCTCCCTGCCCTCTATGCCCAGGGCCATAGGGCCTTGGGGCTGCTCCTGGGAGTGATCACAGTTTCCCACCAATGGTGCAGTGTCTTGGCACCCATGCTCTCCTGGATGTTAGAGAAGAGGTCATCAAAGTGTGGTCCCCATACTGCCAGCATCCACATCATCTGGAAACTCAGTAGAAATGCAGATTCTCAGTCCCCACCCCAGATCTCTCGAAACAAACTCCTCTGGGGGATCTGTGTTTGAGGGATCTGTGTTCTGATGAGCCTTCCAGGGGATTGTGCCGCTTTTTAAAGTTTAAGGACCACCATGTGAGAGGAACCGCATAGAAAATCACGGGCTTAAGCAGGCAGCAATAGCAGCAGTAGAGACCTCTCTTGGGTTGGCATGAAACCAGTTCCTGGAGGTCTGCCCACTGGTGTTGTGGAAAGAGCATGTGCTGAGGGACCGGGGTTCAAATCCTGACTGCCTCGTAGGCAAGCTGATAACCTCTCCAGGACTCAGTCTCCTCATCTACAATAGTGTTAACACCAGTGCTTCGGGAACATTCTGAAGAGAAAATGCAATAGCATGTCGTGTGTGTGTGTGTGTGTGTGTGTGTAATAGTGACAGCTGTTTTACTGGCAGCAATAGTAATGGGCCTATTTTAAAATATGCCCTGTGCCCACTGGCTCTGTGTCCTGCCTGGTGTATAGAAGAGAGAATATCAGTTGTTGCAAGTGGCAGGAAAACCCCTCTTATGCTGAAATTGACTATTCCTGTCCTGTCCTTAATCCTAAGGGACCCCTGCCAGTTGTTCTCCTTGGGGGTTTGTTACCTGTGTTCCTAGAGAAGACTGAGGTGCACATGGGTTCACTAACTTGCCTGGGGCCACAGAGGTAACAGGAGCAGTGCCAGGGTTTCACACGTAGGGCTCTCTAACTCTAGAGTGTGCTGGGAGAGGCGGTCTGCATGGGCTCTGGATGTCCATGCACAATCATGTTGGGTATTCCAGGAATGCAAGCTCCTGGCTGGGCTTTGCCCAAGCCATTTCTTAAGGCTATGTTTGTAGTGAGCAACCTCGAGGGATAAGGTGACATCCTTCAAAGAGCACGCTTGCTTCTATCACTATAGGAACAGTGAATGCTCCATACTCAGTGCTCTTCCTTGGTACTGTAACTCACTGCACATAAAAACATGATTCTTCGCTAAGGATAAGAGCCTTAACCAATTCCCACCTGCCTGATGGTGGATGGCTTTGTGTGGTAGAGTTCCCCATCACTATACTGGCTCTTGCAGAGGCCACCAGACTCAGCCCATCAGGCTGAGAGTGCTGGAGAGGGACTCTGAGATTGCAGTTTCCAGGGGCCTGGAAATACAATCTGAATACTTCTGAGTCCCCCAGTCCCTCCCTACAATGACATGAATGAGCTTTGCTGCCCCTGTTAATCAAACCTAGACTCTAGCAAATGGCTTTCCTTGGCCACACACGAGTCAAGTGAGTCTTACCTTGATGCACTTTTGCGATCAGTCCCCAAGGGGACCACATAACCTCCTCCCCGGTACACAGTGAGTTTGCCCCAGATGGGATACCCTCGGTGTTGGCTCTGGCTCTGGTACTGCCAAGCCTGGGAAAAGCCACTGCTGTTATTGGGTATGGAGGCATTCCAGCCTTCCCCATAGTCTGACAGGTCTTCAATATCCAGGGAATATGGTGCATGGCATTCATCAAGAGAAGCCTGCAACTGTGGGGCAAGAGGGCAAGAGCTTTCCAGGACCCTCACTTGGCGAATCTGGGCACTGCCAACCAGCTTAGAGTTCCCACCAGTGATAAAGCCTGGAGATGAAAAACAGGTGGGTCAGCCTAGCCATCAAAATCGTCTTAGTGCCTCCTGGCTTGGATGCTAATGTGAACTTCAATGTACCCATTGTAGAAACAGTCAAGAGTAAGTAGTTCATGGTCAACCAAAGGCTACATTCATCACCATCTTCTTACCTTAGGTGTTTTCTACTTCCTGCATAACTTCTCTTGAGGAATGGTACCCCCACCACCTAGTCATCAACTTGGAGACACTTTGTACCCTTTCTCTCAATGCCCACATCCTAATGGTAAGCAAGGCTCATCAACTCTACCTCTTCAGTGTTATCTGCACCCATGCCCATCTCTCCATCACTCCTGCTTCTCATCCCTGCATCAGCCCCATCATTTCTCCCCAGCATCCTAACTACTCTCTATTCCAACTTCCACAGGATTCTGCAATGATCCTTCTTAAATGCAAATTTGATTATGTTACTCCCTCAGAGAAACTGTCAATGCTTTCTCAATATGAACTTCTGAGACCCTTCATGATCTGGTCCCTATTTCTCTCTCCTGCTTTGCTTCTTACTCAACTTATACCTTACACTGCAGCCACACTCAATGCTTTGTAATTCCAGGAACAGCAGTGCTGTGGTGTTTCAGGCTTGCCTTTTCTTGCGTTGTCCCTTTTGCTCGGTATACTGTTCCTGCCTAGCCGATTCATGTTGGGTTATCTCTCAGGAAGTCCTCCACTGTGCATCAGAGGAGGGTTAAGGCCCTTCTCTTGTGCATACACAACCTTCTGAGGGTCTCTCCTTCAAAGCATATGGCTGATGGTGACAGTGACCCACTCCTGTTCCTAGAAAGGAGTCTGCACAGGGGAGCTGACACACGTCCTGGGGTGAAGGGAGAGTACCTGGGTAATGACTGTACAGGTTGCTCATGAGGATGGGTTGGCCCACATGAAGAATTCCTTGAAGCTTAACACAGCTGAAAAGCCTTGGGTGAAGCTGTGCTCAAGGTGTCTGTTGAAGTGGTAGGTGCTGGGGTCCCTCTGCCCATAGGCAACCAGCAGCAGCATCCACAGGAAGCCCAGGTATGCTGAAAACGGAGACACAACCTCTGGTCAGGCATAGTCCCCCACCTCCCACCAAGCCCAAGGCAGGAAGTGGAATGGCGTATAGCTCAGAATAGTCGAGGTCTTGTAGACCAGCTACTTGCCCCCCCTAGTGACAGTGGAACCAATCCTTAGACAGTGGGGAGGAGTAAAGTCCACAGATCATGAGCTTCCTGCCTGGGTTCAAATCCTGGCTCTGCCACTTCTTATCCATGTGCCCTTTACAAGTCACTTAACCCCTCTGCTTTACTCTCATCTGTGAAATGGGGATAATTTTATTTCACAGGGTTGTAATGAGGGAGTCAACAAATTAATATTTATTAGCACTTAAAAATAGTGCCTGCCCAGAATTTATGCTATATAAACATTTCTTTAAAAGAATCTTCTAAAAATGGGGCTCTGCCATGTTGCAACGCTGAGGACAAGGCAATGAAAATGACAGTTGTGTTCCCTGCCCTCGTGGAGCTCACCTGTGGACAGGTGAGTGTGATGTAAGGGACCCTTACATACAAAGATTTAGTTTAGGATGCCAGCCATTAGAATGTGGGGGATGCAGAGCCTTACCCAGAATCTCTGGGTCCAGGGCCTGGGAATATGCACCTCAGCAACCCCTCCCTGGGATGAATTGGGGCTCTGCCCACACCTCTAGGCTCTCTTCATTCTGTAACATGCTGCTACTCCTCTGCAAGCTCCCCTGCTCTCTGCATTTGTCTGGCTGTATGTGCTGCAGGGTCCATGTCCTCCCCGAGAGCAGCCCTCACCAGTGACCTGTGCGTGACAACCCAGGAGTGTGTACTACATGCCCCCACAGAGGTCCCCAGCAGGACTGAGCTCCAGTTCCCACACGGAACCCACTCATCACACCTTTCACCTCCCTTCTCTTCTCTACCAGTGTTTCCCAGGATCACCTCCCAAACCAACTACTTGTACCCCAATCTGCTTATGGGGGAACACAGACTAAGATACACAGTGATGTTTGAAAGCTCCTGGTCAGCAGGCTTGGGCAGTCTTTCTGAAGACAGTCTTTGGACTGAGAATTAAAGAATAAGGAATTAGCCAGAAGAAAAATGGGGAGGAGGGGAGGCACATTCCAAGCAGATTAGATTAGCCTGGGCAAAGGCCTGGGGTCCAGAGAGAGCAAGGAGTCCCAGGAGCAGCAGAACATGGTGTGACCAGAGCTCAGGGCACAGGGGGCTACAAGAGGTGACTCAGGGTGGGCGGAGCCACAGTAGGAAGTATGGATTTTATCAAGGGCCATGTGGGGCCATCGAGGGATTTTAAGTGTAGGGGAGAAGCTGGGGTGAGTTGGTATTTAGGAAAACAGGCCCAAAGGCAGCGTGGGTCTGTCAAAGATTGCACCGTTGTCTGTTCAGGTCTGTGCTGACAAGCAGTGAGTGGGGAGGCTGCTGTGGGTGACCTTGCTTGCCTACCCAAGATTTCTCTGATGAAGGCAAATGCCTTCTGTTCCTTGAGATGGGTGGTTTTCATCTCCTCGATGTCAGTGGCCAAAGGCGGCTGGTAAATGTCCTTTCTGCTGCATCTTTGTGCTCAAAACAAGGCAGAAGGGCCTGTGAAAGCAAGGACATGAGGATAGTCCCCCAAAGGGCAATGGACCCGGCCTCTACTTTTGCAGCCAGAAGCCTCCTCCCTCACCAGGAACAACAGGATCCACCACTCCTCTTCCTCAGGAGCCATTTCCCAATGCTGCCATCCACGCCTCTGCCCCTGCCATCCCTGTGCTCAGAATTCTGTCGTACTGAAAGCACAACGCCCTCCCTTCATATGCTCCTGGACCCTAAGACAGATCCCAGTGTTCCCATAACTGTAACAGATGGAAGAAGGGGGGTCACTAATATTTCAAATTTCTGTCATGTCTAAGTATATCTTTTTCAAGCCACTTTATTGAGCTATAATTTTCATAAATTTTCCCATTGGAAGTTTACAATTCAATGATTTTAATACATTTATAGAGTTGTGCAACCGTCACCACAACCGTTTTAGAACATTTTCATCAGCCCAGAAAGTTCCTTCACATCCCCGTGAAGTTAGTCCCCACTCCCAGTCTGTCCCACCCTCAGCCTCATTAATCTGCTTTCTGTCTCTATAGATTTTTTTCTGGATATTACATATAAATGGAATCCTACAGTGCATCGTTTCTTGTGTCTGGTTTTTTTTCACTTAGCATAATGGTTTGGAGTCCATCCATGTTGTTGTGTAATTAGTATTTAGTTTCTTTTTTGATATGGATACACTCCTGTTTGTTTATGCATTCACATCTAGATTGTTACTAGTGTTGGCTATTAGGAATAATGCTGCTATGAACATTTACATATAGGTGTTTGTATAGACATATATGTTCATTTCTTTTGGGTAGATTCCTAGGAGCGGCCATTTGGCTATTTCAAATGAACCTGCTCTGAACATGTATATACAAGTTCTTGCATGGAAATAAGTCTTCAAGTCTCTGGGATAAATGCCCAAGAATGCAATTGCTGCAGCATATGGTGAATCCATTTTTAGTTTTGAAAGGAACTGCCAAACTTGTCCAGAGTGACTGCAACACTTTACATTCCCACCAGCAGTGTGTGTGAACGCTCTAGTTTCTCGGCATCCTTGTCAGCATTTGGTATTATCACTACTTTTAACTTTAGCCATTCTGATAGGTGTGTATTGTCCAAACTGTCTTTTGAATCCATGCCTTTCTTACCACCCTCACTGCCAGGACATGTCACCTCTTGTCTGGACCATTCCAATAGTCTTTTCCCCCCTTGTACTTTTGACCCAATACTTCTGGTTTCCTAAGAGCAGCCATAGTAATCTTTCTCAAATCACAAGATAGATCATGCCTCTCTCCTATGTAGCACTCCAGAACTCCAGCACTGACCTGGGTGCTACCAAAGCTCTGCTCCCCACCCACCTCTCGGCTCTCATTTTGAACCATTCTTCCCCTAATTCCCCATGCTTGGGCCACACTGTCAGTAATCACTGTAAAATGACAAGCTCTGTCCCACCTCAGGGCCTTTTCAAGGGCCCGGTGTGCATTCCCTCCCTTCGCGAGGCTCCAGGAGCCAATGTAGGTACTACCTCAGCAGACAGGCCTGCACTCTCCCCTTCTCTCCCCAAGTTCTCCTCACATCTCACGCTAGCATTGTTTACTTGTTTAATGTGTCTCCCCCTGTGGGCTGTGCTTTTCAAGGGCAACCGTTCCATCCACTGCTGCATTGCATTGCCGGGGTGAGAGCACGGATTAGCTTCAAATGGTCAAGAGGGAACTTTTGAGGATGACGAGTTAAGAGGATGGTTGCACAACTCTAGAAATTTACTAAAATCAGTGAATTACACACTCACAATGAGTGGATTTTATGTAAATCATGTTCCTAAGTCATCGAACAGTCAACTGCCTGTTCGATGTACTCCCTGAGTGGCTGCCAAAAGAATGACTGAATGAATATTTAATTGTCCTGGAAGCTGGTGTCTCTTTGGACAAAAATTACTCTTTTGTCTTGGGAAGATTTTAATGGATCTGCAAAGCCAAAACAAAAACAAACCCAAATCCTATCCTAGAGTGGAAGAATACAGGCCCATGAGAAGGAAACCACACTATTTAATAATGTTAGTACAATAATATAGGTATGCCTTTTGTTTATTTGCTCCCGTTTTATTTTCCCCAAACATCAAAATCTCTGCAGAGACTATTAGAGTGTTGATTCTGTTCTGTTTACGTGTTTGTTTTTGTGATTATCTTATTGTAGGCATTCTCGGCAGTTTAGTTTGGGAAGTGAGAAATCAGGTTGGGGGGGCAGGGGGCTGCTAGTGGCCTCCTCCAGCAGGGGTCAGCATGGCTCTGTTCTAATAAAACTTCGTTTACGAAAACAAGCAGTGGGCTAGATTTGGCCTCATGGCTGTGGTTTGCAGACCCTTGTCCTGGAACCCACCTGCAAGCATGTTCTGTTTTGGTTTTCATTCTAAAGACCAGGGCCCCGAGCCTAGGAGCAGAAAGTTGCTTGCTTGGGATTTCACAGAGAATGATGGCCAGGCAGAGTGTGGCCCCCAAGCGGCCTCTTCTGGCCAAGGGTCGTGCTTGGGTGCCAGAGGGAAAGGCTGGGGTAGAGAAGGAATAAGGTTTCTCAAGAGACAGTGAAGGAGGGACGTCTGGGTGGCTCAGTCAGTTAAGCGGCTGCCTTCAGCTCAGGTCATGATCCCAGTGCTCTGGGATCGAATCCCGCATCGGGCTCCTTGCTCAGTGGGGAGCCTGCTTCTCCCTGTGCCTGCAGCTACCCCTGCTTGTACTCTCGCTCACTCTCTCTCGCCCACGCTCTCTAAAAAAAAAAAAAAAAGAGAGACAGTGAAGGAGTCATTTGGTTTTGGATGGTTTGGAGGTGCTTTCCCAATGAGGGGTGAAGGAATGATGGGGCAAGAAGGTCAGCAGCTGGGCTCTGTAGGGCTGTCTCAGCTTCACTGGTTTCCAGGCCCCTGCCTCCACCTATGCACGGTTACCTGGGCCAGACAGATGTCCTGGGAGGGAGGCCACAAGCTCCTCCTCATCCTCCACTCTCTTCAAGACCAGTGCAAAGAAGGCAGCAAAGCCCAGCACCTAGAAAACACCCACTGTGAACCTCAGGCCTGGGTTGGAAACTATCAACTCCTGGGATCTAAGAGGGGTCAGGATCAAGGCCAGTGGCTGTCATACTGGATGGCACAGATAGAGAACATTTCCAGCATTGTGGGCAGTTCTATTGGACAGCCTGGTCTGAACACTGGTGGCATTGATGTGGATGGAAAATGGACAGGAAAGGGGCAGGAGTGGAGTCAGAGAGACTAGTCCAAGCCAGAATAATGTGTCATACATAGAACTCAACAAAAATGAAATAATGTTACTAAATTCTAGCTGAATACTATTTCAAAAAGCTCCGAGTTTGAGACCTGCTATCTCTCTGCCAAACAGAACAAGTGTTAAAAGAGTGTTAAAGACATACTAGTACCAAACTGAGATTTGCTCCTAGAAGGCCTGGAAGAAAATGGAGGAGTGACTTTTTCACTCTGCAACTCAGTGTTCTTTAATGTTTTTTACTGTCCTGTCCATCATCTTATGTCCTGCCCCTCATATTTGGAAGTGGATCTGGTTTGACTTTGCATCCCCCAATGCCTTGCAGAAAAGGAAACTGAGGCACAGAGGACTGAAGTAACCTGTCCAAGGTTACACAGCCCATTAATGACAGAGCCAGTACCCAGAGTTACCAGGCTGGCCAATGCTCTTCTTACCATATACGAAAGAACAGCATGCCTTTTTGCTTTGTGCTTTCCATAATGGTGATCTATGCTGACATCATTCCATGCATGTTTGTTGCGTGCTTTCTATGTGTTGCATGGGCACAGGCACTAGGGAAGCGGTGGAGACAGGACAGTCAGATGGCTCTGAACTCACAGAGCTCACGGTCCAGCAAGGTTGGCTGCAGACTTGAAACGGCTCTTCACACAAGTCATGATTTGACAGCAGGCAGTGTAAAAGCAATGCAAGAGATGCTTGGGGGCTGAAGAGTATGTGGCTGGAGACCCTGTTGTGGCCTGGGGGGTGGGGTTGCTCCCCTGAGGAAGGAGTGCTTAAAACAAGACTAAAGCCTGATTAGGAATTAGCTAAGAGAGGAGAGGAGAAAGAACATTCTAGATGAAAGGACAAGACATGGGAATGTCTTTAGTGGGAAGGCAGCTTGGTGTTGTGAAGAGAGCGGGTTGCCTGTGTGCAGAGAGAGGGAGGTGATGGCAAGTGGTTGCAGTGGAGGTCAGTGAGGGAGACCCTGTAGGACTTTTTCACTCCCTAGTGATACAGACCCGGCCCTAAGTCCTATCTCCACCTGGCCCAGACGTGCCCCCTTTCTCGGCTCAGAAACATCAGGACTTAACCTTTCACTCGTAGAGACCCAAGAGGGAGCATTAAAGGATCCTTTCTTTGTTTGGCTTCCTCCCAGAACTCCGGCCCTACCATGTTCTGCAGACAGACGACCTCCTCCACCAAGGCCAGCAGTTGGTTGATGTCCATCAGGGTTGCTGAGTCCCAGCCAGAGGCAGGTGATGGCACCTTCAGAGCTTTAAACAGGGAGCTGACGAGTCTCCACATATCCTGCAAGTTAGCCCAGGTTAGGTAAGGGGGACGTGAGCTAAAGGTGAGGGGGGCAACATCGTGGTCAAGAGCATTCACCCTGGGGCTTGGCAGTCCGGGTTTGAATCCCAGCTTTGCCCACTTGAGATATGATGTTGGATCACCTCAAGCTTCCATTTTGTCACCTATAAATCCCTCTTCTAGGATTTGAACTGACGCATTCCAGGCTGTATTTCTCAAAGTGTGTCATGTAGTAGGTGCTCAGTAAATGTTTATTGAGTGCATGAATGCAGAGGGAGTCCCTTCTCTGGTTTCCAGCTGTGATCTCTGATAAAGATGTAATATTTCATACACACTAGGTACCCAGAAAGTGTGTGTGTGTGTGTGTATACGTAGGTGTCTGTGTGTATGTCTGTGTTCATGTGTGTATGTGTATGTATGGGTGTGCAAAGGTATATATGTGTTTGTGTATGCCTTTGTATATGTATGTGCACATGCATGTACGTGCCTATAGGTGTGTGCATCTGCACAATGTGTATACATGTGTGCACAACTGAACATGCATGTACGTGTTTGTGTGCACACGTGTGTGTGTGATTGATGAATCTTGGTGACTGATGCTGTCAGACATCATGGGGTTGCCAGGCCTCAAGCCCCAGGACTCCCCCCGCCATTTCTGCCCAGACCAGAGCACCCCCACACCGCCAAGGTTGAAGACATGCCTTGGTCACCACTTCAAGTGTCAGAAGGCCATTCTCTCCATGGGCTGTAGTGAGGAGGCCAGGCTAGGGGAGCCCCTGTCGCATTTCCCAGTGTTCTGCTCCTTAGTGACCCGAGGACGGGTTTTTCGAAAGATCTGAACGATTAGGAGATTGATGGGGAACATGAGGAGAGAGCTCTCCATTCCAATCATCACTTGCTGCCAAGTGAATTCAATTTTACCTAGGACAGAGGAGGGAAAGGGTTAATGGGAGAGCCTCCTCCACCACTGCCAGAAGGTGGCTGTGCAATAAGGATTAACCTTGCCCAAAGAGAGGCCTGGCCCTTGAGTGGCTCCTGGGAGGTGACCTCTAAGCTCTCTAAGTTCTGTCTGGTAGGTACACCTTTGTTTACCTGAGGTCTTGGACCACACTGTATAGTCTATGTTAACAGTGATTTATGGTGTGGGCCTTGGCCACACAGTATCACCTCAGCCTCGGAGGGGCTGGAGGCTAAGGTCAGCCATGGGGCTCAGCCATGTCTATGTGAGCAAGCCCCAGTAAAAACTCTGGACACCAGGGCTCAGGTGAGTGTCCCTGGTTGGCAATACTCCATGTGTGTTGTCACACATCATTGTTGGGAGGAGTGAGCATTGTCACAGCTTCCCTGGGAGAACACAACCGGAAGGTCTCCCCTGGTCTCCCCTGGACCCTGCCCCATGTGCCTCTTTCCTTTCCTGATTTTAATCTGTATCCTTTGTCTGTAATGAGCATAATGGTGTTTCTGACTTCTGTGGTAGTTCTAGAGAATTACTGAACCTGAGAGTGGTCTTGGGATCTGTGGAATTATGTGGCACCCACCGGCCACTAGCTCTGACTGTCATGACATTGGGAGTCACCCAAGGCCGTCTTTTGCTCAGCTGGGTCCTTGGGGACACCCCAGAACATGATGCTGGTCAGCGTGGTGCAGAGGAGCAGGGAGAAGCAGCAGGACACCCCCTGGACATGGGTGAAGTTGCTCCAAGCTGAGCAGCTGAAGATGGAATACCACATGTGTCCATCGTGGAGGCCCGTGGAGGTCTTCATGAAAAACAGGTGGCTGTGAGCAGGCAGGAAGAGAGGCGCAGGGATGGGAGAAGGCTGGTCTCTTCGGAGCAATCTTGGGCTGAAAGGGAGGAGTTTATTTCTAAGATTTATCCTCTATTTTCTCTCATGCGGAAGACGTACAGCATCTTAGCATCACTTAGAGTTAATGATGGGGGTTCTGAACAGAGTGGGTTGGAATCCGGGGTGGCCCTCCTACCAGCTGTGTGTCCTCAGGCAAGTTGCTTTACTCTCTGCACGTCAATTTACTCGTCTGTAAGATGGGGGTTATAACAGAACCTGCCTCATGGGATTGCTGAAAGGATTAAGTGATGATTTTTGTAAAGCATTTGGCAGAGTAGCTGGCATATATGTGAGTGTTCATCAGTACTAGCAATTATTGTTTTTATAATTTTAATATAATCATATAACTATAATATTAGTTTTATTATAATTAGTGCATTAGAGGATACTGGTTAAAAATCCCAGGCTCTAGCTTTAGACTCAGTTTGAGAGAATCAAAATTGCAAGACAGGGTTTCCGAAAATGGCACCATATTCTCCTTAGGCATCCGTGTTAGTCTAGAATTTAGTTAGTCTAGAATTTAGTCCAACCACAGGGCTTGCACAGGGGCCCAGATTCTCCTGCGAGTGTGTGGAACTGATTTTCCCAGCGGGCGCCCGTTCTGGTGGTTAATGCCAGCAGCCCTCAGGCTTGCACGGTACTTTGACCATCACTCTGTGCTGTGGGAGTAGCCTGGACTCAGAGTAAAGGTGCATAATGAGAGAGGTCAGTTGCCAACAATAGTGATTTTCCACGTGATCGTTGTACTCATCCTTCTACTGACAGTTCCACAAATATTTGGTGAGCCTGGTGCTGTGTGCCAGGTGTTGTGCTGGGCACCAAGATTCATGAGGGAATGACACGGCCCTGCCTTCAGACAGCTCTTTGTCTAGTTTCCAGGCATCACAACCTTGAAGCATTGGGAGGATCATATCTGCTTCTGTAATGGAGCACTTACTCTGAGCCCCTCCCTGTGCTATGTATGCTACCCACATCATTTCCCAGGACCTGCACAGGTCCCCTTTGGGGAGGCACACTGAATGACTCACTTTTCAGATGTGGAAGCTGAGGCCTGGAGTGGTGAGCTGACTTTTGCAAGGGCATGCAATGAGTCAGAAGCATGCATGTGGAACTGTGTGCTGTGTGCCCACATCAGTGTTCTGCCTATCCTTGGGTCCAAGTCTCTCTGACTCAGACTTTTTCCCTTTGCAGGCTGAGCTGTTCCCAGTGGCAGCTAGGAGGGAAAGTCACCTTTCAGTAAATGCACTGGAAACAGACTTTGTTTTGAACCTAACTCAGAAGCCATTTAAAGTAGAGATCACAAACTCAAAAGCTTAAAGGGACCTGGATAGATATAAATAAGTTAAATGAAGTGGGTTGGGTGTGAGGTATTAGGGGTAGATGAGTACTGTGGCAAAACGGAGAGCACATGGCCCTTGGAAGAAGAAAGCTGGTACTCTGCTCCAGCAGACTGGTGTCAGGCAGGAACACTGGCTCAGCATCTTCATACTTGCCAGGTTTTTGTGGAGTCTCTTGATTTTTTTTTTTAAAGATTTTATTTATTTATTTGTCAGAGAGAGAGAACACAAGCAGGGGGAGAGGCAGGCAGAGGGAGAAGCAGGCTCCCCGCCGAGCAAGGAGCCAGATGTGGGACTCGATCCCAGGACCCTGGGATCATGACCTGAGCCTAAGGCAGTCACTTAACCGACTGAGCCACCCAGACATCCCGAGTCTCTTGATTTTTTAATATCGGTTGGGAACAGACTCAATGTCCATTGATAGGAGAATGGTTGAATTAGTTGTGGGACATCCAGTCTGTGGAATATTACGCAGCCAATAAGGAAAACTTTGACCCAAGCATACTGTCCTGGAAGGATGTTCATGGTCTGTCATCGAAGAAATAAGGTAATATATTTAGAGTAATGCCATTTTAAAAGTTATAAAATAAATAACAGTCCGTGGTGTGTGTGTGCACATGAGTGCGTGTGTGTACATTCGTACCTGCTTTTATGTGTTTGACCAGATGTGGAAGGAAGGAAGGAAAGCCAAGGGACATACATGCTGAAACACCCATGTAGGGTAAAATTGCATGAAGAAGGAACCCCAGATGGCCAAACATGGAATCACCATTCAAACCAGTCTGTTTACTCATATAAAATATATTATTCTATGACATGTGTAAGGAAATATGCATAACTGTTCAACCATTTCACCACCTCTAAGATAATTCTGTTTCAGAGGGTCCATGTCCCTCCAGGGTCCCTCAATCCCAACAAGAAAAGCTGATTGGTTATTAATGTCACACACTTGAAGCTACCCAGGCCCAAAAGCCGAAACATGCTTTTATTCTGCTTTGACTGGATTGCGATGCAACTGCCCTAGAGATGAAAGAACAAGGTAAACAGCATTTGCTTACAAAAAAAAAAAAGTACCTGAATCTTTTCCTATCCTGCTCTGTGGCCACCGGAAATACTTTGTCAGGGACACAGTCTCCGACATCAGTGGACAGCCACGAGTTGCAGAGGAAATGCCATTTCCGGTCCCTAGCCAGGTCATGCACCAGCACCCGGCTCACGTACCTGGAGAAGGGACCCACACTTCTGAGGACAAGGTTAGGGGGGGTGAGGCTTCTTTGGATGCCACAAAGATTGACACCTTCGCAAACCTGAGTTTAAGAACAAGAACTCCTGAAAAGAGAGATTTTGTGTTTTTCTTCATTGTTCTTGGTGCCTTGACCAAAATGCCCAATCAGGGGGTGAATTGGCCTCATGTGGGAGCTCAGCTAGTGTGGAGAGCCAGCTACTGGAGGCTGCCACATTTTCACAGATATGGTGCAAGAGGGTACATTCTGAAACTATTAACCCTGGTGCAGGGCAGCAAGCCTAAGGCCAGCATCCAGATGCAAGTGAGGAAAGCCAAGTTGTCTAGATTGTGTGCATTCAGGGAGGCGCAGACATAGGCACCAAAAGCTGGTCTTCCTGCTGGCATCCACCCAGGAGTGAGTCATCTCTTTTAGACTCAGGACTTCATGGGTATCATCTAACCTGATTTAGGTCTTTGAGACCCGGGGAAGAAATGAAATCATCTCACCTCTGTTGGGATGTCGGAGCAGCCATTTCTCCTGTTGCCTTATGGCCAACAAGAATAGCGATGATATCAAGAGCCCTTCTTTACTGAGCATTTACTGTGTAATGAAGACTATGCTCGGAAGCTCCAGACGTGCATTTTCTCATTTCCAGGAGGACAGCCCTGTTAGGCACACAAGAGCCCCCTCTGTTGAGTCACACACCCTCCTGGGGAGGCCAACATCCAATGACTGATGGATACAGTGCCTGGGTGTGATCAAGACCTGGGCATCCCAACCCAACTCGGGACACTCCAGAGCTCCCCATGGGCGTCAGCCAAGCTGCTGTGCTGCGTCAAAGCTCTTCTCCCTCTGCTCACCCTGCTTCCTTCTCTCCCTTCCCAGGGGCTGGTCCCAGGCACCCTGCACCCTCAACTCTATCTCAGGGTCTGCTTCCCAGGAGCTTGCCAGCTGTGTGACCTTGGGCAAGTCACTTATCTTGCCTGAGCTTAGATTTTCCCACCTGTAAAACAAGAATGAGAGTACTTGTCCTTGAGGAGCGATGAGAAAAAAGGTGCAGAAACAGGAAGCCTTAGCTTAATGCTCAGCAGTGGCGGATGTTCTTACCTCTTCTAAATAATCAGCCCAGCGTCTCGTTTAATCTCCTCTTACTGGGCAAGGTTTGTCTTCAAAATGGGCATCTATCCCCATTTTACAGATGGGAAACTGGAGGCTAAATGAAGGTTGATGCTGCAAATGTGCCAAGGGTGGGGCTAGCACTGGACCTCAGGCTGCAACCTCCAGTCCTTCTCCTAGCTACTGATCCAATCTGTATGGCTCATAGGTGGGTGGGTCTCTCTGACCCTCAGTGTTTCTATCTGTGAAATGGGTATCCATTCTATGTGTTTGCAGAGGCTTGTGAGGATCAGCCAGGCAGCAGATGCACAGTGTCTTAGTGAGTTCTCATGGTTTGCCCCCCACCGACTTACCAGGATGGCCGGTCCCCTGAGTTGTCATGCCACAGCCGCAGGCCCCTCAGTTCCTCCAGGGGGAACAGGGTGGAGAGTAAAAAGACATCCACTCCTCCCCGCTCAAAAACTGGAATGTCAGGGTCTGACAGGTGGTGGGGTTCACTCTCTCCATCCAAGCCATATAGAGTGACAGTCACCTGAAATCCAGAGACTAGGAGTGACCAACTCCACATGGTAACCAAGCCCTGGTGACCTTGTTTCATTAGAAGTATCCAAAACCCGGGCGCCTGGGTGGCTCAGATGGTTAAGCGTCTGCCTTCGGCTCGGGGCATGATCTCAGGGTCCTGGGATCGAGCCCCATATCAGGCTCCTGGCTCAGCGGGGAGTCTGCTTCTCCCTCTCCCCTGCTCATATTCTCTCTCTCTCTCTGTCACATGAATAAAAAAAAAAATTAAAAAAAAAAAAAAGTATCCAAAACCCAACAAGAACCAACAGTGCAAGGCCCCTTCGTTCTCTACTCTCCTCCAGTCTTGGGCTTGCCTGAGTTATTTTTCAGGTGTATGAAGATTCAGGGTGACACTGCCTGCATTTATGTCTTCAGCATGAGTTACAAAACACTTCTTGGTAACCTTTTAAAACTTGCCATATATTTATTTGTGGGGGTTTTTTATGTTTTTTTTTTATTAACATATAATGTATTGGGGCGCCTGGGTGGCTCAGTCTTTAAGCATCTGCCTTCAGCTCAGGTCATGATCCCGGGGTCCTGGGATCGAGCCCCGCATCGGGCTCCCTGCTCCGCGGGAAGCCTGCTTCTCCCTCTCCCACTCCCCCTGCTTGTGTTCCCTCTCTTGCTGTGTCTCTCTCTGTCAAATAAATAAATAATACTTAAAAATATATATATATAATGTATTATTTGTTTCAGGGGTACAGGTTTGTGGCCATGTATTTATTTGTAAGGGCTCTAGAGTAGGAACTGGTTTCCTCCCCTAACGGTTATATTCTCAGGGTCTCCCAGAGTGCCTGGCACTGAGACATGAATGCATAAGTGCCCATTATCTCGAAAATGCATATTTCTAGGCTCCACTCCAGACCTACCAACTAAAAATGCTGGGAACAGGGCCCAGGGACCTGCTTTTCTGCAGTTATCCAGGTGTTGCTGATGAGCATGCCTGATTTCTTGAGCCAAACAGCTACAGTTCTGCCACCTGTGTTCGGCCCACCTCCCTCAGCCTCACTGCTGCAGCAATCCCCGCACCCACGTCCAGCTGCCAGCAGCTGCATTGCTTTCCTGGGGGTTCTTGGGCTGTGAGAGCAGAGACTGGAAGTGCCAGAGAATTAATGGTGCAGTGATCTGGCCTCCACCAATAACTCATGGGATTGGTGGGTATATAAGCCAGCTCCCTCAGCCATCAGTGGGGATGACTTTGAGGCCCACGTTGCTTACTATCTTCCCAAGTCCCATCATAGGATTAGCTTCAGCTGCCCAGACAGGTAACGGGTTGGCACCCTTTACTGGTTCCTTCCCTTCCCTGTCGGCTTCCCGGTCCTCTACTGGGGTGTCCTAGGATCCCCCCCGCCAAATCAACTACTTGCCCTTGAATTCTTGTTTCTAGTCTGTTTCTCCACTATAGACATTCTGGACCCAGTAATCCCTTGCTCTGGGGGCTTTCCTATGCATCATAGGATGTTTAGCAGCATCCCTGGCCTCTGCCAGATACCCAAACTAAGCCAATATCAGACTGAAATGTGACTGCAACTCTCCAGAAAAAGAACTGGCCTGTGGATTGTAAGTTTTCACTCCTTTCCTATTAAGATAGACTCTTGAATGTTTAAAGAAGTGAGATGAATGTTTCATTAGATGGATGAAATTAATTCCTATGTTTATTCCACAAGTAGTTACTGAGCACTTACTCTATGTTAGACAGCTGATTGAGGACCTAAGACACAGCAATAAATCAAAATAAAAAAAAAATTTTTTAAGATTTTATTTATTTATTTGACAGAGTGAGCAAGAGAGGGAACACAAGCAGAGGGAGTGGGAGAGGGAGAAGCAAGCTTCCCGCCAAGCAGGGAGCCTGATGCGGGGCTCGATCCCAGGACCCTGGGACCATGACCTGAGCCGAAGGCAGACACTTAACAACTGAGCCACCCAGGTACCCCTAAAATAAAACAATTTTTAAAATAAAAATAAGACAAATAAATAAAAATAAGATTTAAAAAATAAAAAGGCAAATGCTCCACTCTAATGAAGCTTAATGTCATTAAAAAAAAGAGCTTTCTCCAGGATAGTATACACAGCACGAGTGGTTCTCAAACTGTGTTCCACGGAGCCCTCAGTTTTAGTAAAGGAACCTTGAAGCCTGCTGCAGAGGACAGTATATTCTGATGAGTGATGTGGCACAAGCCAGACTTAATTAAGGGTGCTGAGACATTACAGAGAAAACCTGCTATATGCTCCGCAGCTAAATGCTCAAGAACCTCAGAGAATTTATAAGCAAGTGAAATAGTTTCTTCACTACTTCTAGTCAGCCTACTCAAGGACAGATGGCTCAGCCTGACCTCTTAGCTAGTTGCCAGCTAATCAGTTTACCCAAAAAATGTAACTCAAGACTCATTGTTTTCAAATGGCAGGCATATTTTCTTTCTTTCCTTTCTCTCTTCTCTCTTAAAAATTCTGTTTTCTCTTTATTCATTGATAACAGTTTACTGACTGTTCTTCATATGTGAGCAAATTTGCATGCAGGTTACCAACTAACTGAGTTATTCTTTGGTAGGGATAAGGGAGATGACCAGGGGCACAGTGGTAGACCCCAACTCTTCCTTAACTTATTCTCCTTTATCTTTTTAAATATTGGGACTTTGGTGGATGTTTGGTTTGGCAAAAGATTCTTTCCTTTAAAAAACCAAAAGAAGGGGCATGTGGGTGGCTCAGCGGTTAAGCGTCTGCCTTCAGCTCAGGTCATGATCCCAGGGTCCTGGGATCAAGCCCCGCATCGGGCTCCTTGCTCAGCAGGAAGCCTGCTTCTCCCTCTCCCCCTCCCCCCGCTTGTGTTCCCTCTCTCACTGTGTCCCTGTCAAATAAAATCTTTAAAAAAAAAAAAAGAAAGAAAAAAAAAACACCTTACAACACTAAATCCACTGTGCTAAGGTGACTCAACAATGGGCCAGCAAGTGCTTTGCAGGGTGGGTCATACTGATCAACCCAGGGGGTTCTTGCATGGTAACGTACCTTGGAGGAAGTAGCTGCTCCTCTCCGGTGTCCAGTGTAGACTGTCACCAGGTAGTGGTACTGGGCAAAGGGATCATTGTCCTCCAGTACTGTGACTTTCACCTGGACAAAAGGATGGCATTAGAAGGGCCCTGTTCAGTGGGTTCATCCACTGCACAATAGCAAAGACTGAGCTGGTCACTCATGACAAAGGGAGAGAATAAAATTATGTATGTTATTTATTCATTCCATCAGATGAGAACAAGTAAAATAAACTTTTTTTAAAAAGTACAACATGGATCTAACATTAAATAAAACTCAAAGTAGCCAGACTGGAAATGAACTTGGCATTAAGCTGAGACTCAGTTCAATGTTTGATCTGGTAAATGATACAAATTCTGTTTATATAGAATTTCTTTTTTTTTTTTAATAAAGATTTTATTTATTTATTTGACAGAGAGATAGAAGAGCACAAGCAGAGGGAGTGGCAGAGGGAGAGGGAGAAGCAGGCTCTGCACTGAGCAGGGAATCCGATGCGGGACTCGATCCCAGGACCCTGAGATCATGACCTGAGCCGAAGGCAGACGCTTAACCATCTGAGCCACCCAGGCGCCCTATATAGAATTTCTAACATTGGTGACCAGATTGGGACTCCAAGGGAATTTAAAGGGAATGAACATTAAGGTGGTTTAGCAGCAAAACAAAACAAAGCCAGACTCTCTAGCCTGCAATGGACTCTGTGATGAGCCGCCCAGATCTCTTGCCAGTGGAGGGCTTGTTCCCCCAGTTGCCAGGGATGCAAGAGCCACCTCTGTTGCGGTCATATGCTCTCCTGGAGAGGCTGACACGCAATGGCAGATTAATGAGGTGTCTGGGCATGATCAAGACCTGGGCATCTTGACCCAACTCGGGGCATCTCTGGAGCTCCCAGCTCAGTTTCTTTCTCTGCTCATCCTGCGTTCTTCCCTCCCTTTCCAGGGGCTGATCCCAAGCACTCTTTGTGAAACACTGAATGCTCAACTCCATGGCAGAGTCTGCTTTTTGGAAACCAGCCTACAGGTGAGGCACTTGAAGTATTAATGTTTAATCCCTTGGGTGAATTGAAGACAGCCGTATAAATGCTGCAACTACTATTAAGTTTCATGCCACCTTAACATCCTGGGAGGGCAGGGAATGGAGAATGTTTCAGTGCTTTGGGACATTGCATCCTTGCATTCGTTGATGAGCACAAGATACACTGTAACTCAAGACACAAAATTTTATTGAAGGCTCACTCACTAAATGTCAGACATGGTGCATACATTGGAAAAATAATCAGAACTTTGTTGTTGGCAATTTGTTGTTTGATCTCATTTCTATGTCTCATTCCTGTCTTATTATCAGGCAGGTCTGGGTTTGAATTCTGGCTTCAGGGAGGTGGCTTTGGACCAGTTAGTTGCCCTCTCTGGTCTTTGGTCTCTTCCTCTGTAAGATGATAGAGGACCTGTGCAGTAAAGGGGAGAGGAGGGTCTCAGAAGGCCTGGGCTGTCCAAACCCTACACATTTCAAAGAAAGGCCTGGCTCTTGGCTAGCTCCTAAAAGATAACCCCTATGTCCCTGGAATATCCTGCTGATAAGAGTTTCTTTGAATACCTTGGTCCACACCAGGTAGTCTCTGCTAACAATGTGAGTTATGTAAGGGCTTTGGGCCATTCTGTATCAGTCTGACCTTTGGGTGGTGGTGGTGATGGTTTGCTGGAGACTGAGTAACTACACTGAGTCATATGGGCACTCCATATGTATGTGACTGACCCTCAATTAAACCCTGGACACCAGGGCTCAGGTGAGCTTCCCCTGTTGGTGGTACTTCATATGTCCTGTCACACGCCATTGCTAGAAGAATGAAGTCTGTCCATAAACTCCACTGGGTGAGTACAGCTGGAAGCTCTTGCTGGATCTCTCCTGGACCCTTCCCTTTGCTGAGTTTAACCTGCATTCTTTAATAAACCATAATCATGAGTGTAACAGCCTTTCTGAATTCTGTGAGACCTTTCAGCGAATCATTGAACTTAAGGATGGTCTTGGGGACTCTCAACACAGTACCTTCTTCTTAGGGCTGTGGGGGAGCATTAGATGGGATAATCCCTGGCATACAGTAAACCCTCTGTGAATGGTCAATAACATGATCCTCCTGACAATTTGATAAGAAAGGCCATTTTACATATGAGGCTGAGGAGCTGGCTTACCTGGGACAATCTGGGTTAGCCACTAGCCCTTTGGCTCCCAACCTGGGCTCCATCCCCTGGAGATCCTACAAGGGAACACCCTGCTCCTTCCTCCCATTCTTGAGGGCCATGCAACCTCACCTTGGCCTGATCCTGAGCGTCCTTCCTCCTTGCCCAGATCACCACCAGCACATAGGCCACACAGAGGCAGCCCACGGTGGTCACAACCACAGGGTTGTCCTCGAAGGTGGCAAAGAGCTCGGCAGTCTGGCAGATGTCGATGGTGTTGGGCATCACCAGGAACGTGCTTCCAAAGAAGGTGAGGTGGTTGCAGAGGCAGTGTGTCTGGGAGTGGGTGGTCCGTGGCCCCACCTGCAACCCCAAAGAGACCCTGGTGGGAATGCCAGCATATCTTTGGCTCGCTCCAGCCCAAGGAGGTGGACACTGCCATGAGGGGGCGCTGGGGAGACCAGCTTTAGGATTCCCTTGGAGCTTTTTTATTTAACTAAAAATTTTAAAATGCTGAGAATATTATCTATAACAATAATCTTTGTACCTGTCATTCTCACTGGACAACTGTACATCTTGTCAGTCTTCTTTACCGTTTTAAAGAACTATTATGGGTGAAGTTGACGTCCCCTCTGCCCCCCATCCTCCATAAGCAGCCATTATCACAACTTTGGTACATATCATCCCAGTACATTCTCCGCCTGATGCTTACTCATCAGACAGATACATGTTGAGTGCTACTTCTATGCCAGGAAACAGGCTAGATGCTGAGAGGACATCCGGGGTAATCAGATCATCTCAGTTTCCCAGGAACTTTCCTTCTTCTAAACATGAAAGTCCTGTGTCCTAGAAGGCCCCCAGTCCCAGCCACAATAGGATGATTGGTCATCTCACAAAATCCAAAAAATTGAGACTGGGGGAATCATGTAAAGAAATGGGAAGGACAAATGTTTAAATCCTAAGCTGGTGTCTCAGCACCAGGAAAGCATTCCCTAAATTTCACCCGTTAGATCTTAGATAGGGCTCATGCTTTGAGGAGTGCCACTCTAGCTGTCCTCAGGCTGCACCCGTCTGCACAAGATGGGAGTCAGGGGGCCCTGGGGATGTGCCCATCACAGCACATACCACCCAGCTGTGTCTAGGGTGAGGTTCTAGGTGACCCCAAGAATGAGGCGTTCTTTAAATTTTGCACTATAGATGCCTACGTGCCTTACCCTGGTCCTGGGCCCTGGGACTCCCACTTCTAGACTTTGGGGACCTGGACCTGGAATTTCTTGCCTCTAGGGCCTGTACAGACCTGTTCCTCAGGATCACTCTTCCTGGTGGGCTGGCCACTGCCCTAGGCACAAGGGTGGCAAGGTGTGGCTATGGGGGGCATGGTATGTAGATGGAGTTTGGGTTCCCAGTCCCCTGTGGTATAGTATAATGAGGTTGAGGCTGGGGAGACAGGAATGAGCCAGGGCAGGGAGCCGTATCTGTGCTCTTAATTCACACCCTGTACTTAGGGCCTTCCCTAAATCTGTCAACTTGCAAACACCCTCCCAGGGCCATATGGTGGGCAACGAATCTTGCATTCAACCCCAAACTCAGCACCATCTCTTCATTCCAGGGTCTACCCGGAGATGGTAAGGTGGGAGGGAGCAGAAAACACTGGCATGCACAAAGTTCTTCTCTGCTCAGCACCTGAGGAGGAAGAACCTGCTGGGGCCCAAACTGCCCCAGCAGGTAACTCTTGTCTCTTTTCCTTAACGAGCCACCCAGCAAAGGCTGACCCCTCCACATGGGCATGACCCCAGCTGTTTATTGACAGGTTTTAGTTCCGTATTTGCTCCATTGTTCTTCTGTTTCCCAATCCTGGTCAGCATTTGGTCTGCAGCTGTGGGGCTTATGGGAACACCTGGCACACCCGGAGGGAGTGGAGCTGGTTTCAGAGAAGAAACCCAAGTGGATGCTGGGAGCCCAGGGACCAGACATTTTATGCCCGCATCTTTGCCTCCCTGGGCTTTCCCAACCCTTCCAACATGAGAGTCTCTTGAACACCGGGAATGAATCTGCTCATTACCCTCGTGACAGTAATTGTACCTTTAGTATCCTTTGAGAAAATATATAAGCAATAATTCTGCCTTTACCCCCTGAGAAGGTCTATAGACTATAGATTTGGAGCTTTCTTCAGCCATTTAGAGAATTTGGTTCTGGTTTTCCACCCAAACTTGATGATCCCATTTACTTATTTATGGTTCCTCAGTGATATCTATATCTGTATCTGTATCTTTGTCTGTATAATGAACATCAAGTACACAATATTGGATTCATATAACTTTTGGTCTATGACACGCTCCCACATTCACGTGTGCATACATTAGTAGGTGTATATTTTCAATAACATAATAAGGACCTGAGAACCCCCTATCTACTCGAAAGCTAGAAACATTCCAATAACATACACCTAGCTAAGTGGTTCTCCCCCAGTCTGTCCTCATGCTCCCCCCAACCCAGCCGCCACCCAAGTCCCATGTTCATTGTTTCCTTGATTTCCATTTTTTTTTTTAAAGATTTTATTTATTTGACAGAGAAAGACACAGTGAGAGAGGGGAACACAAGCAGGGGGAGTGGGAGAGGGAGAAGCAGGCTCCCAAGGAGCAGGGAGCCCAATGCGGGACTCGATCCCAGGACCCTGGAATCATGACCTGAGCCGAAGGCAGACGCTTCACGACTGAGCCACCTAGGCGCCCCTGATTTCCATTTTATATGTAGTATTGTCTTCTCTATGTTCAGATTATTCCATATAGCAATCACTTTATCCTGAGCACTCACTGTGTGCCAGGCACCACACTAACTACTTCCTCCCCCTAATCTTGTCTAGGTTCCACCCCAACTGTAAGTGGTAGCCACCCTTTATCCCCATTTTCAGATGGGAATGCTGAGAGAGGTACAGTGACTTGTCCAAGGTCATCTGGCTAGTATTGATGAAATGGGATTAGACCCAAGTCTGTCTGATGGCAGAGCCCATGCCCCCAGCTGCTGCACCATCCCCCTTTCTGATCCTCGGGTCTCTGAGGACAGCCTTGCAGGGCATCCCAGGCCAGCAGCTTGGGCATCAGACAGCTGCTGGGAGTGAAGGCTCTGGAAGGTCGAAACACACCCAGCATCTTGTTCTTGAGGTACAAAGGCCTCTCTTGTGAGCGTGGGGGAACACACTGTCTCTTGGACATGTCAGTGCACCCATTTCTTCCTGGCACTTGGGGAACTCCCTCTGTGTGGGGGCCAGAAGCCAGGGCAGGAGTTTATAAGGGAGCTGAAGTTGTGGCAGAAACAAACCCCGAAGGAGCTTGGCTCTCAGTCCCCTTCTGTAGCTCTGCTGGGGCCTGGCTTCTTACATGACTTGTGACCACTGTCATTTGATCATGTGCCATTTGCTTCTTGGCTGTGCCCCTGCTAGACTGAAAGCTCACTGGTTTTTCTAACCATTAGATTGCCACTGCCTCGCACATGTGAATATTTGTTGAATAAATGGAAGAAGGTATTTATGCTCTAGTAGATGGAGACAGGTGTGTGATAAATTTCAGCTAGATGCAGAGGTTACTGTTCTTGGGGATGGTGTGAAGTGCTGTGGAAGTCCAGGAGAGGGAGACTCCCAATGTCTGGAGGCACCCGAGAAGGTGGCATTAGAGTGGGAGATCAAAGGGAGTTTTCTGGGCAGGGTAGGTTGTCCCCGGGAAAAGAACAGCATATGAAGCATGGAAGAGAGAAAAGGAACATCAGTGCCCCAGAGACGGCCTCCAATGGCCTCAAAGCCAATGTCTGGACATGTCATGGGTAGAGCTGAGCTGACCTGAGACAGGGATCTGATTGCAATTAATAGAGCCATGTGCCATGCAGAGGTGTGGGCTGGGGGCTGAACAAGCAGTGCCTGGAGCTCCAGAGCCTGGGTTTGAGTCCCACCTCTCCCACCTACTAGGCAAGGGATTTGGGGTAAATGCGTTGGCTTTCCTGAGCCTTTGTTTTACCACCTGTAGAATGGGAATACCCATACTATCTTAGAGGTTATTGTGGAGATCTGATGAGTTAATGCAAGTAAAGCATGGAACACAGCACCTGGAGTGGAGTAAAGGGCTCAGCTCTAAGTTTGGTTCCCTGGCGAGGACACCCTGGCCCCCCCAGCAGCCCACAGTCAGCAGGGCTTCCCAGTTATTTGCCCATTCATTTAATGGTCATTTGTTCCAATGGTGAGCAAAGCACACCGTTCCTGATTTGTGGGGCTCTCGGTACATTGAGGGAACAGACATGGTCTCAGTGGCCTCCTGAGTAGATATGAAACGGCTTAGTGCTATGTTTAATGCTGTGGAGGACCAGATGTATGTACTAGGAGAGCCTACAGTGGGAAATCTGACTTAGCCAGGGTAACAGTTTTCTCAAAGAAGTGATATTTGCAGCAGGATCTGAAGGAGGAGTTAACTAGACTGGGAAGGAGGGGCATTCCAGGCACAGGGAATAGCATAGGCAAAGACGCTGTGGAGGGGTGCAAAACGGCCACCAGGGGCACTGAAAGGGGACCCTAAATAAGCTGGACACACTCAACAAAGCTGCTCTATCTTCTTTGTGTCCTCTCCTTACCTGGCACCCAGAGTTATCCCAAGTCCCCCAGACCTCATCCCAGAACACACAGTGGGACAGGAAGGTGGTAATGCCAACTGTGAAGTCCCTGCCAAGGGTCAGCTCCAGGTCAGACTCGGGGATCACGGTCAGATAGTAGATACCTTCTCCAAAATGCAGGTCCTCTGGGTTCAGGATCCACGTGGACAGCCCATCTGCAAGAAAGATGGATCCAGTTCAGCCTGAAGCCTCGTGGAGACTGGGGCTAACGGCATGGAAGAGAGGAACCAAGGTGACCCAAGGTGACCTGGCAGGGAAGCTGACCTTGATGGTCTCTCTGATGTCCTAGGAATCCCTCTCCCCGCCTGAGACTTGGGAGCAGAGGAGCAGAGGCACTCCCAGGTCAGTGTGCAGAGCACACCTGCCAAGTCAGATAGATGAGGGCTCAAATTCTGACTCTGCCCCTTCTTGGCTGTGTGACTTTGTATCAGTTACTTAACCTCTCTGTTCTTATCTGGCAAGAGGCAATGTCCATAGTGCCCATCCCAGGGGTTGTGATGAGGATTATGATTAGGTTAGTTCTATGAGTGCTTGTCAGTTTCTTCAGGGCATGTAGCAAGTGCTCACTTAATGTTGCCAAATAAATAATAATGATGATAATAGTAGTAGTAATAACAACAACAACAAAATCAGCACTGAATGTAGCAAATTGTTTTTCTTTTTCTCCTTGGCTTCTGATTCCCAAGTTTTAAGTTGGTCGCCCTCTCCCCATCCCCCAGGAAGCTCAAGAAGCTGGCCCAGTTGATGGACTACCTGCAGTAGCCCCTGGCGGAAGGTGAGCTTTGGCGTCATAGCTGGTCTTATTGGGGTGGTAGCCATAGCCCAGGCTGAGTATGAGTGGGATATCAGGTCTCCAGTGCAGCTGGATCCCCAAAGCTGCCCCATCTGAAGTCAGGTTCACCCACAAAGCTTCAGGACTGGTCAGGTTCAACACAGTTGGCTCACTGTGTCCTTCCAAAAGTTGGGGCAGCAGAATCTGTTATCAAAAACAATCAAATCAAGGGTGTGCAGGGCTAGGAATGCCAGTGAGCATCAGGGCTGCTGGACAGAGCAGGGCAGGGTGAGCACCTGCGGAACTGAGATCCACTCTGTGCTGTGCTCATTCTGTCAGTTTCCCAGGGATGGTGTACTAATGACCACAAACTTGGTGGCTTACAACACCAAAGGTTTGCTATCTTACAGTTCTGTACTGGAGGCCAGAAGTGCAAAATCAGTTTCACAGGGCTGAAGTTGGCAGGCTAATGCCATCTGGAGGTTCTAGGGAAGAACCCCTTCCTTGCTTTTTCCAGCCTCTGGAGGTGCCCGTGTGCCTTGGCTAATGGCCCCTCCTCACATCACCCCAACCTCTTGCTTTTGTCATCAAATCAGCCTTTTCTCAGCTGTAGTTAACTCTCCCTCTGTCAGCCTCTTGTTAAGCACCTGTGATGGCACTGGGCCCACCTAGGTCCTCCAGGATCATCTCTCTGTCTCAAGGTCCTTGGCTTAATCACACCTGCACAGTCCTTTTGGCCATGTCAGGTGGCAAATCCATGGGCTCAGGGATGAGAATATGGACATCCTTTGGGGTGCTATTATTCACCTATCACGCTCATCAAACTGTGTACCACGGCTTGGGCTTCATCTGCACAGAAAGAGGGGAGACTTCTAATTTGCACAGAGGTGCTGCATGAATAGGGATGGTCTCTGGTTACTTGGAACATGGCCTCAGGATGGTTTAGGACAGGGGAAATGTTGGCTTGGTGTGTGAGTCAGATAAAGAGGCTGGTTGAGGGTATGAACTTGGGATTGGTTAGTGTGCATATGAAAGGCATGCCCTGGCAAAGCCCTTTGCTACCTATAAGGATTGGCTGGCCCTGGCAGGGCGTTTCTTTCTCACCAGCAAGATTTTTAAGATATCAAAATATCAAAAGACACAGAAAATTATACGGCTGATTAATACAGGCCCGATGGCTAATACTTGCTACAGGGTTGACTGGAGTTTTGTGAGGTCTGGATTGCAATCTGACTTCTCTTCTGCCCAATCCTGCTGTCCTTCCTCCCTCTTCACAGCCAGCTTTTTTTACTGTCTCTAGCAAACATCTAGCACCCCAAGTTCTTTCTCAGCACCTGCTTCCAGAGAACCCAGCCTATGGCAGCTCTCTCCTGCCAGCTGAGGTGTGAGCTCACCAACAGGCACTTGTGTTTGATCCCAAAGCTGCTCTTGTCCATTGTACTTGTGCTTGTAAAGGTCAATTTTAATGATATATTCCACAGAGTGACATAGAGTGACAAAGTAGTAGTGTGAAAAGAATTATTTGCATAAAAACTTAAGTCGAATGCTTTGAGAAGACACGGGAAAGATGAATTGCTAAACATTGTTGGTGGTCATTGATGAGAAAACTAGAAGATGAGAAAAAAATCACTAAAATCTCAAAAGAATCTGAACTCCTATTGCACCATGGTGTGCTTGTTTTTGCTTCATTTTAAAGAAAATCTGACATTTTAGAGGCTGCATTGTAAAGGTGGTTTATGTAATGAAGATGATTAAAAATCCAATCAACAGATTTAAAGAAACATTTCAATTGTATACCCAAAGATTGACAATGATACATTTATAGTTTTAAGTTAAAATACAGTGTGTAACATAGGGTAAAGACCATTCTTAATGATTCTCCTCTTTAATCAACTTCTGGTCCCAACCAAGTTGACGAAGAAAACTAACTTCTGAAGTGAAACTGACATCTGACAGCACCCTCAACTCTACCTCGATATTCTCCGACAGATTCTTCATGGGTATGAGATGTCCACTAGGGCTGCTCAGACAGAGGCCACCAACAGTTCCACTGACATCAAAGTGACTCCGGGCTGGGAAGGGGCTCTTTGGGAAACTTATCACCTGAAACCAAGAACAAGGAGTGCTGGCCAAGGTGCCCGAAAGCTGGAAGGTCACTGCGTCCCTATGAGAATGATAAAGTTTCCTAAGATGGGATGGACAGGTGGCCTTCCCCTGTGGGGTGAGTGGGGGGCCCCGCTGTTAGCTGAGTCTGGCCTTCCTGGTGTGTATCTGCCCTCCAGGGCTGAGGACCCACTCAGACCCGTAGAGTGTGCAGCTACTGGACCGTGAAACCCTCCAAGCCTTTCTTCTTGGCAAAGCCATCAAGTCCTCAAGGGAGAGATACCTGTCTGCCTTTGCTGGGGCTCAAAGAACAGAGAGTCAGATGTGCCCTCACTTGGGAGTGAAAAGAGCTCTGGGTTTGCCATTTCCTAGTTACGGAATGAAGTCTGAAGAGCTTTATTTCCAGTAACTAACTCAATCAAGACTGCTGGAGAAATTCCACAACGCAGTGCAAGAAGGATGGGTGTCGGAAGGACTGAGTCTGCATCTCAGCTCTGCCACTTTGCTCGTAGCATTGGGTGAGTCACTGAACCTCATCTGTGAAACGGGTGTAGTAATACTATGGAACAAACAGGTTGTTATCAACATAGCTGAGCAAACGCACGTGCAAGTGCCATATAAGCTATAGAGGACTGCTCCCAAGGAGGTTATTACTGTCGTTACCCTGATGTCCACAGGCTCCGGGCTGTCCTCCACGGAGCCAAGGGAGGAGGCAGCAGGCAGGGTAAATGTTGCAGAGCTGGCAGCCGCAGCATGTACAGAGGAGCCTCGCCAACTCCGGGGCTGTATTCTGGCCACAAGGTGAGAACAGAGGTGTCAGGAGAGAGAGAAGAAAGCTGGTGTCAGAGGAAGAGCTGCTGCACTGCAGGGAACCCTGGCATTGCCATCGCAGTGGGTGGCTCTATTGTAGTCCCCGTAGATGGCTCTGCATGTTTGCATCAGTAGGAGCAGCAGGAGAGGCAGCTGGCGCCCCCAGCACTGGGTTGGAGGCTCTATGAGGACAGGGCATCAGCCAGCTGTGTTCACTGCTGCACCCCCAGTGCCTAGAAGAGCACCTGCCACATAATGGTGGCCAACACATACTTTGTTGGATGAATAAATGAGCTTTAATGTGGACATTTCTCCAGGCTTATCCCCTCTCCCTACTTGATCTCTAATGTCATGGACTTCTAGGCCCATCTCTGGCCTTTGGTGTTGTCCAATCTGATTCGATTAAGGACCTAGTTTCAGACCCTAGCTCTGATCAGAATGCTGCTTTGGGAAACTGTGCCTGGCCCCCAAGAGGGTAACCCTGGCACAAGGAGTCAAAGAAGGGTGCTCACTGCAGGGGTCCTAGCAGTGCCTGCCCCTGCTTGTCAGGTGGAGGCATGCAGGGTGGAGGGCATCCTCAGGTAGTGGAGGGCGCAGTGAGAGACATGCACTCCATGAAGAATTCCCAAGGCCAGAGCATCTTGAATCCCCACAGCTCTGTGGAGCAGTGGGCTTGGCCAGGCGCACCTGGAATGTAGTTAAACGTGGGCAGGCCCCCTTCATTTAGCCTCCCTGCCTGCCTGGCTCCGACATGACCCATCTTTGAGGCCTCATGGGGGGCTCCAAGGTGGGACTTGGCACTCACCAGCTCCTTTCCTACGTTGTACAAACACCCAGACGGCTCAGTAAAAAGCCCTCCCGCTTCCAGCTCCCCTCACATCTCCCAGTTCCAGGGCTGGTCTTCTGGGCTCTGCCTGTCACAGGGTCTTGGGATGTGGGTGTAGACCGAGCCAGGTCAGGGGATAAGCTTTCTCGGGGACCTCAGTGCAGCTGGTTACCTGTTTGTGTATATGGAGATGGAGGGGGTGGCCAGGGTAGCTGGGAGGCATCTGGCTCCTGAGTCTGCACTGAGCTGTCACACTGTGTGCCACTCTGTGCTGCTCTGTTTGGCCCTGACAGGGCCACAACCCAGGTCTTATTTGTGGGCAAATAGAAAGCCACAGGCAGAGCCACTTTACAGGATCACCTGGGCTTGGACTGCTCCTCATCCCACCCAAACCCCCAGATGAGGATGCAACCTCACCGAGGCCAAGACTGGTGTGAGGATCCGAGGAGGGCTGGATGTTTGCATAGATTGTGTGTGTGTGTGTGTGTGTGTGTCTGTGATGGAGTGGATGTGAATGTATGTGGGTGACCTGTGAATATAAGGAATTGTGTGTGTGTATCTGAGTGTAAGTGTGTGATTGTGTGTCAGAATGTCAGTGTGGGTTTGAGGGTATGTGTGAGTATAACTGTCCGAACATAAATGAGTGTATGTGCTTTTGTTTGTAACTATAACCATACGTGAGAGTCTGTGTGAGTGTGTGTGACTGTGGCCATGTGTGAAGATATGACTGTAAATGTGCATCTCTGTGAGTGTGGGCAAGACTGTGCTTTAAGAGATGTGTGAGAGTATAAGTGAATGCTTGTAAGTGTGTGTGAGTGGGAGTGAATGTGTTAGTGTCTGTGGGTGTGTGTGAGTGCATGGGTATGTGTTTGAGTGTGACTGTGTGTGTGTGTGTGTGTGTGTGTGTTCCCCACATGCTAAAGGACCATGGAGCAGCGAGAAATGGGTTTTCCGCTCCATCATGATGCCATCCTAGGAGGCCCTTTCCCTTGCGCCCTGTCAGGGTGCTGGGGCTGCTCGAGACTGTGCCTCATCTGTTCTCACTCTAGGGACTGCCTCTCTTCTAAAAACGCTCTCTGTGGGGTGGATATGGTATCTCTCCAGTTGGTGGCTTATCTGGGATGAGGCGGAATGCCTCGATTTACAGATAAGGGGTGAGACTGAGGGAAGTTATGTACCCTGCCCAAGTCTCAAGGTTTGAAAGTGACAGAGGCAGGATTGGAAGTCAGGCTCCTCACTCCCAAGCCTTTGCTCTGCCTCCCAGAAGCTCTGGTCTCTGTAACTATTCTTCCCGCTCCCCAGAGAGGACTTTAACCTCTGTGCCTCAGTTTCCTTCTCTGCAAGATGAGGAGAAAGATCCATCTAGAAAGGCTTGTGTGAGCTGGGCATGTGGTAGCTGGGTAGCATGTGGGCTGTGGTCTGCATCTGGGCTGAGATTGCCCTTGGCCTCTGCAGGATCTTCTGGTCCCTCCCTCAGGGAAGCTTCTAGCACACTGCTCACAGCCTGAAACAGGTCCTTGGTGGCCGCCTGGCGCCCCTGGTCTTCAGGATGGGCCTTGGAACTCACTGCCAACAGGGCTTCACTGGCATGCTGCAGAGCCCGGGTGGCCTCCCGCTGGGTTCACCTGAAGCTCTTGGGCTGGCAGCATATTGTAGGCGCTCAATAAGTGTTTGTTATTTGTCTGTAAGTAATTACTATGACAGCCACCACTTCTTTGTACTAAGTACTTACCACATGTCCTGCACCATGCTAAGTACTTTCATGCAAACCCTTCAGGGGACCAGAGAAGAATTTCTTTTCTTCTCCATGCCCAGCAGGTGTATGTGATGCTGTGTGTGTGTGTGTGTGTGTGCACGTGCGTGTACCTGCACCCACACATATTCATAGAGCAGGTACCAGGAGTGGAAGTAGTCATACGCTCTGCAATAGTTGTTTATCATGTTAGGCTGTAACACATGAGATGGCCACTGTCTGGATTAAAACTGGTTGAATGTTGGTAATTTCAAATGGTTTGACCTAACCTTATGAGGAAAAATACTATTTATTATCCCCATTTTCCAGATGGGGAACCGGAGGCTTAGAGAAGTTCATTCACCAGCCTGTGACAGTACAGATGGCAAGTGACAGAGGTGGGATGACATCCAGGGTCTAACGCCAAACCATTAACTATATGAGTGAGGCCAGGCCACTTTTCTCCTCTGGCCTCAGTTCTGTCATCTTTGACAGGAAGGCCTGGAGTGATACTCTTAAATTCCTTCCTGCCATAGAAGCCTTTGACTCCATGAGGCAGAGCAGGGAAAGCAGGTTTCCCTCATTTTAGGTCACTTACCAAGAAAGGACCAGAGAGGGAGCTGATGTCAACAGCTCAGCAGATACCGAGGCTTCCCAGCTCTGTGAATTCCACTCCCCACCCTGAACGGCTGTGTACAGACCCCGGGGCCCCACTGGACGGCATGAAAGGGCCCCCTCTTGAGCACCTTCTGTCTGACGTCCATGTTCAGCAGCCCCCTGCAGCCCTGCTCCTGGCACTCCTGGTCCAGCATGGATGACACGGCTCTGGACAGCTGGAAGAGCCGCTAAGGGTCCCGCTCACCTTGCAGAGTGGCGGTGATATTCTCCAACACTGCAGCCTGGAAAGCCACGTTGTCAACACGGGTGTCTCCAAGTCCCACCTAATAGGGAAACCAGAAGCACGCTCAGTGCACGGAAGACCTCAGCTCACCAGTTCTTGTTCCCAAACCTGGAGCCTGAAGTCAGTCTCACAAGGCAAACCAGAGCAAGGCTGGAAGGCTTTGCACCTGGTGTGGGGTCTCTCTTGAGGCTGAGGGCAGCCGGGCCCACTTGTAGCAAGCAGCCAAAGGCCACTGAAAGCAAGCCTTGGGCCAGTTGCTGCTCTATCCTCACCGCCCTCCGTATCGAGCCCCCTTCCTGCTCCACCTGGTCTCTCACCCTTCAAATTTACCCTGATTTTATCCAGCCTCAGCCTTGTAGCCCCGATGGCTGATTTTGGTCCTCCTTCCTCTAGACTCTGATGGCACTGGTCTATCTCATCCCTGGGACCTCCTGCTCCAAGACTCCAGGGCCCTACTCTTATTCTGTCCACTGAGATGAAGGATCTGCAAAGATAGAGACCATGTCTGTTTTGTTCACAGCTGTGTCCCCGGGGCCTGGCACATAACAGGTGCTCTGAAAATACTAGTTGAAGGAATGAATGAATCAGCGACTCATCTGGTCATGCCCTTGGCTCCCTTCAACCCAGTCACCCACTTGGTGAGGTTCAGTTGGGTCAGCAAGTTTTCTCAGTAAAGAAACAAAAGGCTGCCACCACCCACCTTCACTGCTGCATGGGCCTGCTGTTTGTCCCCTGAGAGATTGGAGACAGAAATGACCACTGTCAGCATGAAGTCATTGTTTACTTTTCCAAGTGGCAGAAAAACTGACAGGAGGGCAGGCTCAGGGCCACAGTGTAGACAGGAACCTGGTAAATGGAAACTGAACAGTTAGGGGGGCATCTCCAAGGAGACTGGAAAGCCACCGAGGTAGAGCCTGATGACAAGGACACAAAAGCCACAGCTCATGAAGGCATGGCAGGTACTCAGGGACTCCATGCTTTCAGAGAGAAGACAGCCATCTATAGTGATCCACTGGTCTCTCTAGGTAATCACATGCTGCTAGGACTTTGGAATAATTTTAATGGAATCCATAAAAAATTCAAAAAAAATTTTCTCTCTTTACAGGCTTAAAAAAAATCCAAGGTAGTAAACCAAATTACAAAAAGGAGAAGGAGGAAGAGGAAGGGGGGGGTGGAGGAGATCTTAAAAATTAGCTCAAAACATATCCAAGTTCATTCAAAAGTCACATCCTGTACAAAGGCCTTCCCAGGCTCATTGATCGGAAGAGCATCCCCCTCCTGCAGGGATGTGGCTGGGTCAGTGTGCCTGGGGCTGGGGTTAAGGTGTAGGGGGTTCTTCATTCTGCAAACCTCTCTCACACATGGAACATACTTTTTGCATCTCTCACAGAGAGGTCCCTGTTCTGGGAGAAATGGAGCCTAGCAGCTGAGGGAGAGCAATAGCCCTGGGCCGGTACCTGACTCCAGACAGAAGCAGTACTCCAGGGGGCCCAGGGCAGAGGATGTGTTGCAGAAGATGGGTGAAGCTCGTCAGAATGGTACCCTCCTCCGGGGTGATGGTGCAGATGGGCACCTCGGGGGCAGGCAGAGAGCTGATCACATAGGTGTCCTCCCCATAAGCATGCCCAGTCACTGCCGGGGAGTGAAGACAGAGGGTGCTTGAGGGGCTCTGTGGGTCACACAAAGTACCATGCTTCGGGATTGCCCTGGGAGCTTGTTAAGCATGCAGATTCCCAGGCCCATGTTCTGACCCCGAGCCTCAGACCTCTCTGGAGGTTCTGAGGTGGGGCCCAGAAATCTGCATATCTAACAGCTCCCCCTGTTGCAGGGTATCCTGGGGCCTCACATTTTAAGAGTCAGTCCTTCATCTGTAAAACAGGGCTAATATTAGTAGCTTCCTTGAAGCTTTGGTGAGGAGGAAGTCTACTGGGAAACAAAATGACTTGCTCAAGATCACCAAGCTCAGAAGGTCCATGGCCAGAATCTAGAAACAGGCTGATCCTGCCCAAGGCCTTGCTCTTTCCAGGCCTCCACCTGCACCAGCATCCCACACAGCCTGGTATTTCAAAAAGAGTATGTACCTGGAAGAGCTGGGCATAAAGAGAATTTTAACCAATTAAAAATGATTAGTGTAGACCTAATCCAGAAAGTTTGGGGTAAGTCTGGGAGTGTTCATTTTAAACTAGTACCCCAGGTTGTCCCAGTGTGGGAGGCCTATGGGCCATTTTGAGAAAAACTGAATCAAATGAATCCATCCAGAAAAGAGTAATCATCCATTGTTTGTCTTTTTGAGAGTCTACATTTCCCACCGCACTGGGCTTGTTTAAAGTGAGAATCTTCCTGGCAGGACATGCAGGCTGCACCACCCCAGAATAATATGTCTCATTCACCCTGCATAATGCAATTCAGAGGAATTGAAGAAACTGAGGCACAGAGAGTTTAAGTGCTAGTGATGGGATTAACACCAGAGCCTGCGTCTGGCCCCTGACCCTGCACTGAAGTCCCACATTTCAGGGCTTCTGGGTTTGTCTTGGTTCACTTTCTGCGGCAGACGGGACCCGTGACAAGAGACTTAGGGGAGGCCTCCACACCTGTGGCTCTGATCCGGATGGCCTGGCCCCAGGTCTGCCGGAAGGAGCTGTTCAACCGCAGCATGGAGGTGTTGCTCTGAAGGAGGATTAAAGCACTCAGCCAAAATTCCTGGAATCTGCAGGCAGCCGGGAGAGGCTCATCCTGAAAGAGAGCACCAACCAGAGCCCCTGAGGCTTCAGCCAGGCTGCTGGACCTCAGCAGGGCAGTGGCTTCTCACCCCTAGGAGGCCTTCCAGATCTGTCTCTGCTGCAAAGACACCACCTGCTTCCCCAAATACCCAATTTCCAGCTTGGTGTAGGTGTTTATCTGAGATCAGGTTCCCTTGAAGAAGAGCCTGAGACGAGGATTCATGTGCAGGTCATTTACTGAGGGAGGGCTCTTGGGAAACCCAGAGTGGAGAGGGAAGCAGAGTAGGGCAGAGAAGTGGTTTCAGGAGGTGTCCAGTCAGCCTCAGCCTGATCCCACAGGGAGTGTGAGCTGCACCACAGAAGTTCTCTTACTCAGAGGCAGGGGAGCTGGGCCATTAGACCCCCACCTCCATTGGTTACTGGCCGGCAGTCACTCCACAGCGGCTGGGATGGGTGCATCAGCCTGGGAAGAGGGACTGGGGTGGGGCACCCGCAGCATCTGCTGTGATGTTTCCCCATTGCTTCTGCTCCCTTGCATCCGTTCTCCCTTCTGACCAATGCCCTGGTTTTTCTCTGGGAACACCACCACCCCGCCCCCTCACCCTATGGGCTCTGGCTCAGTCCTGGGCATGTGACCCAGGGTCTGGTCAGTCGAAGTGGGAGTGACTGCCAGTGTCCTCACCTTCTCCAGAGAGGTGTCCTCTAAATACCAGTTGAACATGGCCACTGAGGAGTCATCCCCCACGGTGACTCTGAGCATGACATCTTCACTGGCATTCGCTGGTCTGCAGTTCTCACAGCTGAGAGGGAGACAGAAAGGAGTGCGGAAGCTCGCTCAGGCCTCATGGCCTGGTCTTTTGTCTGGTTCTTCTCAGGTCCTTTGCAAAGGTGGCAGAGGGCCTTTTTTCAAGTGAAAGGTGGAATAAAAGCAACCCATGCCCCAACCAAAACCAGGACATAGTGTTGGTCATGGAGATGGAGTGATTTGTGCCTGACCGAATTCCCACTTCATTCCTGATGAAAGACAATGGTTTGGAAAGTGCATGAAGCCCAGGGTCCTCGGATCCTGTCCCTGCCTTGTAAGAATGGTCACCTTGCATGAGTCACTTAAACTCTCTGAGTCTCATTTTCCCCTGCAAAGTGGGGGGGATAAGAGCAGACAATATTTTCATGAGTCTTTCTGGCTCTAGCAATAATAAAGGAATGCTATGGTTTTATTGCCTGCATGCCACAGGTTATAAAGAATTTGCGTCATTATTTGCTTATCCAGTGCTTACCCCAACCCTAGGAGCAACATATTAGAATCCCCTATCACAGACAAGCAAACCAGGCTCAGGGAGCCAATGTGATTCGTACCAGGTGACACGACTCCTGAGTGGGAGAAGGGAACATGCACCAGCACATCTACATTCAGATCCTGGGTCTTCTCTCTAGCATCCCACTCCCTCCCTAGAGCCAGTGAGAGATCACTCTGGTACCTGCCGTGTGTCTAGCCCATCCACAGGACCTTTCAGTTTTAAGTCCTTAGCAGCTCTCAATCTCCCTACTTCTGTCTTCATGTCTGTCCTAGCACAGATGTACCAGACATTCTCCAACAACTCTTTGTGGCTCTGGGCACTAGGAGACTACACTCCATAGACTGGGTCACCTGAGTTCCTGTGCCCTCTGGCTTCTGGTTGGGCCCAGCAATGGGAGGCATTGGCTGGGGAATCAGAGGGTGAGGGAGGGAGGTGGGTATTTATTCACCACTGTCCCTGCTCCTTAGCAGGTGGGCAGCAGTTGGCAGTGACTGTGTTCCTCTAACCAAGACCACAGCTCCCGGGGGTTCCAGCAACGCCATCCCCCACTCCTTCCTTCTGCAGTCCTAAGAAGAAGAGTGGCTTCCTCCTATTGTAGTCCTGCACTGTTATCCCTTTGTTTGCCCACATCTGTAAATAGGCCCTTTGTCCAACTCTCATCAATTCCCAGTTTGAGGGAGACATCTACTTCTTGCTGGGATCCAGTTGATAGACCAGGCTACCTTGAACTTTCACCTTGACTCCTGCAAGAACTCAAGCAATCTCCTGGAGCCCTGTCTTGCCCTCCTCCAACCTGCTCTCCACCCTGCTACCACAGCATTTTGAAGTAAGACATAATCATGTCCCCAGCCTGCTTGCAACTCTTGGGTGACTTTCCAGAACTCTTCAAATCATGTCTGTGACATAACCCACAGGGTTCCACCAGAGCCAGGCCCCGCCTTTTCTCCCAGTTTCTTCTTGCCCCTCTCTCTCCTTCCATACTTGAGCCACACCAGTCTCCTTCACTTCCAGCTTATTCTATGCTCCCCCCCTTTGTCATCCAGTTTCCTCTCCAGCCCCCTTTTCCTGCCAAGCTGGTCCTTCTTCCTTCTTCACATCTCTCCTGAGGGAAGCCTTCCCTGGTCCCGAGTCTGGGAACTTGTCATCGGGGTGCACTATCTCCCTGCATTCGTTGGGGCAAATAATTGCTGACCACCAGGGAGCACTCCCCGTGAGAACTGTGACCGGGGCTCTTGGACCACCCCTGTAAGACCTGCCCCTACGTCAGTGCCAGCCGGAGCTGGCTCTTCAGTAAACGGTGGCTGAAGGGATGGCAACACCATAGGAGTTTGCTCTCTCGCCCCCACCTGACTCGAGGCCTGAGTTCCAGGGGGGCAGACACATAGAGGCACTTCTCCTCCCGGTTCTCCAGCTCCCTGCCTCTCCAGGTGGCCAGGTGCAGGGTGATGGCGGAGTTGGGCGGTGGCAGGCAGGACGGAGGAAGCACCAGCTCCCTTTGGTCTGTGCAGAGCAGCTGCCTCTCAACACAGTAGCTCCACTGGGCCCAGCAACGTCCTGAGAGAGGGGGGCAAACACTGTTATACATCCAGGGACCCTTCTGGTTTGGGATTTTTAGAAGAAAAAAGTCATATATCGATAAGAAAAGCAGCTCCAAAGAGAGAGTTTGGTTTTTAAAAACACTCTCACTTGCAGGGTGCAGGAATGGTGCTGCGGAAGGATGCTTCTAGGGAAATGAGCGGCGCTTCACCCTGACTCCAAGCAGACCTGCAGGGTATGTCAGCTTCTTTTGTTTGCACCAGCCACTTGCACTGATGAATGAACGGGCAGGCATATAACAGGAGAGAGGCCAGGAGGATAGACCGCTTTGCTTGGGAGAGCATCCAGGGCAGTTTCTTATCCCTGGTGCAACTCTCACTCCACTTGGAAGCGATTGTCCTCAGCTGTATGTCCCTTTGGGTACACTGGGGCCCTGGGGGCTGTATCTCCATCTGAGAGGCTGCATGTCATCTCCAGCTTTATGATACCAGCTTGGTAAGTCCCTGTATCCTTTGCCCTTCATCTCTGTTGATCGATGTTTATCCATCAATCACCTTGCTTCCTCCGCCCCCCAGTATAGTAGTCATTCACAGGACATGATCTAGGGTTGGGCCATCAGCTCAACCACCCAAACTGTATACATGCATCCTTTCTGAATTCTGATAATGAGAATTAACATTCAAAAGGATGTCCTGAGCACTTACCAATGGATATTGAAAGGCTTCAAATTTTCCATGACTTTTGACCCAGCTATTCCATTTCTTGAAATTTATTTATTTTCTCAAAACTTATTTCTGAAAGTTACCACAGAGGCAAATAAAGATAGAACTACAAGGATGTTCATTACAACATTGTTTATAAGGGCAAATAATTCAAAACAACCTAAATGTCCAAAAATAGGACACCAGTAAATAAACGATCATACATCAACTAAACAGGCTATTATGTACTTATTATGAAATTAAGATGGAGAAGATATCATGGCATTAAAATATGCAGGATATATTGTTCAAAGAAAAAATAGGTAATAAAAATAATATGTACAGTAGGGATGGCATTCATTTCCAAAAGAATGTCTGCCTAGCTAGGATATATCCCTACAGAAAGGAGGACAACCGTTTCTAAATAATGGGTACTGGTGATACTCTCTTGGTTTGTCTGAAAATGCCTCCTCACTTCTAGACTCTCTTCCCAGTGACATATGAAGCACAGGGAAGTGAAAGGAGGGATCCACCCAGCAGGGAGGAGTTGTTTTTATTTTATCACTGAAGTTGTTTGTGGTGAAAATAAAGCAGATTGACTTTTAGGATCAATTACTGTTCTCAGATTCTTTACAGATAATGCATCTCCTTGTTGCCTGCCTTCAGGGCTACCTCTGCCTTGATTTGCCATTGCTTCCCCCCACCCTCCCATTTCCATGGAATTCTCAATCTCTGGCATATGCAAGGTGCACAAAATGGCAGGCATAAGTAATGCCTGTGTGAAGGTTAAAGAACAGCAAACCTGACCTCTATCCATTACTTTCTGGTGAGCTAGGATAGTTCCAGAGCTCTGCAGCCACCTACCACATGACCACTGGAAGTGTAAATCCGTGTCACTGTCTGGCCAGCCCAGAGTCACTGTCGTGAAAGGATCCACATACTGACCAGGTTCCACATACACCTGCACATTCCCTTTCTCTCTCTGCAGAAAAAGCAACTAGTTGGTGAGATGCCCCTCCACCTCCATTTGGTACCCCACCTCCCACCCACAGCAATCTGTGCCAAGGGTAGCCACAGCATAGGACGTAGAATGGAAACAGACCCTGTATGATCCACCTGGCTGCCCTCTGGGGATGAATCACAGGGTAAGTAACTTTAGTCTGAATGTGGGCTCAGTGCTAAGGGTCCACCATGCATCCAACTGTTAACAGAGCCTGTTCTGGGACAGGGCCCATGCTTGATGCCCAGAGATACGGGAATAGAGACCTAGGCCTTGCCCTTAAGTTTGGGAGGGAATACGGACAAGAAAACAGGCCATTAAAACACAGAGAGCTAACTGCTATAGAGATAGGGGCCAAGAGGATTATGAGAATGTGTAAAAGGGAAGCAGTAGATTGAGAACATCTGCTCCTATGAAGGTTTGATAGCATTCGATTCCTGGGTTGCTGTGGATTAAATGAGAGAAGCTACTGACATGCTTTCTATTGTGTCTGGTGCAGAGGAAGGCACAGAGCTGTGACCTCTGCAAAGCGGATAGCTGATGTCAGGGCAAGCTTCCCCAGAGGACAGGATAACAGAGTTATTGTGAAGGAGTGAGCCTGTGGGTTCTAGGAGGAGAGATCGGCAGTTATAAGGTATGCTCCTGGAGTAAGTTCTGGTAGGACCTAATAAACGGCTAGGCCTAGAGGGCTTAGCCTGGTGTAACAGGAGGCTACATGGCAGAACTCAACCCCTAGTGGTCTCCCATGGCCTGAGAATAAAACCCAAACCCCTGTCTTGGTACCCAAGACCTCATGCGATCTGGTCTCTGTCCATCTCTCTATAATCTCCTACATACTGCCCCCACCATAGTCCTAAGGCTAACTTTTAGCCCCAGGGCCTTCATATCTGTGAAGCTCTTATTCTGCTTTCCAGCATGACTGACTGTCTTATCTTCAGGTTCCCACTCGAATGTCACCTGAATGTCACCTTCCAAGAGGCCTCATCTGATCACATTTGCTAGGCCACCCTGTTTGGCTGCTGTCACTGTACCCTGTTGCTTCTAGTTAGACATTTATCACAAGTCCTAACGAGATGCTAATTTGTTTGGTAGTTTCACCCACTAGGCTCCAGGAAGGCAGGGACCACAGCTGTTTATTCACCTTTGTATCCCTAGTCCCTAACACCAAGCCTTGGATATTGTAGATGCACAGTCTTTGTTACTGAACAAGTGCATGCATGGGTAATGTCAACAGCAAGAAGCTGAGGACTCAGTCTTGCTGTAAAAACAAAGCAACCTGGGCCTGTTTTCTAAGTTAAGCATTAACAGCTATGAATTTCTCTCTGAACACTGCTTTAGCTGCATCCCACAAATTTGGATAGGTTGTACTATCATCACTCAGAAATATTTTTAAATTTTCCTTGTGAGTTTTTTCTTTCAACTGTTGATTTTTTTTCAAGTGTGCTGTTTAATTTCCAAGATGTCTAAAAGGTATATACATATCCCAGATATCTTATTACTGATTTGTAATATAACACTGTTCTGGTTGGAGAACATGCTTGGTTTGATTTCATTCCTTCTGGATCTCTTTTCAAATGGAAGAAACCTCTGTGCTTCCTAGTATTCTGGCTATTAGCACCAATAAACCCAAATTCAAAACTAAAGCAGAGTGCTTAGACATCTTTTTCTTGTGAGGTTAAGTGTTTAAAAAACAAATACTCATGTTCTTTTCCTTGGCATTTGTTCCAGATGGTTCTTGTAGACTGGAAGGAGCTGTAAACACAATGGGAACAGGCGTCAGACTTTGGTAGTATTTATAAGGTTGCCAAAGGGCAGAGTCACAGGTATGCTCAAGATGCCCTAGGGGATCCACCTGTCTTGGAAATGGGTTAGGGAAATTTAGCAAACGTTCAGACCATAGAAATTGGTAAAAACCCAAACCATCATGTCCACCATTGGACTAAAGACACCTCTTTTGTTGTTAAGAAAGAGGCAGGCAGTTGCCAATGCAGATAACACACAAGATTTGGAGACAGACATGTGGCTGTACGCTGTTAATGTTTAATTGCCAGTTGAGGGAGGGAGTGGAGAACTCTGATTTGTAGTGTTTGCTACTTTCTGTGGCGTCAGTATTCCCACTAAGGCAGATTTCAAGCTACCAAGCTGACCTCAGTGAATGTAGAGCAAGAGGTGGACAGAACGAGCTCTGACAAGCTGCTAGAAGCTAGCTTCAGCACACCATGGTGCATTTCTGGGTCCTTCTATTAGCCTCTTACTGGCTATGTGAACCTTGGAAGGTTAATTATTCTTTCTGAGTCTTAGGTTCCTCACCCATTATAGAAAGGCAATCCCCATTTCTCAAGGCTCCAGGAGGGCTGAATGCTGTGCTTCTGTACCATTGCTTTGTAATCTATATATATATCTGTAAAGAGTATTAGTATATAAAGTTAAAAAAATGGAAAATGTACATGCAGTGGATATGCTCTGAAAATACTGAACTGTGAATATGTTAATGTCTAATTAAAGTGTAGTGATTAAGATAGGAATGTGTTTTATCTGCACTGGCAGATCCATGTGAGTCTCTAGGCCCCAGTGACCTTGTTATTTTAAGATCAGGGTACCACCAATCTTTAAAAAATTCTCTCCCAATGAATTCTCATTCAGAGAACTGTAACTTTGAAGGTCTATAAAATTATACAAAGCAAAGCTAAGATGCCAGACATAGAGGCCCTTCTTAATCTTAAGAAGGAAGATGGTCCAGTAACCCTGAATGAAGAAATCAAGAGAAATAGTTGCTGCCTCTGATCCTGCCATGAATTAGCTGAGTGACTTCTGGAAAGTCATTTAAGCTCTCTGGGCCTCAAATTCCATATGTGGAAAAGGAGGGCTGTGGACAGCAGCGAGGACATCTGATGGTTTTTTCCCCCATCCCAGCATCCGGGTCCCCTTCTTTTGGTAAGAGCCCTTACAGTTAACATTTTCCCTGAGGAACCATCCCTCCCCTACTCTCAGTCCTTGGTTTGGGTGAAGCTGACCCTGCATCATGTTCCAGGTGGACATGTGATTCTGGTCTGCCTAAACTGAATACCACTTTCCGCTGGCCTCAGCACTGGGTCCTAGAGGGAACATGAACCAAGCTTGGACCAGTAGAGGCAACCTCAAGACTTCTGGAAATATCCACAAAGAGGCGCTCTTTCTCTAGGGTTAAAGATTGAGGCCTGGGGCCATCCTGCTACTGCTTGAGAAGAGGGAATCAGAATGAAGCCTAAGTAGAACCAAGAGATGGGGAGAGATAGACTTCTGATGACACTGAGTGATTGGATCCAGCTGCGCCTAAACCCTGGCCTTTTCCTTTTCTGAGTTGATAGAATTTCCCTTTGACTTGAGCCAGTTTCAACTGCTTTTCTGTCCCTTGCTACTCGAAGAGTCCTGGCAAACACATTTGCGATGAACTTTCAGCTCTGTGACTGCTACTGTTGGTTGCCTACCCCGCAGCCAGTACTCCACTCTCCTTCCTGGTTGCCAGAATCCACCTTCTCCCACCTGCTTCCTAGCATCCCTTACAGCTGGGGTACGTGACCCCAGCTGATGATATCTGAGGGGAAGATTGCTGGGGATGAGGGGAAAAACAGCCCCCCTAGTAACAAGAGCTACAGAGAGGGAAGTGGGGTTGTGCAGCTGCTGGATAATGCTGGGCTGATATGTGATGTCTGGAACTGCAGCAGCTGTGTTGATGAGAGGCAAGCCTAAGGACAAAGCAGAAGCTCTGAGGATGGCAGAACAGGACAACAGAGTGAGCCTGGGTCCTTGCTGCTGACACTGAGTCACTGAACCAACCCTGGAACTACCTCCTAACTTCTTAGTATGTGGGATAATAAAGCCTTAAACGTAAAGCCACCTTGGTTGGGCTTTGTGTTGCTTGGAGCTTAAAGCAACATAACGAATACAAACTCAGATGTTTTAGAATTCTGTAACAATGGTTGAATGTGTTACTGCATATATCACTGCCCCTTAACATCTGTAGAGCAAGGTAAGTATTCAGAGGTTTGTTTTGAAGAGTTCCTCACTGGATTCCAAGCAAGTACAATGCCCCAGACTCCTGGTCACGAGTTCTATACCCCCTTGCAGAAATTCCTTGCCTGTGACAGTGATGCTTCCGACTTCCAAACTTAAGTTTGAGAAGGCATTCCTCACCGTCACAGTGACCGGAAACGTGCCTGCAATGCAGAGTAGAGAATTATGGGTGTTGCAATAAATTGTTTAACTTATGCTGAGACAGCTCTCCCAGCATGTGCTTCTCAGGTCCACTGACAGCAGCATTTGAACCTTTCATCCTCTGAGCATTTAATGAACCCCTCTTGTATACCAGGCATGGTGCAAGGCTCTAGGGACACAGAGATGAATGAAATGTGGTCTTTGTCTTCAAGGTCCTTATAGTCTAGTAGACATGCAGGAGACCAAGTGCCAAACCATGGCAGAAATTGGCATGGGGGCATTGTGGACACAGAGCAGGGGGTCACTTCATCAATCATGGTTCATGGCGGGGCTAAAGCTAAAGTTCCAAGGACGAGTAGTGCTCATTAGTCAGATTAGAGAAGAGATTCCAGCAGAAGGAAAGATATGACAGGACTTTTAAAAGATTGAGGGGTAGAAAAGGGAGAGAAGGATTTGTAAGACTTACTTGGGGTAATTGTGTATCCCTCTCCTCCTCCCTCATGGGGAAGGGTGGTGGGTGCTACCTTCTCAAGTCTACAGGGAAACTCATCAGACGGGACCCTTGGAAAGGTGGATATGTGCTCTTTGCAGTTGAGTACCCCCATGGAAGTGTTCCTTACTTATGCCCTTGAAGGATGGTCTATGACAGGGGGTGGAGTGAGAGGGAGAGAGGGAGGGAGGAAAGGTCTGTATTCCTGCCTTTGGAAACACCTGCAGTCGCTGGTAGCAGGCCAAGGAAAAGGTGAGAATTTTCTACAGACCAGGTGTTGTCTTGGGGAGAGGGCTTGCTGGAAAGGGTGGCAACAATGAGAACAAGGAGTGACCTTGTTGGTGATCCAGAAGAAGCAGCAGCTGGGCAGATGTGGCCAGCTGAGGGAGAGGCATCACACCCATCCTGGGAGCTGAGGGACACAGCAGGGACCTCAAAAGCCCATAGAAGCTCCCCCAAGAGGTAGCTGCAAACATCTGCTGGGCCCTGAAAGCAAGAACTGGGCCAGCGCTACGAAGTGAGGGCCTTCCTGTCCTACCTGGTTCTGTCTCCTTCCTCCTCACCTCCTTCATCCCTAGAGTCATCCAAATCTGTTTTTCTTGTGGGGAGACTACTTATCATCTAAGAGTGAGCTAAAACCTCACAGGGCCTGCAGAGATTTTATCTATCATTCCCTGCCAGGCAACTTTTATAGAAGACAAAAATTAATTTGCATTTGAATTATAGCCTATATATTGTGCTTATTTTCCATTGTCATTTCATTTCATTTCATTCTGGATTCTCTGTTTCAAGCTGGACTTCTGATACCTGGCGAAGTTCCAGTGTTTTTCTTCTCAAATCTGTCATTTAACCTGCTATTTCTTTTGCCAGCTCTGCGGGTGAGGGCATGGTAGACCCACACCTGTATAGTGTTCCCCTCTTTATTACATACCTCTGAGACCCAGGGCCAGGGACCCCAGGGTACAGGGTTCTGGTGGGCTGGAGACTCTGTGACCCTCATCACATTCCTGCCTGCTGACCTCACCGCACTGCCCTGAAGGACTCTCTGTTCTCTCCAGATTAAATGCAAATGTCGGCTGTGGTCACCTCCCCTGGTGGTGCCAGCCAGTCTGTTAGCCTATCTCTGTTCCAGCCCCCATCATGACTCTTCCTCTCTTCTCCCTCCCTCTCCCACCCTTGTTTTTACCTCTCTCTCTCCCCCAAGGGCATGGACTGGTTTCCTGAACCACACTCGCCTCTAGAAATGATGGAAAAATTGGAATACACCAGTTCTCCTTCAGTGGTTCTCAGTGGGGGAGATTTTGCTGTCCAGGGGACAGTTGGCAATGTCTGGAGGCATTTCTGGTTGTCATGACTTAGGGGCCTGGTGCTACTGGCATCTAGTGGATAGAAGCCAGGGATGCCGCTAAACATCCTACAATGTGCAGGACGGTCCCCACAACAAAGTATGATCCATTCCCAAATGTCAGAAGTGCCAGAATTGAGAACCCCTGTGACTCTGAGCTCTATGAGGGCAGATAATATGTCTCTTCCTTATTTTGTGACCTAGGCTGGATGCTGTGAACCAGGTTTGTGACCAGGACACACCAAAACTGGCTGGCGGGATGCTGGATACCCAAGTTGGGAAGGAAAGAGGAGGGAAGTTTGGGAAGTGGCCCACCAACCCCAAGTACCTTCAAGAGGAACTGCCACATGGTAAATCCCAAATGGCCGTTGGAGGCTTTCTTCTTGATGGGTGAAGGTTGCATTGAGTCCTGCCACTTCAAAGGTCAGGCCCTCTGGGATGCCATGAGCCACGGAGATGTTGACCAGTAGGTCTTCTCCAAGCTCCAAGTGGTCAGAACCCCAGGAGGCCTGTAGCCCTGACAGAGGCTCCATGAAGTGGACTGTGATGTTCCTAGAGGGTGCAGAGGTGGTGGTGTTGCTGGTGGCTCGGATCTCCAGGTGGTGCATCCCAGGGCCCATCCTCTGCTGAGCTGCTCTGTCCAGGGTCAGATTGTAGGGTAGCAGGCCCCTCGGTGTGGTGAACTCAGCCAGGGTTATGTTACCCAACAGTGCAGTGTAAGTCACCCCAGTTCCTATGTGGGGTAAGAAATATTTAAGAATGTTGGCAACAACCACGCTGTAGATTGTACCGAGTTAGTTAAGACTCAAGCTCTGAGGTCAGATTCTGGATATAGCTAGGGGCATGGTACAGCCATAAAGACATATGGAAGGATAAGTCCCAACCCCAAGTATTAACTGTGATTATCTCTGAGGGATGGATACATGAATGATTTTTCTTTTTGGGTTCTCTCTGCTCATCTGCACATTCTAACTTATACTATACATGTGTTACCCATAAACTTAAAGGTTTGTAATAAAGATTTGAGAACATTTTGTTGACAGGTTGGCCTTGGAGGGAGGAAGGCTAACAAGGGAGCATCTCCCGAGGCATGGCTGATTTTTATGCGTGACAATTAGCCTCCAGTCTTGTTCTAGGCAGGAGCAGGTGAAGCTGTTTCCTTCCACCTCCATGGCAGACTGCCTGGAACCCTGCTCTACAGGAGTACTCAGCCTGTCCACATAGCGCTGGCTATCCTAAATGGATGCTGAATACTGTGGTTGACTCTTAAAATCTGATTTAAACCACCAAATTAGGATTCTTTCCAATAGAAACCAAGCGAGTATATTTCTTGTTTGAGTGATGATGTTGCAGCTGATGCTGCCGAGAGTAATGTTAGCCCTCTGACTTTTATGTTTACTGCTCCCTCTCCCCACACTTGGCAAAGAGTAGGCACTCAATTATATTTGTAGAATGAAAAAATAAATGAAGGATTATTTTAGGTTTCCCAGTGCACATAGCAGCCATCTTCAGCCAACAAGCACACCGGAACAGAGAGGAGCCCCGAGTACCATGTTTAAGGACCCACGGTGGCTCCGTTAAGTCACTGCTGAGTGAAGCTCCAGGAGCTGCGAGGTCAGACTGAGTCATGTCCTCCCCTCTGCAGCTCTGCAGCACACAGTTTACCTCAACAGGCTTCTGTCCAGATCTCAAATTGGACCTGTGCCTGCAGGAAAGATGCTGCCTTTGGTGAGGATGGGTCATAGTTGGTAGGGATTGAGAAAAGGGATGATATTCAGAGTATTCAACAACTGAAACTGCGTGGGTCCCTCCTGACCAAATAGGATGGATGTTCTGATAAATCAGAATGGACACTGTGACCAAGCAGAATAGATGCTTTGACCGATCAGAAGGGATACCTTGCCTAATCAAAATGGACATGATGACCAATAAGAATGGCCTCTATGACCAATCAGAAAAGAAACTGGCCAATCAGAGCAGACACCAGCCACAGCAGCTCCTGTGGGTGTAGCAGTATATGTCACTGAATAGCAGTTCTGATTGGGGGCAGCATCATTGTGCCAAGCTGGTCAGTGCTGGCCACGCTGAGATGACCTCTGGCCCAGCTGGTAGCTCTCCCAGTCCTATTCAAGTTCCCCCAACAAGGAGTGACTTGGAAATTCAGTTCTTCTGATGAGACCATGTACATGCAAAAAAGGACATTCGGAAGGCTGAGAGCTTCACTAGCTTACTGGGCTTGTGACTTTGAGCCAATTTCTGAACTTTCCCTGCATTTCTTCATATGTAAAACAGAGATAATAGTAGTACATACTGGGTGGGCTAGTACATGTAAAGCACTTAGACCAGTTCCGGGCACATACTAGGTGCTATTGAGCTAAAAAACTGACTCAATATATGAGTGCTGTTAGTATTCACTAAAGCCTGGGAGTTGGGTGGATAGATGTGGGGAAGAATCAAGGTTGCCTTGACCTTGACCATTTCTGTAGACTCACCTCCATCAAGTACCACCTGAATCCACAACGGGTCCCCAAAGACAGCGCGGCAGAGAGGGCTGGCTCCTGACTTGGACAGGCTGGAGTACCTGGTCACATGGAGCCTCTCCATCTTGTCTCGGATGGTCACGTGCTTCTGAGCCATCACGTGCCACTCAGTGGTTGTGCGCTCGGTAAACACAGTGAATTCCCCAGGGGCTTGAACTGGTGGGTCACATTGCTGGATGAACTGCAGGCAATAGTCGGTGTTAGCAGTGTTGCAGACACACAAACACATGCATTCACACATGTGTGCACACATGCACTCACCCACCTCATGCTCCCCTGTTCTGCAAAGACAAACAGATGAAGAAAGAGACGCTACACAACCAAGCTGTTGGTGTTCATGAAGGTTACATTGAGATGTCTGGAACAGGTGGGAATGGAAGAAAGAGCAGTGACCAGCCAGGGAGTTGAATATTTGGTTACAAGTCCTTTTTCTGCTATTTATTCTTTCTGTCATTCACATAAATCCCCTCTCTGGGTCTTCTTGCTTTATCTGTAAAATACTATGCCCCAGCCTACCCTTCTGAGCCATATTTTCCCCATGTGTAAAATGGGATCCTATTCCAAATGTATCAGAATTATGGGTATGTTTTGCTTCTCATTTTCCCAAGGGAACTAGTTAAAAATCTCTAACATGGCCTGTAAAGACCCACATGACCTGCCTTCCTGACCTCACCCCCATCTCCTGCCACACCCCTCTAACTCTATGTCCACTCAGACCTCTTCTCAGTTCCTGGAATGTGCCACCTCCTGTCTGCTTCAAGGCCTGCAGGTGTGCTATTCTTTGCTGGGAAGGCTCTTACCCATCTCTGCTCACACTCATGCTGCTCCTTCCATTCTCAGCTTAAACATCACCACCTCAAGGAAGCCTTCCTTAGGTCCCTAAAAAGGAAATGCTGTAGCTTCTTCTGATTCTTCTCTGCTAGGTCGTCAACACAGTGTCTTGTCTAATTCTCAGTTATAAACCTGGCACCTAGCACAGCGCCCAGCACAGAGTGGATGCTGAGAAATATTTGACAAATGAACATATTTGTGAAAAAGCTTGGAAAACAGTAACCTGACTTTTGGTGCTGGCCACCACGGTGTAAGCCTACCACAGCCTATTTCTTCCATTGATTACAATGAAAAACCTGGGCAGATTACAAAAAAACTTCCTGAGGATTCTGAAAAGTAAACAACAGCAGACAGTTGGGGAAGAAAGTGAAAACTTTAAGAATTATCCATAAAGATGGCATTTTCCTGTTTTGTCTTTCTTTTAAACCTCCTTTATCTCTTGGCTTTGTCCCTAGGGTAGCCTGAGTCACAAAACTGCACAATGAATGAAGAAAACAAAAACCCCAAGAGAAATCCCCTCTGTTTAGCCAGAGAACCAGGAAAAGGGACCCAGTGAGCTCAAGAACACAGGGAAAATATCTGTTTTTGTTTTGTGTTCTCTCTTTTTTTTCTCTCTTGGCCCTGACCCAGGCTGTCCTCCCTCAGAGCTGTATTGACTGCATAGGGTGATGCAAACACCAAATCCCCAAGAGAAAACCCATCTTTCTAGCCAGAGGAGCAATGAAGAAAGACCTGTGGGAGCTGGAGATTGTGGGGGAAACCCTGAAAAGGAGAGATGTGGAGAGGAGGATCCCCCACTTCTGTGAACAGCCCAGCACAAACCATGACCTCCCCCACAGATTATACTGTAAAACAGACCCAAAGGCATACAGCCAAGGCTTTGATGAAGTCAAACTACAACATAAATACCACCCTGAGTGGCACATGAGTGGGGCAGACCCAAACAACTTTGGAAACTGAATGGACATGGGAGCCATTGCTCACAGAAGGCAAGTCATAAAACGTGGTCTGAATCTAACTGCGGGGGGGGGGGGGGGGGCGGGGGGGCGGGGTTGCCTGCTAAAAGAAAACAAACAAAAATCCATTTTCCAGAGGATTTTAACAGGATTCAGAGTCTCAGAACCTACTATCAAAATGTCCAGAATACAATCCAAAATTGCTTGATATACAAAGAATGAGGAAAATTTGATCCAATCTCAAGGGAAAACATAATAGATGTCAGCCTGTAGACGACTCAGGGGTTAGAATTATCAGACAGACTTGAAATCTGCCATTATAGCCATGCTCCATGACATAAAAGCAAACCCTCTTTAAATGAATGGAAAGCTAGACATTCTGAACAGAGAAACAGAAACTGTTTTTTTAAAAAATGGAAGTTTTAGAAATAAAAAACACAATATCTGAAATAAAAAATTCCCTGGATGCAATAGCAGAATAGTGACGACAGAGGAAAGTTGGTGAACTTGAACATAAAGCAAGAGAAAGCATCCAAGTTGAAGAACAGATATTAAATAAATGTAAATATTAATAAAATATTAAATTTTTAAAAATGAGCATCATCAATCTGTGTGACAACATCAAAAGATAAAATATTTGTGTCATTGGAGTACCAATAAGAAGAGAGAGATTGGTGTAGAAAAGTATACTCAAGAAATAATGGATGAAAACTTACCCAATTTGGCAAAACACATACATTTGAAGACTCAAGAAGCTCCATGAACCCCAAAAGGAAAAAAGTTAAAGAAAACCATGCCCACACATATAGTAATCAAACTGCTGAGAATCAAAGATAAATGAGATAAATAAAAAAATCAAACTGCTGAAAAAAATGGCACATTACACGTAGAGTTGTGAGTGACTGTAGATTTCCCCTCAGAAACCCATGGTGGTCAGAAGACAGTGGCAACATCTTTAAGTGTTGAAAGAAAAGAACTTTCAACACTTAATTCTATATCCAGCAGAAATGTCCTCCAGGAAGGGAAGCAAAATAAAGACATTCTCAGGAATAAAGAAATCCTCTAAGAGAATTTGTTGCCAGAAAATCTGCTATAAAAGAAATGGTTAAGGGAGTTTTTCCAGCTGATGGGAAATGGTATCAGAGGGGAACTTGGAATTTCAGGGATGAAGGGAGAGCACAAGTAATGGTTAATTATTTTGGTAAATGCATAGGCTACTTTTCTCCTCATAAGTTCTTTAAATGTGTATGACTGTTGAAAGGGGCTTTCAATGTATGTAACTGTCCTACGTAGGACAATTATAAAGGAGGTTGGGCAAAGGGACCTATATGCCAGTAAGGCTTCAACATTTTACTGAAGTCAGATATTAACTCCATGTAGACAACGAAAGGTTGGATATGTGTATAGTAATCCCTGAAGCAACTACTAAAAAAGTAATAAAGAGAACCAAAAAAGCTGATAGATATGTTAAAATGGGATACTAAAAATATTCAAATACTCCAAAAGAAGACAAGAAAGGAGAGGAACAGAGGGAAAATAAACAGAAGGGCAAAGAGAAAACAAATAACTAAATATAGTAGACCTAAATCTAACTATATCAATAATTACATTACTTGTAAATGGTCTAAACACAAAAATTATTGTGCCAGATGGAATTTTAAAAAACCAAGACTCAACCAAAGATTGTCTACAAGAAGCCTACTTTAAATATAATGATAAAGATATGTTAAAAGTACAAGTATAGAAGCTTCACCAGCAAACAGTAATGAAAAAAATGCTTGATAAGGCTTTATTAATATCAGACTATGTAGATTTCAGAACAAGAAAATAATACTCTTTAGAGAAATGTGAAGGATGGTTTTGAATAGCAAAATCTGGGCTATTTTTCAGGGACCTGCCTGGAAGAAGCAACTCATTCCATTCTCTGAACTCTGCTGCCAACTGAAATTGCCCAGGACTAAAAGGCAGAGAAATGGATTTTTCCTGATCTGTCTCCAGTGAGCCCACCCAAGGGAGAAGACAACAAAGTCGTTTTAGAAACTGCTGCCAACAAAGGGAAGATACGCTCAGAGTACAAAGCAACAGAGGCAACAACTAAACATTTTGTTATGATGCTGTGAGCCGGCAGTTCCACTCCTGGGTGCAAACCCAACAGAAATGTGTACATGTGTGCACAAAAGACTTGTGCTCAAATGTTCACAGCTGCACAATTTGTAATTGCCCAAATGGGAAACCACCCAAAAGGCCTATCAACACTAGAATGGATAAGTAAACTGAGGAATGTTCATACAATGGAATGGTATACAGGAATGAGAAAAAAGAAATCATAATTATACACAACAATATGGATAAATCTCAAAAAGGCACTATTGAACAGATGTCAAACACAAAAGAGAATACATTTTATGATTCCATTTACAGAAGTTGCAAACAGGTTGCACTGATTGATAGTGGTAGGAATCAGTACCCTTGGGGGCCTGAGGAGGATTCCTGGGAGACAGGTCATGTTTTATTTCTTGATCTGAGTGCTGGTTACATGGGTGTGTTCACTGTGTAAAAATTAACTGAGCTGTGTCTTTTTGTGCATTTTTTGCATGTATCTATGCTTCAATAAAAAATTGATAAAAAAATGCCTCTCACTGATTTGTACATGCTGCTAGGTAGTTAACATTAATGGGATGCAGCTTTTCTTTAAAAAGAAAGAAAATGGAGAAGGAAGCTCACATTTTTAATCTTTGCTCATAATGTATAATTGTTAAGAATACCAAGGTCTGTGTCATTTTGTTAATGTCACTCACAGGTTGCTACCCAGCTTGGTGGACAAGGCCCTCTGACCAGATCGGGCAGTGTGGTGGAATGGAGAGGGTAGGAAGCTGGAAGTGAGGTCTCCAGGACTCCCATCAGTCACCTGTATAACCTAATGTCTCAGTGCCCTTGTCCATACAATGAGGCAAGAGCCATTCCTGGCTGGGTCATTCTAAGGTTTACATGAGACCATGGCTGAGTAAGTACCTGGCATGTAATAGACTCAAATATTGTAGTTTTATTTTTATAATATGATGACATTTATGCCACTTAGCCTCTTAAAAATAAAAGTAGTGCCTACTTCTATGTAATATGAATGTAATGGCAACAGTTACCCATTTTTGAGAATCAACTCTGTGCCAGTTCTTTTCTTCTTTGTAGTCCCATTTAGTCCTTAAATTACCAAGCCACTATTAGCAATACTTGCAATAATATTAACAATCACAGGTCATGTACCTGAATGGCCTGAAGATTCTTATATATCCTCTGTAGTGGATGCATGTCACCGAGAGTCTATCCTTCAAGACCGAGGTCTGCATCCCCCCAACACTCTGGCGTGTTAGTGCCGGAGGGCTCACACCTGAATCCATCTCCAGGAATTCCCCTTAGCCAAAGGGAGCTGCCTCCCTCAAGATGCCATCTTGCCTCCAAGGGCTGCCCAGTGCCAGGGTACAAAGTTTCACTCTCTTGCCTCAATCAAGACAGGTCCCAGCTCTAGAGTTCTCTGTGGAGATTGGAGGGGCCTGTGTTGCTAGTGCATCCCAGTCCAACTTTTGCCCCTGCTCCATCCTTGTACCCCCCAGGAAACCTGTTGCCCCACAAATCAGTTTCCTGGCATCCAAATTACATATTCTAAAAACAATTTCTCTAAACTGGCTGGCATCAAGGCTCTTCATCAGCAGACCTCTTTTGAGTTTTCCAGCATCATCTTTCATTTTTCCCCACACACCCCTGAACTACCCTTGTAATAAGATGCTCGAAGTTATGTGAGGAGGCCACGCCCCTTCACATCCATGACCTCCCTTTCTCTACCACCACTCCTCCTGCCGGATTCCCCCGAAAGACTTCAGTCCTTTGTGACCATCACCTCCCACATAATTCCTCTGAGCCTCCCAAAATTCTGTACATCTAGGTCACCCTAAATTTTGTGTTGTCTTGAGAATTACCGATTTCCTGGGAGGTACCCCCTTGCAGACTCAGTTGTGTGCAGGGGCAGCTCTGAATAGACTCAAGAATGACGGCAATTCCCGGATATGTCTGTAGGTGGCGCTGAGTTACCCAACGCGGGACAAGGACAAATTTCACCTTAGCAAATTGTTCCATAAGGCGCGTGATCAATTTCAGAAACATAGACAGTTTCCCACAGCAAACAGTAAAGCAAAACAGCCTGACGTTCAAATGAACACAAGACATGGGGAATGCAAAGCGAGAAGGAGCTTCTCAAGGAGAAATCCTTTGACTTTTATTATGCTGTTTCTGTTTGAGATTGGATTCTTCCCAATCAGCTCATGCTATTTGTCTACAACAGAGCTGAAGTGTCTGATTTACATTTTAGCTTAACAAGGAGTTAAGCAAAAGCAGGGTTCTGTACAAACACATGAAAGAAAAGCACAGTGATGTTCACACAAGGTATGTGACTTCTGTATACTTAAAATTCATGCCATTTCTAAAATTCTGGCTGAGGCTGCTGGTGCTGATAAAGCATCAGAAATGTATCTCCCAAAGTTAACAAAAATGATAGAAGAAGGTGGGCAGGTAGTTTCAAAGTCCAACAAGTTTTTAAAATAGATGAAATTGGATTGTTTGAGAGGAGTGATGGCAGAGGGTATCACCACTACTTCTTTTGGAAAGAAAGAAAATGCCAGTGGCTTTGGCTTCGAGCTAATGCCCAGAGGGATTGCAAATGTAAAACACTGATTATTGTTTCTCTTCAATTATCAAAAACTTTAATCACAGAGTCTGCAGACCGCAAGATAACAAACACCCTTCACCTCACCATCCAGAGTTGACAAATACTAGCATTTTGTCCCATTTTCTCCAGTTTTTAGCTACTGTTTGTTTATTACTGGAATGTCCTTGTTTAACTAAAGGTCTTAGCAGGGCTACCGACAGTCAATTTTGACTAATCCAAATGCAAGTTGTTTAAAATTTGGGGGCCGGAAGATTGTGTAGCTGAGCATTTGTTGTTTTACCAATGAAATGGTAGCAAGGAAGAAACCTGCAGAACAAGGCCATGGGTATTTATGTCACTTACACATTTTCTTCCCCAAAGCATCTACACATGTAAGGTCTTGTTTTACTCCATGAAACAACCAAGGCAGTCATAAATATAAATGCAAGAGGGAAGGAAATGGAAACCCAAGACCAGGGATTGTCTCACACATGTTAGCAGCAGCTGGGATTAGAACCTTAGCTTCTGGACATACCATTTTATTTTGACGTAATGGCCGGATGCGTGAGACCTCAGAAGACCATTGGGTTTGAAACCAGCACTCACCGGAGCAGATTTGGGCCATGGACAGGACTGGCCCCCTCTTGGCCCCACCCCACCCAGGGCTTCCCTCAATGCCGAGCATGCACAGGGCTGGATTCAGAACCTCTAGCTCCAAAAAGCTAGAGCTGCAGATGTTGTGGAGTGAGGAGAGGGACTATGGGCCTCCATGATTTCCCTGGGGATTCATGTTGAACTGAGGACCCCTATAAAAAGCCTCCAAACCCAATGAGGATCTGAAAACTCTGGAACATTCTCAGGTACCCAGCAGAGCAGAATGGAGCTTACCCCAGGCCCAGGTAGGACTTTGAAATGTTATGAACCAGGTTCAGCCTCTATCAGATTGGGAAGGCTCTGTTCCCCTAGAGGATTCAGAGTAGGGCCTTCAGGCCCTGATGCCCATGCTGTATAATCCACTGGGGCTTCAGAGCCTCAGCTTTGATGCCAGCCAGTCCCGGTTTGCATCACCATGCTGCCACTCTCTAGCTGCATGGCTTGGGCAATGCCACTATAACCCCTCTGAGCCTCAGTTGCTTTATCTAAAAAACAAGATAATAATTACCTAGCTCAGCACTGTCCAATAGAAATACAGTGTGAGCCACATGTGTGTATGTTTTGATAGCCACATTGAAAAAGTAGGAATAGAGAAAATTACTATATATATATATATACATATATATATATACATATATATATATATAATACTTTTCTTTAACCCAATATATCCAAAATACTTTCATTTCAACATGTAATCAATATAAAAAATTAGTGAGATATTTTACATTTTTTACGGGAGGTTGGGGGGGGAGCTAAATCTTCAAAATCCCACGTGTATTTTACATTTACAGCATATCTTAAGACCTGCCACATTTCAAGTGTTCAGTAGCTCATGTGGCGGGTGGCTATTCTATTGGATAGGGTTGCAGTGAGGATTAAATGAGATCATATGTGAGATTATATGTGAAAGCTGCTTGGCTGAACTGTTTTTAATGTTGCTACTCTTATTTTTTATTATTCTTGCCAACAGAAAACATTCCCACACCCAGGTGAGCATCTTCTTCACCTCATTACCGACTCCTTGGGCAGTGACCCAGGAGAGATTCTACCCAGAGCCAAGCCATAAGGACCCAGCTCTTCATCACTTCACGTGGACTCCATCATGAGAAAACCTGTGAATGCCACTTCCTCCCATTCCTGGCCGGATGTATGCCCCTTGGTATTGTGGCTCTGCCATTCCTTCCATCAACAGGTGGAGTCCATTTCTCCACCTGTTGAAGCTGGGCTTGGCCATAGAACTTGCTTTGGCCAATGAGACATTAGAAAATGTAACACAAGTAGAGATTTGAGAAATGCTTGCACCTTAGGCTTTGTTCTCACTTGCTACTAGAAACCCTCAGACACCATGCCTGTGAGGCTAGGCTAGCTTCTTGGGTTATGAGCAACACACACTGCTAGCCAACATTCAGCTAGCCACCAGACATGGAAGTGAGGACTTCTGAGGCCATTCACCCCCAGCTAAGCTGGCCCAGATAAGCAAAGCCACTTAGCTGATCCAAAGAACCAAGAGAAATAATATTATTGTAAGCTACTAAGTTTTGGGATGTTTTGTTATGCAGCAGAAACTGACAGATACATCCTGACTTAAGTCTCAGAGATTCCTCTTACCTGGGGGGGTAGTAGGGATTGAAAGTGTGGCCATCTCCTGTACTAATTATACATGACAGATTTCCAGTGAAGGGAGAGAGGAGCCATGTGAGGGAGATGGTGACATTTTCAAAGATGAAACTTTCATTGGACACCATCAGCTGCAGGCCTGCAGATCAAAAAGGAAAATGCTGTGTGCCATCAGAAAGCAAAATTGCATGCTTCTGTTTAAAACCTACTCTCTTATATCCACCTGTCCTTCATCATCAGGTGAGGCTTTTAAAGTTTTTTAAATTTTATTTTTACTTTTTAAAGTTCTTTTGAATTTTATTTTTAATTCATAGGTAATAGGTGACCAAGGTACAGAATTTGAAATGTATAAAGGGTACAGAGTGAAAAGAAAGCCTCCCTTCCCTCCTTCAGAGGCAATCATTGTTACCAGTATCCAGGGTCACTTCCAGGGATGTCTACACACTCCCAAGCACATACATACTTTCCTGTTTGTACAAACGGTGCAGGATGTATATTCACTATTTGACACCTTCCACTTTTTTCACTTACTGTATCCTGGAGATTGTTCTGTATGAATTCAGTTAGAGCTGCCTTGTTCTTTGTAATAGCTGCACAATGTACTCTAATTTATTTAACCAGGATTCTATTGATTGTCTAAATGTATTTTATCATGTTTAAAAAGACAAAAGGCAAAGCACCTTTAGGAAAATCTACTTGGCTAAGGTGGCCAATGATTCATTGTAAGCCATTTAGTGCACATTAAATTCTATAAAACCTGAGCTTTCAAAGTTAGCATGGAGGATGGGGAGGGGAGTAGAATTTGCTGGGGCTTCATGCAGCCCTGGGCTAATTGTGCAGCATAATCTTTCAGTTTCCAAGCACAAACAAGGAAGGAAAAGATAGGAGATGAATACAAATGAAAAGGACTTTCCTGAGCTGCTCCGAACATTGTCGCCGTCCTGATCCGCAGCTACGAGGAAACATGGACCATGGCTAGGCCCTTCCGGGCACTGTGGCGGGGGGCACAGGGATGCTGGATAAAGTCTCTCCTTTTACAAATCAGAAACACTGTGATCAGAACACACATGTTCACAGGGGGGCAGGATATTTGAAATCAAAGTTGGAGCAGAAAATTTTGTCTGGGGTCTCCAGACCCAGTACATCCGCTGCCCTAAGCAATGCATTGGTCCAATGACAGCCACACTGTGACTGGCAGATCTCCAAAGGGCACCATTTGTCCTTTAGCAAAACCACCAAATGGAAAGCACTGCCAAAACACATGGCCTCTTCTTCCCAGAAAACAGAATGAAGACATCCCGCTCACTCTAACTCCGCCGAAGGGTGTCTAGTAAACTAATGGTGCTGGGGAAACCTGTCCTCTCCTCGTCTCTGTGTGGTCCTCCCTCCTACATGGACCCTGCTCTCTTGGATGGCCCCTGGGGACCCCAACGTTCCCTGACTCACTTCTTCCCTTTAGAGTTCCCTGCACCATCTCTCATGCTCTCAATAGAAGGTGCCATTGTGACTAATTCCCTGGACAATGGCATAGGGGAAAGTGGCGTTCGTGTATGCTACTAATGGGAATGTAAATCAATGCAGCCATTTTGGAGTGTAAAAAAGCATATACCCTATGACCCAGCATTCCCTCTACTAGGGATCTCTCTTCTAAAAATAATCAGGCGCATGTCAAGATATATGCACAAGAATGAGCACTGCAGAGTGATACTTAACAACAAAAAGTCAGAAGAAACCTAAATATCCGTCAGCAGGGGCTGGTCCAATAAATTTTGACATAATCTTATGATGGGATACTATGCAGCCATTAAAAGAATAAGGTAGTGACTGGGAGAGATGTCTAGGATATATTATTAAGTAAAAAAAAGTTGAGCTGTAAACAACATATTTAACATGATTATATTTTACGTATATACATTCATACACAGTCATGTCTATGAAAACAGTTTGAAAAGCAGAGAATTTATTCTAAACATTTAACAGTGGTTTCCTGAAGGAGAGTAGGACTGTAGAATTGAAGGGAGGAATTCTTCCCTCTTGACTTATAAAACTTTTATAAAGTGTAATAATATGGGTTATTTTTATGGCTTTCAAAATTTGTAGTTTTTAAAAGTCCCTGTGTGTTCTAAAATGCAGCCTATGGGCAGGATGGTGGTTGAGTGGGTATGGGGTATGGTAGCAAGACATCTTTTGACTTCTTTCAGTCAAGCAATGTTGGTCTTGTCTGATGTGTTTATTGGGTCACGCCATGAAATTTAATTTGAAGGGTCCTGGAAGTTAAAAAATAAATATATTTTTAACTTCTGGCTTGACAGCTCATTTCTGCAATAGGAGCCTCAAACCCTTTACCCCATGAGGCTAGGCCAGGTGGGGAGGTCAGGTTGCAGGGAATCATCTGTAAGTGAGGAAGTCTCTTAGCGCACAGATCTCTCTGCTCCAAGTGGGGCTGGACCTGATGTGGAAATGAGGGAATTCCCATGTCCAGGCAAGCTGGGGACTCACCTTCCTGGCACTGGTAATGCACCCACAGGTAGCTGCCCTGGGTGGGGCACAGGTCTCCAAAGTAGGTCCCATCTGCTGCCACCTGGCATACTTGCAGCCCCTGGCACTGGCCTGGGAAGTGCCCGAATCCCAGCAGGAGCAGGAACGGTGTGAAGGACGAAAAAGGACAGGTTCAGACTGAGATGAATGACCTCTCATTCATTCATTCATTCATTCACCCACCCTCCACCCAGTGAATATCTGCTGGTATCCACTGAAGACCAGACACTGACCTAGGTACTAGGGGGAGAGAGAAGTAGGATTCTTTCCCTCAAGCAGCTCAGGGTCCAGCACAAGGGTTCTCAAATCTTAGAATACACCAGAATCTCCTGGAGGGCTCTGGAAGACACAGATTTCCAGACCCCACCCCCAGTGCTTCTGAGTCAGTTGACATGGGGGATGGGCAGTGTAAGAATTTACTTTTCAAACAAGCTCCCAGATGATGCTGATGCTGCTGGCCCAGACACCCCACTTTGGGAAGCACTGGTCCAGTAGCATCCAGTCAGATGGCCTAAAGTGGGAACTCACATTTAGAGAACTGTCAAGGAGGCGAAAGATCGGGAATCCTGTCCAGGTGCCCACAGGAAGGAAAAGCATGGAGAGCCCAGGCCAGAAACTCATGTCATCCCAACACCTCTCCCTCCTGCCCAAGCAGATGAGTTACATGCCTACAGAGAAGCCTAGGAGATGGACAGGCAAGTGCTGCCTGGTTGTAGGACTGAGCTCCCATTTCCATGCTGGATGTCAGCTGGGACCCACCCTTAGCTCCTAGAGGCCATTCTCTAGTCCTTGTGCATGGCCTTCTGTTATCTCAGAGCCAGCAATGGGGTATTGGATCTGACACTTGAACTCTGATTTCTCCATCAGCCCCATCTCTGGCTTCTAGCCAAAGAAATTTCTTTGTTTTTAAGGGATCATGTGGTTAAATTGTGCCCACTTGGATAATCCAGATTAGGAGCCACAATTGCATCTGCAAAGTCCCTTTGCCATGTAAATTAACATATTCACAGGCATGGTATCTCATCATACCCAGAGTTCCAGGGATTAAGGTGGCAAATCTTGGGGCCATACCTCTGCCTATCCCAGACAGGAAGACATAAGAGGGCAGAGTTCTTTTCATCCTATCTTTTCATCCTCTCTCTGACTGCAGCTTCCTCTGGACAGGCCCTCCCTCATGGTCCTCGCTTCCAAGGGCAGCCTCCACCATGATTCCAGTACCCACTGGATGGCCCTGACTTCTGATTTTGGTAAGACCATCCCCTCCAGTTGTCCCTCCGGCCCTTAGGGGTGGCAGTGGCTTTCCATTGCTGCTAATCTCAGGTTTGTATCATTATCCCCTGTTTGACTTCTCAGCATTTCCATGCTGGGTAATCAGTTCCCTGCGTTTAATTTCCTCTGCTGAAAGACCTGGCTTGGTTTCTGTTTTCCTAAAAAACCTAGCTTGATACACTCCTCAATCAGAGTTCTGTACCCCAGCACTAGACTACAATCTCCAAGAGAGAGGGAGTGTTTTGTTTTGTTTTTGTTCGCTGCTGTATCTCCACTCCAGTACACAGAACAATACCCAGCACATAGCAGGTGAAAAATAACTTTTGCATGAGTAAATACATAGCACCGTTGCTCCCGTCTGTTGTGGCATTGAGCATAGTGCTAGGTGATTGCTTGTATCCATATCTGTCTCCCCATTAGACTGCCAGCTCTTTGAAAAACAGACTGTTTGATTCATCCCTTTATCGACAGACCCCAGGTTAGAGCCTGGCACAATGTTGGGCTCAATGAATATTTATTGACCAACTGACAATGAATGAGTGAGTGTGACACTTACATACAAACAGATTACCGTGGGATCCTGCCCAACTCTGTTCCTCTGACCCTTCCCAGAAGGATGCAGGGCTCCTCTCCAAGGTGCTCTCTGGGGTTTGGCTGCAAAGTTTGGAAACTTGCACCTGGGCCCTTGTGGAAATAGCCCATTCAGTCCCCTGAAGGGGGACTCAGGTCGCCATGAAGGAGGCACATCCTTCAGCCCACCCAGCCCAGGCCTTTCCCCCTCAGAGGGACCACAGCCTCAGGGATGCCAGAGCAACAAGGAGAGTGGGTGGGAGCCAAGTGGCTGATTTCAGTATTTCCTTCCCCCGAACCTGCTCTAAAGGGACCAGGGACAATGTGGGCCAGACGTGGAGGGGAGAAGAACAAATCACTTTCCCAGGGAGACGTGGCACACTTCCCTAAACTGGGGATGAGGCTGCTTGGCAGGTTCTGGGAGTACAGGGCATTCCTCCCTGAATCCTCATGGGGCCTTTGGGTGGAGGCAGAACCCCTCAGTGAGTTGCTGAGAGGCTCATGTAGGGAGATTCAGCCTGAGGCCCCAGAGCTTCCAGCTTGGGCATAGACTGCTGTGTCCTCCTTTGGCCTAGAAGTAACAGACCACCTCTCTTCCTGGCACCTTATAGGCCCGACACTACTAACCACAGCAGAGAGGAGGGGGCCCCCTGTGTCCTGGACAGTAGGCCCCCAGGAGGGTGCAGGGAGCCCCCATCATCCCTGAAACAACCCCTGTCACCAGGCAAATGCAGCTCAGAGGCAGATTTAATCTGATTTAGAAAAACAAAGCCATGGAGAAACTCTCCCACATGAACAAGAGATGCCACCAGGAATGCGTGTTTCAGCATTATTCATAACAGCGAGGATTAAGACACAACCCATTCAACTCTCAACAGAGAAAGAGACACATCACAGTATAGTTATACAAGAGATTAAACGAATAAACTGGTACCTGTATCAAAGTGGATAATAGGAAATTTAAAGCCATACTCACTGCTCTAATGAGGGGACATTAAGCAAATATGGCATAATGTTAGGATTTAACAACGATGGGTAGTGAGTCTAGGGGAGTTCACTGAAGTATTTTTATATAATATATATAATATATGTTTGGAGTATTTAGAATTTTAAAAAAAGAAAGCAGTATTTCTTACACCCAAGTGGAGTGGGGAGCAAAGTGCCCCTCTGGCCCATCCACGTGGGTTTGCTGTTGGGTGAGGGGGTGAGCCATGGCCTCCTTGCTTCCCTATATGGTGCTGTGGGCAGAGACTGGCCCATTTTCCTAATGTGGGAGGCCCAGATATGAAGGTTTTTCAAACCTTCCATACCCCTTGGCTGGGTTCGGGACCCCAGGAACTGCCCTTTCCCCACAGCCAGAGCTGTCCTTGAGTCTTACCTGCCACTTTGTCCTTGATGCTGGCCCAGCTGCATTCCTCCTCCGAGGGGCCTGCAGCACCCTGGGTGCAATAATGGGGAGTCTGGCGCCCATAGAAGGCGTCCTGGATCTGGATGACCTCCCCTGAGCCGCAGTGCATGGTGGCATTGAGGCCGTCACAGGCCACACTCTGGCCAGCACCTGTGACAAAGGGAAGGGGACACCTTAGGGAGGGATCATGGTCACGGCTAGGCAAGTGCCTGGTTGATGGGAAGTGGAAGGGTATCAGGGGTTGGGACTGAGATGAAGGGACACAGCAGGAGCCAGCTCCACAGGGCTGAGAAATAGAACGTGGAGGGCATGAACACGGCTCTGGAATGAGACTGCCTGGGCACAGATGCCACCAGCCACGCACTACCTGTGTGACCCTCTGCAAATTCCTTAGCTTCTCTGGGCTCCCTCAGCACGGGGGAGTGACAGCACCACGCTACATAGGGTCTTTAGGAGGATTAAATGAGTTTATACATGCAGAGTAAGGGCTATAGAACTGGCAACTGTATTCTCCTATTTTTTAAAGATTTTATTTATTTATTTATTTATTTATTTATTTATTTATTTATTTATTTATTTGACACAGGGATGGGGGAGAGCAAGCACAATCAGGGGAAGGGGCAGAGGGAGAAGCAGGCTCCCCGCTGAGCAAGGAGCCCAGTGTGGGACTCAATCCCAGGACCCTGGGATCACAACCTGAGCCGAAGGCAGCCGCTTAACTGCCTGAGCCACCCAGGTGCCCTATATTCTCCTATTTTGAGTACCTTCTTTGAGCTTTATCTGAAAGCAATCCCTGGCATATGATAGATGCTAAACCAGCTTTTGTTGAATGAATCAGTCTTCATACCAATCCTAGAAGCTGGGCTACTGACCTCCCCACTAGGAACATCGGGCTCAGGGAGGGTCACTGTGCTGAGACCCTCCTCCAGACCAGCTACTGGCATGTGGTCCACGTTTGGTAAACATTGGTTAGAAAAGAACACTCTGGCTCAGCTGGGTACATCCAGAAAGTAGGAAACTGGATCCAAACTCAGTCCTGTCTGCCCGGTGGGAACGCCACAGGGTAGGGGATGAGACCAAAATCTGTGTTCATTTCCTATGGCTGCTGTACAAATTATCACCAAACTAATGGCTGAAGCCAGTACAAATCTATCATCTTCTAGTTATGAAGGTGAGAAGTCCAAAATGCATCTTAGTGGGCTAGTATCAAGGTATGGGCAGGCCTGGTTCCTTCTGGAGCCTCTAGGGGATGGTCTGCTCCCTAGCCTTTTCCATCTTCCAGAGGTACCCAGTTTGTTGAACTGTGACCCCTTCTTCCATCTCCAAAGCCAGCAGCACTGCATCTGCTAGTCCCTCTGACCATAGGCAAACCCAGGTTCAGGTCTCATCACTGTCACTTCCCAGCTCTGTGGCCTTGGGCAAGGAGCTTACCCTTTCTGAGCCTCACTATTCTTAGCTTTATAATGGACCTACAATAGAACAACAGAGGTACTTCTGAGTACCTCTGATGAATACACACAGAGTGCACAGCTCTGTGTCTGGAGGTCCTGCTTGATACATGTTAGCTGTTCATGGTGTGACCTCAGACCATGGCACCAAGACTCTGGGGGCTGGCAGATTCTGAGATAGGCTTCAGATTGGGTTGCAGAAGGGGGTGAGGCTTTGGGAGGGCTGTGATAAGCAGAGAGGGAAGTGGTATGACCCACGGGTCCCCGAAGGTACAAGTTTTCAGAATTAGCCAGGCTAATTCTGACACCTATTTAAACCCAGACAAGGGCGGGAATTGGGGCAGGGGGGCTCTGTAAATGCCCAAACCCAGAATGGGCCCTGGGAGCTAGGATTCTTCACTGAGGCACTTGGAGGAGGGGGCTGATCCCAGGAAGCCTGGAAGTTTTGTTAAGCCTGACTTGAAAGTGAGGGGACCATGAGGCAGCTTGGCTCCTAGACCATGACAGGCAGGACCCAGCATGGGGCCATGGGCCACTCATGTCAAGGTTCTTACACAGAGTCCCAGGGAAGGGTCCCCAGGGTGCAGAGGGGGTCAACCATGGACAGCAGCTAAAAAGAACACAAGATCAGAGTGGGGGGTACTTCAGGAGTCAGGAATGGTAGGTGGTGGGGACTCAGACCCAGGCTGGCCAGGGCAGCAGGAATCAAGGGTGAGTGAGAACAGCCTCCTGGGACCACATCTCCTTCACTGGAAGATTGGACAAAGAGAGTAAATAGGTCTGGGCATTTGCCCCTAGATGCAGATATCTGAGAGGAAAAGAGGGACAGGAATGAGACTAGTAGGCAGGAAGGCAGGTAAGTGGACGGGGAGAGGTGGGGTATAAGCTGGGGAGACAATATGAGACAGGCACAGAGTGCCACACAGACAGAGATGGGTGGGCATTTAGGGAGACACAGAGACAGAGACAGAGAGAGAGACACACAGAAACAGAGACACAGAGAGACACACACAGAGAAAGAGAGAAACACAGAGGCAGAGACACAGAGACAGAGACAGCGATAGAGACAAACAGAAAAAGACACAGAGACACACAGAGACACAGAGGCAGAGAGAGACAGAAACACACATAGGGACACAGAGACAGACACAGAGACAGAAAAAGAGACAGAGACACCCAGAGGGACACAGAGAGACAGAAGGAGGGAGACGCCACAACAGAGGCCAGCTCACCAAACTCGCAGATGAAGGCAAACGGCTGCGTGCAGTTGTCTGAGGCCGCCCACCCAAAGGAAGCATCTCTCCCGATGTAACAACAGGTGTTTGGCGCAAGACAGGCCTGTCCTCTGCTCCAGTGGCTATAGCTCACATTTGAGGTGTCCAGCCAGCTCCCTGGCCCTGGGATGGGAACACAACCACCAGGACTTGGAAACATTCTTTTGACCCCTTTTTATGGATGGGGCTGGCCTCAGCTCAGCTCCTGGCGTGCAGGAGGTGCTCTGTCAAGGCTGACAGGCTGAATCCCTCTCTTTCCCATGCCAATGAAGGGACCTTGCTAGCTGTTATTTCTCAATGCCCAAACAGAAGAACTCAACCTAAAAACCGGGGCACCATGTCAGGGAGCCCAAATAAAGTGGTTTGATTCAGTACATGATGCTTCCAGCTCTGTCTTACCATAATCTAAAATAGAGCACAGAAGTCTGCTTGGGATGTTCAAAGGTGTTCCATAGAGAGGCAGGGGCCCTTGTCAAATATATTTGGGCCGTGCTGAATTAAAATGGAAGCAGTTTTCCTTACTTCAGGACTCTTCAGCCCCTGGAACACACTAATTTGCTCTTGAAGAAGTGCCCTGTGCATGTGTGTGGAGTACAAAGGCATTTCAAGGACACTAGAAATCTAGAAAACACTAAATATAAAATACTTACTCTGAAGACTCAAAGGTGTATTATTTTTTTAAATAAATCCATAAAAATGGTTAAAAAATTTAGAGTGAAAAGCATATAAAATGAAGACATCTCCCCTCTCCCAACCTATAGATTACTCCCATTACTGGTGTGTTTCTTATGAATTGATCCAGACTGATTTGTATCCATATAGCAGCATCTATGAGTGCCTGAAATCAATTTACACAAATGTCATCATATTGCATGTGGCACTCTGTCCCTTGCTTCTTAAATAACATTAAATATTGGAGGTGGTTTCATGTCAGCCTACACATATCTACCTCATGTTCTGTAACAGCCACGTGGTATCCCTTGGTGATTTTTGAATAGACACAACTCCTTTAACTGCACATAAATGTACATTCAATATACAGAAATCCACAACTGCTATATGGACAAATCAAGAAACAATTCAATAGATACTGCCTGAAGATGCATTTTAGAATTCAAATCCCGAGGCTATGCATTTCCTAAAACAAGCTTCTCCAACTGCTCCCTTAATTAAGCCTTTCCATCCACTCTGGTATATAAGTGCTTAGCCCAGACTGAGTTCCTTATTTCTAAAACTCAGTAGCTTCGACAGGACAATGTGACATGGTGGGAACTGGCAGAGTCCTCACTGCCCTTCACCAGTAGCATCATCTTGAGCAAACCATTTTCTCCCTCTGGACTTCATGTTCCTCACCCATAAAAGAAGAGTAGTAATGTGTACCTCGTGGGGCAGGTGCAAGGATTAAATATGAATGTTCATTTGTCCATTCTTTGTTATGTACAGGCACTGAGAAAACAAAATGGCCAGAATGTGTTTCCTTCCCTTGAGGAACTCATTGTCTAGGAAGGAAGACAGACACCTAAAAACTTGAGGTCATGTTGAAAGTACGCTTACAGGGGTATGGACAAGCCCTTACAGGTGCAGAGAGAAGGACTCACCTGACTGTACTGGGGTTGGAGGAAGGAGTCCTCACAGAGTAAAAGGTAAGGAAGAGTTTCTAGGAGGACCACTAAAATGAGACTATCTAATGTGAGGGGAGTGGTGCCGAGCTCTTAACCTGCTTTAATCCCATAAGAAATGGGGAAAGCCATGTGGAAGTGTTTAAAAAAAAAAAAGATTTCTTTATTTGAGGGGGGGGCGTGGGAGGAGGAGCAGAGAGAGAGAGAGAGAGAGAAACTTAAACAGACTCTGTGCTGAGTGCAGAGCCTGACATGGGACTCAATCTCATGACCCTGAAATCATAACCCTGAGATCACGACCTGAGCCAAAACCAAGAGTCAGACTCTTAACTGACTGTGCCACCCAGGGGTCCCTGGAAGTGCTTTGAAAATAGCTTAGTAATTATTTCCTGGGACTCTGTTTTCTCATCTGTAAAATAGAAGCAACAATATTATCTCACTGGTTATCGTAGGGATTCAAGGCGATAATGGACAAGAAGTACTAAGGATAATGCCGGGGACTATCCCAGCAAGAACTGAAGAAGTCATAGTTAGTCTTAGTATTAGGCACATTCAAACAAATGAACGTTTCCAGAGTGTCAGCAATGTGCCAGATTCTGTGCTGGGTACTGTACATGAGTTACTTCATTTGATCCACAAAACAACCAAAGAGGAGGGTATCCTCACCATGAGAATTAGGATATATTAATTTGTTCCATGAGGCTCTGGGTAAGAAGCAATGGTGACAAGCACAGCCACAAGCTTCCCATGAAATACAGCTTTCACAGCACCTACCTTCTGTGGTTCCGTTCTGCGCCAAGTTCCCTGTGAGTCCAGTCCACCATTCCCTGTCCTGTGAGTTGTGCTTCTGCAGAAACTGTTGGGTGTCTTCATCGTGAATAAAGACCAAATGCCCCCCTTGCTCCTCACACCAGCTCTGGGCCCCATAAAAGGTGTGACTGAGAGGCACAAATTCAAAGCAAGAGTCTCTGAAGGCCACTTGGCTTTTTGAGCAAAAGTTGCCTTCCTCTGGGTTGGAGATTGTGGCCCTAAACCTCAGAGCAAGCCCCAAGAGCACCAAGCCCACTGTGCTCATCCTTGAACCTGCTGGAGCATCTGGATGGAGCTGGCACTCACGTCCTTCTTATGCTGTTACCTCACAATCATCTGCCATCCATCTTTCCTTCTCTCTTTGCATCAAATAATAGTTACTACCTCTTGTTTAAGAAACAAAAGGCTCAGGATGAATGTGTCTGCGTTTTTGCTTTGCCCAGCTCTTTGTTCAATTCCTGTTCCAAGTCCAATTAATTTGCAAAACGGTCTTTGAGAGAAACATATAGCTGCTATCTCACCTGTCTGCTTGTCATTAGATCAACTGTTAGCTTCTGATAAAAATTCCCTGCTATGGGTTTTATGTTCTTTTCACAAGAAGCCATCAGCATGTGGGAAGTATGTGATAAAAAAAAATGGCAGGAAAGTGAGAGTGATGGGATGGTAAAAAAAACCAAGTCGTGCTCATCTCCAATGCTATTGTCTAGAGTGGCTGTGCCCAAATGATAATCACATTCTCCCCAGCATGGCTTAAATCCTAATGGATATGTCTCCCTCTCTGACTCATCACATTACTACTCGTGCCTGTTGGAGAAAACAGATTTTCTACAAAATTGTTTTGATATCATCATGAAAGCAAGCTAATATCTGGCTTTAAATTATTCCCTTGCTCTGACATAATTCAACTTATTTTTCCTCCCCAGTCCCTGGCAACCTCTACTTTCTGTCTCTGGATTTACAGATTCTGAATATTTCATGTAAATGGAATTATACAATATGTGACCTTTTGTGTCTCGCTTCTTTTACTCAGCATAATTTTTTTCCAGGGTCATCTACACTGGAGGGTGTGTTAGTACTTCATTCCTTTCTATAACTAAATAATGTCTTGTGTATGGATATACTACATTTTGCTTATCCATTTATCCATTGAGGGACATTTGGGTTATTTTATTCTTGTAGGAAAGGGATGATCTCTTAATCTCTACCCATCCCATGACTGGCAGGCGGTAGGACTCATGAACATTTGCCAGCCTGGCTCCATCTCCCAGGTCCTTGTGTTTTGGGAGAGGTCGAGGGGATGTGACTGCTAGTTGACCCATGAATGGGACCCAGGCAATTAGAAGTTCCTCATGCCCTCCCTGTCCTTAGAATGTGCATTCTGTTTGCCTTCCCCACTTCCAGAAGCTGTCCCAAGGACACAGCCTTGAGATGATATGGTATTGAAACCATCTGGACAGTATACATGACTGAACCCAGTTAAAGCCTCTATATAAACTTTTAAGACTTGGCCGGTGAGCATGGAGGTTTACTTGTCTTGCAGCACCTAGGACAAGCCTTTTATGTTAAGTTCCCCTGCTCATTAAACCTGTCACCTACCAGTCTGGAGTGATCTGCTTCTTTCTTTGATCTCTCCCTGCCCCACATGTACAGAGGCCAGTTTTCAAACCAACACCGGGACTGACCCTTGGCCCTCATCCCTTTCCCAGAAGCCCTTCCAAACCCTCTGGAGTAGCCCTGCCAGTAGCCCAGGGCAGGACTCAATGTTGTTGCTGAGTCACAGGCTGGAACACAGAGAACACTGGTCTCTTATCTCTGAGGGCCAAGCTTCTAATGACTTCTATTAGAAAAATATGTGGAAGGTCTCATACAGCGATAATGTATCTCCTGGGTAAAGGCTTAATTTTTGTCCCTCACAGAACATGCTTGGAGACATTTGATAACAAATGCAAATCTGCAGGCTAAATCCCACTTTTGCATTCTTTACATTCTGATAAATTGCAGACTCCTGGGCATGGAATTCGTCTTGGTGATGTCAGCTCCCAATGTGCCTTAGCATCTGTGTACATGAAGACAGGAAGGAGGGCATTGCTGGACCCATGTAAGCCTATTTCCAGTGATCTGATCCAGCTGCCTGGGCCTCCAAACCTTGACTTTTGGATCCAGCAAATGAAAACAGAAAGAGAATGAATTTGGTTTAAATGGGGTCTTAAGTCCATGAAAATAACCATAAAGATGTTCACGCCCTATGACCCAGCCATCCTGGTCCTGGGAATGGACCCATTTTAGTTTGGGTTCCCCCAGAAGTTAACTGAGATGAGAATTTAAGAGCAAGCAATTTATTTGGGAGGGCATGCAGGAAACAGTGGCGGGGGAGGGGGGATTACATTGCTTTATATGAATTGGTGTTTTTATTGGTTATAAACTGAGTTGGATCTTTGCCCTCCATTCAGCGGAAAGACAACATAACAAAAGAATCCTCATGGTCCCCTCACCCCCATACAGTTTCATTTCTTTGTGGTTCCTTCAAATGCTTCTTGCCTTGGAGATGGGTGCTTGGCCAGGCACAACTAAAGTGTGCACATAATTCATCCCCAGGACCCTTCCCACTTAGCTTTAGATGGTAGGCCTTTTCCATGTTGCTAAAGGGCTTTGGAATTGGCATGGTGGGGGCTGTGCTTCCTTTCCCTGAACAGACATTTACTACACCATTCCCACAGTGCTGGATACTCTGTGTGGTTTTCCTCATCTGTTTGTTACGTGTTCAGTTTTGCAATACTAGTCAACACTGCAATGAACATCTTGCACTTGCGGTTTAGCCTGAGCTGAGTTCTCTCCTGAGGGTTGTAGCAGGCATTATCAAGGACCCATCTTAACCCCTCACACTTACCACGTAAGGCTTCTAAATGCAAGCCCCTGTAGATCTTGGCCTCCCTTTGCACACAGGGAGAGGCTGGAGGTGCCCGGAAGTTTGTGCCTCTTGGGGAGAAAATCTCACCCTTGATTGTTCAGGGTTGGTGGATCAGTCCCCTAGATCCCTCAAGATAACTCTAAAGCATGCTCACACCCCATCTCACAGCCCAACAGCCAGACTGAGCTTCAGTTGCCCACGATGGTAACAGCCTTGATGATGCACCGCTAACATCTTCCCTCCCTCTTTCACTTCCCCACACCCTTGCTGGCATTTCCTGGCTTCAGCTCCCAAATAAGCCACTTGCACTTGAATCCTTGCCTAGCCCACAGGACACAAACATCTTCATGATTCTTGCTATGGACTCAGTGCTTATTTAAACCAGATCAATTATCTTTGGGTTTTTCATGTTGCTGATCCCACTTGAAGGCTCAGACTGCCAGATCAAATCCCAGGAAACATGCTCACACAGCTCAGCTGTGTCTTGCACACTTTCCTGATGGTTTCAGTTCTATACTTGGGGACCATCTCTGAGCAACTAATAATGACCTCAGGCATTGGGATGGTGGGTGGTATTTTCTTGGTTTTTTAGATGTGTATGTAGGTGAGTCCTCCATGTTTGTTCACCTATGCTAAGTTGTTTGCTTCTATAAGGTGGCTAGTAACCTGGATCTTGAAGGACTAGCCAGGAAAAAAGAGGTGGGTTTGGAGGTAGGGGTGGGAGGAGAGCTAGTAGAAAGGGTGTCTCAGGGAGAGGCCCTGTAATACCAAATCCTTATTTCTTGGCAGTATCCCAGAACAAGCATAAACTAAAGCCCCCTGCATTATCCCCCACAGGGTGTTCTGCCACCAGTTTTGCATATGCAGTTTCTTTCCAAGAGTGCCTCTTCTTGGGGCACCTGGCTAGCTCAGTCAGTTGAACCTCTGACTCTTGGTTTTGGCACATGTTGTGATCTTGGGTCCTGAGATCGAGCCCTGCGTTGGGCTCTGTGCTCAGCGGAGAGACTGCTTGAGGATTTCTCTCCTTCTCCCTCTGCCTCTGTTCCTGCACACTCGCACTCTCTCTCTAAAATAAATAAATCTTTAAGAAAAAAAAGAACACCTCTTATACACTTGTCTGTACACCTGCATCCTTTTCTCAAGAATAGCTCAACTATAAACCTCTTCTCTGAAGCCTTCTCATGGTCTACAGGAGTTAACTGCCATGTCTTCCATGTTCTCATAGCATTTTAATCTACTTCTGTGTTAGCACTGTTTAAAAGTATTTGGCCCTAAAAAAACATAGTAATAGACAATGAGAGAGAAAATATGAGAACTTGGCTGTAAAAATAAGCCCATGGATATAGCCTTTTAAATTTTACTTCTAAGTTGGTTTGCTTAATGACTATTGTGGGTTCAATTGTGTCTTACAAAAAGACACGTTGGGAGTCCTAACCATTGGTACCTGCGAATGTGCCTTCTTTAGAAGTAGGGACTTTGCAGATGTAATCAAGATGAGGTCATGCTGGGGTAAGGTGGGTCCAAACCCAGTGACAGGGGTCCTTATAAGAAAGAGGGGAATCTGAACACAGAGACAAACAGACACAGAGGGAGAAGGCCATGTGACAACAGAGGCAGAGACTGGAGCCAGGGACCATCAAGGATTGCTGGCAACCACACCAGAAGTTAGAAGGAGCAAGGAGGGATTTTTCCCTAGCAACTTCAGAAGGATCATGGCTCCGCTGACACTTCGATTTTGGATTTCTGACCTCCAGAACCATAGCAGAATACATTTCTGTTTAAGCCACCATGTTTGTGGTATTTTTGTAATGGCAGCCCTAGCAAACCAGTGTGTTGATGATATAGCACAATGCGGCCATGTGTCATTCATTCATACAATAAATATTTGTTGAACAACTACAATGTGCCAGGCACTGTGCTAAACTCTGGATTTTAAATGGGAGAGTGACATGATCAGGTTCACATTTCAGCCAGGTCACCTGGTGGCAGCCGGGAGGGTAGATTGGAGTGGGTGGGACTGGAGGCAGGGAGGCCAGGAAGAAGCTGCTCCCAAGAGGTGAGCAATAGGGCGCCTGGGTGGCTCAGTTGGTTAAGCGACTGCCTTCGGCTCAGGTCATGACCCTGGAGTCCTGGGATCGAGTCCCGCATCGGGCTCCCGGCTCGGCGGGGAGCCTGCTTCTCCCTCTGACCCTATCCCCTCTCATGCTGTTTTTCTCTCTCTCTCTCTCAAATAAATAAATAAATAAAATCTTTAAAAAAAAAAAAAGAGGTGAGCAATAGTGAAGACGGTGGCTAGGGGGCTGGAGGAAAAAGGAAAATTCGGAAAGATTAGTTAGGAGGCAGAAACATCAGGACTACAGTTGTTATTTAAGTTGAATTTTTGTGAAGCTTCACTGACTGGGCCGTGAGCACAACACGGTGGAAATTAAAGTGTTTTGGCTCAGGCATTAGAAGGCATTTCCTTTTTTACCAGTAATGCCCTCTGCGTTTCAATCTTGTCCCTTCTACCTCCCAGGCATGGCATGTTATTATAATAATTATCATTTGCTTTCCTTTCGTCCCTGTTAGGCTGTGAGTTCATTGAGTCTGGGAGTTACGCATTTCCAATCTTTCTATCTCTAAAACCTAAGAAGACACTAGTCTCTGCATCTAGTAGGACTGTATGGAACTGATGAACC